CAGCACCCCATACACTTCTAATTTAAGACTGACGCATAACATGAGAATGTGTATAATATACGGTGGTTTTTAGGCGTGTGTGTGGTGTAGACACTGTGCTGGGGTGTATGTGAGTCTAGGTAAACTGTGCAGCGTCTTAATGACATGTTATACAGCTGACAAGATGTTAGGCTCACTTCTAACTCTTGACAGGTGTACTGGACTTGACGGATTCTTCCTACTACAGTATATTCATATATTACAGATATTGGATTACCTTAAAATATTTAAATTTATCTAGCAACTTAAATATTTCTTTTGAGAATAAAAATAGTTCCAGTACTAAAGGCATGTTGAACTTATTTGATTATTGCTAAATAATAGTGAATAGACCTAATTAATTTATATGGACAATATTGATGGAAGCATTCGTTCCTTAAATTTCTGCATAGTGGATTTATATTAAATTAAATCGTATATTCACCGAGTTCTTAAGTGTTTCATTAGGCTATACCTGTATATTAAATTCTGCACTTATTATTATGAATAATTTTACTCCTTAATTATTCAGCATATTAAATGCAGTGTGTAATATACAGGTATAGCCTAACAAAACCATATAGACAGCTTCACATACTTCACAGATGGATCAGTAGACTGGCAGCGACAAGAAACTGGAGCTGCAATTAAAGTAGGAAGCTGTAACTAGTTGGAGGCTCTCATATGCGATTTAAATGATTTTTTTTTAATTTAATTATAAATCTATTATCCCCCTAATTGCACAGGCTATTTTCATACATTTTTTGTAGTGCAAAAAAAAAATCATTCTGAATTTTTGTTTTTGTTTTTTACATTGTTTATTTTATCTATTTATATGCAAGAAGGTACATTGGGGGTTAAGAGAGATCATAGAAATGTAGTTGATTTTTCATTCTTGTAAAGCCACTAGCACGCATAGCATTTTGGGCAACCAAGAAAGCATTATTCAACTTGTAGAAAATGAAAACGCCTTTTATTAGTCTCTGCCTATCGTGTTTTAGTTGTAGTAGACTGGAGAAGTTAGCTTTTTTGGTAGAAATGGGGGTGAGGTGCTGCACGAAGTAACCTGGTCCGTGTTTCTTTGGTTTCCAATTGTGTAAATTTTTTGTGATCATAAATTGATGTATCAATTGTGATATTCATTATATATAACTTTAGAAATATGCAAAGGTACACATATGTATGAGTGTTTGTGTGTGTAATTACTTAAGTGTAGTTACAGGATGAGAGCTATGCACGTGGTGTCCCGTCTTCCCTGCATTCTTTGTCATATAATGCTTTGATATTACTAACGGTTTTGGCCTCCACCACCTTCTCACCTATCTTGTTCCAACCATCTACCAGTCTATTTGCAAAAGTGAATTTTCTTGTAATGTATTTCATCAGCATCTTTGTTTAGTTTAAATCTATGACCTCTTGTTCTTGAAGTTCCAGGTCTCGGGGAAATCTTCCCTATCAATTTTATCAATTCCTGATACTATTTTGTACGTCGCCTTTTTTTGCTTCTATACTAGTGTTGGCATATTTAATGCCTCTAACCTCTCCTAATATAATAAACCTTAGAAAGGCAGGTGCATCACACACACAGACATAACCAGTCCGGTACCAACCTGACTATGGACGACAACACACACATTCACATAGTAATGCAAAAAAAAATCCAAAATGCCCAGAAAAAAAATTCAAAATGTTCTCCTTAGAATCCAAAATGCCCTTCCAAAAAAATAAAATTTAAAACACCCCGTCCCTTCAAAAAAATCTGAAATGGCCCCCCAAAGACAAAATTCAAAATGCCCCAAGGAAAAAATCCAAAATGCCCTAACTAAAAGAAGCAAAAATGTCTAACAATTAACAACAAATCTCTCATCAGTTATTGTTACCATACCATGAATATTTTTATACAGCAACTTCTGATGAAAATTATACTGCAATTGTGTAATACTGTATTTATTCCATCACTATTGCTGAAAAGGTATTCAAAATATACTGTTATTTTTGTTTATTTATGATAGCTTTGTGATACTGGGATTCCAATATTCTTGCTACTATCACCCATGCTGTTTATCATTTTTAGGCTTATGTTTTGACACTTTTTCATCCGTATTATATTTTCCTTACAAACCTTGCCAAAGATAGATTTATAAATTCACTTTAAGGTTGAAAGCTCAAAAATGGAAATTCCTGAAATTAAGCATTTGTTTATGATGTTCCTTCGGTTATTATCTCATTAGCTGTCAGTCCATATTACTGGTAACTTCCTTACATTTTCCACCACCATTGCTGCTATTTGCATATTTAGCTCCCAAGTCCTATTGCTTTCGTCCAGATGTTTAATTTCCTTCAAAATCTTGATGGAGGCTGTTTTATAAGTACAGTACACTGATTATGGTTGCAATATTTGAAAGAGAATTCATGTACAGTATTTACAAAATTAAACACTTTCATACTATTCTCTCGGATATTGTTGCCTTAGCTCTTGATTCAGAGCAACTTCCAACATCCATACCTTCATATCAGATATTTGGACCATAATTTTGACTTACTTCATTCAAAGTTTTAATTTCCTTAAAAATTTTATCATAATTAGTTTTAGATATGCTAATTAATGTTTCAAGATCAAAAGAAAAAGTATCTGAAATTAAATGTTTTTGCATAGTTATTCTCTTGGTTATTCTTGCATCCTGTCTTGATTGCTGTGCAGTAGCTTCTAGCACCCTTGCTGATATTTACCATTTTAGTGTTCACATATTTTCAATATTTTAATTAATTTTCTTTCAAACTTTACCTGAGGTAGTTTTGGACAGGCTGAAACATGATTTTCACAGTTCTGAAGAAACAAACACACAGAACACACATGTTATATGTTCACAACATAAAAGGTACTGTAGGTACTGACGATATGTGTACATAATGGACAAAATCTGGTCATTTTAAGGAAGGGGGTGGACAAGATAATAGATCATAAATAAGGACATGAGAAGATTCTTCAGTACAGTATAAGGGAACCACCCAAGAGTGTGTAATGTCTTAGGAATGGAAATAGAAGATGCCTTGCATATGCTAGAATATAAATAATATACAGTACGTACAAGTTTGACAACACGTGTTTAGGGGGAAGCATTTTAATAATCAGTCGGTAATTCCCAGTCAGTCAAATTGTAAACCATCGTCAATTGTTGATTCATGGGGGTAATGCGGGTATTGTCAGTATGAAGATTTAAACAATTATTGTCTTGGTTTTACACATGTGATGCAAATAAGGATATAATAGGTCTATATGGATGTAATGGAGATTACCTTGACTATTGAAAGACCTTGACTATCCATAGACCTTGACTATGGGGAGCCTGTCGGCCGAGCGGACAGCACGCGGGACTTGTGATCCTGTGGTCCTGGGTTTGATCCCAGGTGCCGGCGAGAAACATTGGGCAGAGTTTCTTTCACCCTATGCCCCTGTTACCTAGCAGTAAATTAGGTACCTGGGTGTTAGTCAGCTGTCACAGGCTGCTTCCTGGGGGTGGAGGCCTGGTCGAGGACCGGGCCGCGGGGACACTAAAAAAGCCCCAAAATCATCTCAAGATAGATCTTGCTACCATTTCATGGTTACAAATTCACTTATCATCATGAATGTTAAATGGAATGAGGTTATCGTGATATGACAATTTAAACAATTACAGTATTGTCTGGGTTTTACACGTATAAAGTAAATTTGGATATAATAGCTCTCTGTGCATGTAAATAAAGAAAAACAAGTGATAAAATAATTGGTGAAACATCCAATGATAAAACAGGAAGCGTCAGCAAAGTCGAGCACCAGGCGTTGACAAGTGCCAGACAGCACCTTGCAGAGCACCTCCACCCAGCAAAATGATAAATATTCACTTATTTTCATATTTTGCTTATATTTTGAATACAAATTATTACATTCTATAAGGAAAAATTATTTTAAATTTTTTGTGTATAGGCGGATGTGACCATAACCACTGTGTTAATAGAGCCTATTATGGCATGGCACTGTTTGTATAAATTTTGTCTGCATTTGTTTCAGGATTGTCTACTGTACTTGTAATGTGCTGGCATTGTTAAAGCTGTTCCATATTTATTTTTATTTGATGATCATATGTATTATTGAAAATTAAAGTAGACTGAAAGGTGCACATTTTCATCAACATAATTGCAATCTGATATAAAATAGAAAAAATAAATGTCACTACCTAAACTATTTAAGGTGTGGCAATAAATGGAGGTGTTGTATGTGGGTCAAGGGTGAGGCTGGTTTGGATCCTTGGAAGGTTGCTATGTTTCTACTCATGGATAATGCAGTAACATTTGTAAACTTTAAGAGTTCTGTAGTTCTCACTGTTTCTAATGTCACAATACAGTAATTATTTTTTAGTTTGTGCTCTGGAATTACTTGTTTAATATTGCTTGTTTAATATAGGAATTTAATATAGTAGTAAAACTTGGTTTTACAACATATCTTTTGTTTGGGACTTTTTTTTTTTAGTTAACATTGTATAGATATGATTTAGTAAGTGTAATACAGTACAGTACTTTATGTACATATGCTACTTATTTTGTTATATTTTACTTGAGCTTTCGATTTAGTATGTTCTGTAGAATGCACTGGACATTTTTGTCTTAACCTAATGTTTTTAATTATAAATGTTATCATATGGATAACATTAACATTATTAGCTGTTTGAGGAAAGCTTGTGAGTAAAAATTTGAGTGGCAAGCGTAATTGAGGAAGTGAAAGTGGATCCCTGCTGCCTCAGTGTGTTGCCAGTTTCTCTTTATTCCTAGGGTTTTCTCTTTTTAAATCTTTGCAAACTAATGAAAAAAAAAGGCATTGTATAGAAAATAGAGAGTTTTTAGAAAAATGAAATGAAAAGAATGCAGGAAAATTGAGAATAAATTGATGAGTTTGAAGTGGAGAGTGGCCCTGGGTGGTGCGCCTTGCTTCATGCAGCAGTGTAGACCTGGAGGTGCCAGTGTGTGGAGCTGGTGGCTTTGTTGCTCTTGGTAAACATTTGATTTAGAATTGAATGAAGATGGTATTGGAAGCCATTCCTGAGCTTCAGCAACATCCACATAACCCATTGCAACCCAACAACCAAGAGAGCCTACAAAGTCAGGTAGTCCAGACTTAATCAATTGTTTTTCTTCAATGCAGTTTTCACAGTGATAGCAAGCATGTATGTAGTAATTTCCAACCCCAGATTTTTTCTGATTGGTCCCATGCTAAATTTTAGTGAAACGAATGTGACTATGAAGTGTTTTTTTGCAGTATAAATAATTTGCAGACCTTGTCAGTTTATTTGATAAACATTAATTCATTACCATATGGTCAGTGAGAGGAATATTTCATTTGCTGTAGCGAGGGAGGGGAGGGCCTGGGGTCTAATGTATTACAAGTTGTCCACCTCTCCAGTGATTTTGGCATGAATCCAACAAATCTGATACCAAACCCTGGTACTTGCTACCTGTGATTTATATAGTTTTCCAATTATGGATGAATGCTGTTGTAACTATGTCACTCTAAAAAAATATCTTTACAGCTGTTTCAGCTTTTTGCATTATATAAGGAAAATTAAATACATTTATAAAAGGAAAATACTCCTATATTGGCTTTATATATTTTTTAATGAAATTTTATTAATTAAATTTGTGTGGTTCATAAATTTTGGTTTATGGTGTGTGCATGTGCACACAACTGACTGGGAATTACCTCAACTAATTATTATAATGCTATTCCCTAAAACATTACATATTCTTGGGTGGCTCTTTTAAAATTACAGTATCAGATTTTTCCCATTATGTAGATATACAGTGTCTTCAGTACCTACAGTACCAGTACATTATCATCAGTATCATTTATGTTGTGAACATACATGTGAGTTGTGTGTTTGTTCAGAATTGTGAAAATTATTTATTTCAGCCCATCTTTATAACTAGTTTTTTTTTTTCTTCTAAAAAAAATGTGGGTTCCATGCTGTCTTTGGATGCTACTGTATTGATTTCGCATGTTGTACACATTATTTTTAATGGTTACTTTTTACTACTTACTTTACACTGTTTGTGTCTGTATATTAAGTAAAACTATATAGAAAAATAATTGCTCAAAAGCATTAAAATCCCACTTTTCATGTGCAAAGTCATGTATTTTATTATAATGTATCATCTTATAATCAGAAAAGTGATTACATGAAGGAGAATTCCAGTATCTTCCATATGGATAGGTTCTTATCAGTAAACTAGTGTTTGTTTTGACAAAACACATAATTACAAATAATAATAGAGTGTAGTTCTTGTCTAGTTAAGTTTAGTTAATAGAACTATGGAAAAGGAGGAAGAGGTTGAAAGTGGTGGGGAGCCAAGGTGTACAGCTTGAGGCAAGGTTGGTATTGCAACCTTGGCTGCTGCAACCTTGCACTAGGACACCACTTTCTATTTCATCCATCTCATACTACTGCTTTGTGTTATGCCTTTTGATTGTTTAGGGAAGGCCTTGATTTGACAGACAAGTCTTTCACATTATTTTATCATTTTGTCAAACACCCGTCAGGATTTCTCAGAAAACAATTATACTAATTATATACAGTACTAGTCCTGGCAATGTCTGGATAGTCTGTCTCTACCACCGCTCCTCCATTCCACCCTTCTTTTCCACTCTCCCCCTCTTGTCCCATCTTCACTCCCCCTCTCCTCTTGCCTCATCTTCACTCCCCCTCTCCTCTTGCCTCATCTTCACTCCCCCCTCTTCCCATCTTCACCCTTTCCCCATCTACACCTTTTCCCGATCTTCCCCATCTATACTCTTTTCCTGTCTTCCCCCTCTTCCCCTCTTTAACACTTCCCTCCCATTTTTCCCCATTTCCTCCCCCTCCCCCATCTCTCAACTTCCCCTTATCCAAATTTACCCCTTATCCAATATAAATAATGGAGAGGAGATAAATGAACAGATAGCCATTTCCATTTATATCTAAAGTAGATCATGGAAATGCTTGGGTAAATGGCTGGAGTAACTTAACACTATGGGCAACACAATCCCAATTTCATTACCGACCATGAAATTGCACATGGGGTTTGGGTCACAGGTTGTATTTCTTAACAGATTTAACTAAGGCTGACCCTGACTAGCCTATGCCTGTCTCATACTCCAGACCATTTCCCCTGCAAATTTGGGTGAGACTAGCCCTAAGCATCTGGCCTGCAACTTTGGTCAGTCAGACATACAAACATAGACATTCTTATAGGTATACAGTACTGTATATACATATTTTTTAGATATAGGAAGGGGGTAAGGGAGGAGAGAGACATTTGAATGCAGCAGGGCGGGGGAGATTGGAGAATTAAAGGTGAGAGTAGAAGGGGAAGAGAGAGAGGGTGGGGGGGAAGAGAAAGAATAGAAGAGACAAGAGAGAGGATATAGATAGAGGACACAGCAGATCAGCAAACCAAGTGGTCAAAAGCTATGAGGGTGTAAGCACCAGTTTTCCCAGGCAGCAGGTGCTCAACTGGTCATTAGAAAAAAGGTGTCCGAGTAGTAATAACTTTGCCAGCATGCATTGTATAACATGATGTACTTAAGAGGAGGCAAACACATTGCAAGTTCTGGTGGGACTTTACCTTTATATAAATAACATTTACACTTTTAATAGTAATTTTACTATGTGGATGGGGATTATTAATTAATAACTCCATATAGATTTTGAATTGTCAGGTGTATTCCAAGCCATAACATTGTTGTGATGAGATTAGATTGACTTGTTTTGTATCTTTTTATTTTGTTAATGATTATCCTGAGAAGTGCATTACAGATCATGCCTCACAATGAGGAATTTTTTCTTGTCTTTCCAGGGAAGTGATGGAGGTGAGAGTGAGTATGAAAGTGCTGATGAGGAAGAGCTTGGGGAAGAGGAGGAGGAGGAGGAAGATGAGCTCATTATAATGCCAGATGGTCTTGTATTAGGAGAGGTGAGAAGCATTTGTATTTCTAGATTACTATTGATCAAAATATTGAAATAATTATATTGTAAATTAGGGTTTGGTGTCAAAAGTTTCACTATCTCCATGTTTTTTAGAATTGCAGTACAGTAATTATGTAGCATGCCAAAAGTTGTGCATTTACAGTGATATGTGATTACAGGACAACAAGCCATTAGATGATGATGAGGATCGGAAAAACCCTCAGTATATCCCCAAGAAAGGAACTTTTTATGAGCATGATGACCGAACCGCTGCCGAAGACGATGTAGAGAAACCGTGAGTGCTGTTTGTGTATTAGTACTGTAGTTTGAATTTATAGAGTGTTTTCTTTGAAATATACCTAATGGTGAATAAACCTTAATGTTTTTTACAATGATGGTGTTATCATCATGCTAGTATCCAAGTTAATGCATGCTTTTGTCAATCATCACATAAGTTGTGAAAGCTTTTGGTAACAATACATTACCAAAGTAAACGTTCCTTGAATTGTATGAGTTTACACACACACACACACACACACACACACACACACACACACACACACACACACACACACACACACACACACACAATAGGCCCAGATGGAATCTCCCCTTGGGTTCTAAAGGAAGGAGCAAGAGAACTGAGCCTACCACTCTCCATAGTGTATAACAAATCACTGGCAACAGGGGAACTGCCAGATACTTGGAAAGCAGCTAACGTAGTCCCGATATACAAGAAAGGGGATAGACAGGAGGCACTGAACTACAGGCCAGTGTCCCTAACCTGCATACCATGCAAGCTGATGGAGAAGATTGTGCGAAAAAAACTAGTGGAGCATCTGGAGCGAAGGAACTTTGTAACACAGCATCAACATGGGTTCAGGGATGGCAGGTCCTGCCTCACAGGGTTACTTGAATTCTACGACCAGGCAACAAAAATAAGGCAAGAAAGAGAAGGGTGGGCAGACTGCATATTTTTGGATTGTCAGAAAGCCTTTGATACAGTGCCACACAAGAGGCTAGTGCGAAAGTTGGAGATGCAGGCTGGAGTGAGAGGGAAGGTACTCCGGTGGATAGAGGAATACCTAAGCAACAGGAGACAACGAGTCTGTGTGAGGGGTGAGGTCTCAGATTGGCGAGACGTCACAAGTGGAGTCCCGCAGGGGTCAGTCCTTGGACCTATACTGTTTCTGGTATATGTAAATGATCTCCCAGAGGGTATAGATTCGTTCCTCTCAATGTTTGCCGACGATGCAAAAATTATGAGGAGGATTGAAACAGAGGATGATAGTAGGAGGCTACAAGATGACCTGGATAGACTGAGTGAATGGTCCAACAAATGGCTGTTGAAGTTCAACCCGAGTAAATGCAAAGTAATGAAACTAGGCAGTGGAAACAGGAGGCCAGGCACAGGATACAGAATAGGAGATGAAGTACTTAATGAAACAGACAGAGAGAAAGATCTAGGAGTTGATATCACACCAAACCTGTCTCCTGAAGCCCACATAAAGAGAATAACGTCTGCGGCATATGCGAGGCTGGCTAACATCAGAACGGCGTTCAGGAACCTGTGTAAGGAATCATTCAGAATCTTGTACACCACATATGTAAGACCAATCCTGGAGTATGCGGCCCCAGCATGGAGCCCGTACCTTGTCAAGCACAAGACGAAGCTGGAAAAAGTCCAAAGGTATGCTACTAGACTAGTCCCAGAACTAAGAGGCATGAGTTATGAGGAAAGGCTGCGGGAAATGCACCTCACGACACTGGAAGACAGAAGAGTAAGGGGGGACATGATCACAACCTACAAAATCCTCAGGGGAATCGACCGGGTAAACAAGGACGAACTTTTCAACACTGGTGGGACGCGAACAAGGGGACACAGGTGGAAGCTGAGTACCCAAATGAGCCACAGAGACGTTAGAAAGAACTTTTTCAGTGTCAGAGTAGTTAGCAAATGGAATGCATTAGGAAGTGATGTGGTGGAGGCTGACTCCATTCACAGTTTCAAATGTAGATATGATAGAGCCACCTTTGCCGGTGGCTGTATGGATAGCACCCTGGACATGTGATCCTGTGGCCCGGGTTCGATTTCCGGTGCTGGCGAGAAACGATGGGCAGAGTTTCTTTCACCCCAATGCCCCTGTTACCTAGCAGTAAATAGTTACCTGGGAGTTAGTCAGATGTCACGGGCTGCTTCCTGGGTGTGTGTGTGTGGGAAAGGAAAAAAAAATATAGTAGTAACAATTGATTGACAGTTGAGAGGCGGGCCGAAAGAGCAGAGCTCAACCCCTGCAAGCACAACTAGGTGAATACAACTAAGTGAATACACATACACACACATTGTGTGTGTGTATTCTATAATTCTTTTATAATTTTGTATATAACTTTTATTTTTGTATATAAACATGTATTTTTTATAATTTTTTGTGATATTCATAATGTTTGCTACAGGGTTGAAGAACCAGTCGTTAAAAAGGAAGTTGGTAAGAAGAAAGTTTGGAAAGAGGATGATAAGTGGAACCATGACAAATTTAATGAGTTTGACCAATCTCCCAAGTCCCGGGAAGAGATAATAGCTATATATGGTTATGATATACGTAATGAAGGTCCTCCAAAAGCTCATTGTAGAAGGCGTTATGGGTAAGGAAAAAGCATTTTTAGTAAGGGAAGTAAATATGGTGGGAACAATTCTATACCAACAGTGGTACTTCTACGACTTTTATTATTTTCTATTTCAACAAATGATTTCATAATTAAAAAGCATGTATGTTTTGTAGGTGATATACTATAATGCTTTTGTATCGTCCTCGTTCTATGATAAGGAGAAAGGTGTATAGTGTTGTACATGTATATTCATCTCTGCATCTTTCCACGTGAAATTATTTGGGGACTCTATTTTTCAATACAAATTTGACATGTGTGCAAATTAATTTATACAGTAGTTTATAATTACTATATTTAGTTTATACTGTTCTGTAATTCTAGTTTTGTAGCCAATTCAGTTAGTAAGTATTATGATAGTGACAATATTGTTTTATCTTTCTAATCCAGTACATTGGATTTTAAATCAAACCACACACCTATTGGGTTAAAGTATTGTCACTTCAAATTCTTATGGACTGCTCTGTAATTTGCTGAGACATAGATGTACTTGACCAATATTTATAGACTTTAAGAAGATCTCAAGTCCCAAGCCTGTATGTCTTGCCAAGCCTATATGACAAAACCAAGTTAGATACAAATAACATCATCACTTTTATTTTAGAAACAAAAACACCTAGGAGCGTTCATTTGAAATTACATATCTTAAGCTAAAATAAGATTATTGATCAAGGCAAAGTTCAAATTCACTGAACATTAAGATAGCTTCATGACAAGCTAAGTTAATATATAACTTTGTTACTTCATGAATACCAAAGTGATATATAACTTCTCTACAAGCCAAGATCATGTAATTTTACTTAAGGCTATTTTAGCATAGTGGGAAATAATGGTTATTACCAAGTGCTTTGTTCACACCAAAACATTCGTTAATTTAGGGGCACCAGGAAAGATGACCAAATGTAGTGAGAAACTGTTTTGAAGGTACACGATATGAAAGGAGCTTACAATGTTTTTGTAATTATATTGACAGTCGTGGACCAAACAAATATACACGCAATTGGAAGGATTTGGATGCCTACTCCAAGCCTGTTCGTGGTTCCATACGCGGAGGTCCTGGAAGAGGTGGGCCCAGGTCTTTGCATGGCAGCCGAAAAACTCTAGACAACGATGAAGAATTCCCGGTATTGAATTCTCCACAATACAAAAAACACGAAGGCGATAAATATAATGATGACCTCAACAAGTTTGAATCTCCTGTGACAAGATCAGAAGTGCCAGGAGCAATTGTTGACAATTTGCATACAGGTTAGTTTTGTTTATTTTTTGTTTTGGTCGACAGCATTGTTGACATCTGATTACAACAAAAAATTATACACAGTATTCATATTTTTAATGTTAGGGTTGAATTAATAATATTTTGTATGTCAATACAGTATTTAAGTGCTGGCTTGTATTAAATGTCCCCCCTTTTGGCAGAAGTATTTTGGGATAAATACTTTTTCTTTTTTCCCATAATACCTCTCTTCAGTTCTTTGTTTATATAGTACAGTAATTAGCTATTACAGTTCAAATTCTTAGTCATATCTTTCATATTTTAGTTTTTAATTATTTTTATCCTTCAAATTTTTTGTATTTTATATGGCCTGTAATACTTTATAAACCTAATGAACCATTCCTCATTTATGTATGTACGGAATATTAGTGTAAACATATAACACATTATATAGCACCACTTGTTGTGAGGGGAAACATTGTGATAAATGTTATCGTTGTGATTTAAATCAAATTGATAAAAATTTGGAAATAGGTACCTGACAGATTTGGAATTTTTGTATTTGATAGAAAAGTATTTCAAGTCTGGAGTGCTTAACTACTTGTGATTAAAGGAAGTGAGACAGATCTATCTCATAAAGCCCTGTCTTCTTGCTATTGTAAGAGGGGTATTTATACCTCTTGATGTTCAAGTACTGTCATTATTGTACCTGTGAGTGGTGGTTGCTTCTGCCACTTCTGGCTCATGTTCATCCCACTTGTTTACCACATTACCTTCATAAGTGTGTTTTGGAGCTGTGTGTTCTGTGTACTGGTCAGAAGTATGTGATGTGTATGCAGGCGATGAGTCACAATAACGTGGCTAAAGTATGATGGTAAGACCACACACTAGAATGTGAAGGGACGATGACGTTTCGGTCCGTCCTGGACCATTCAAGTCGATTGTGACTTGATCACAATCGACTTGAGAATGGTCCAGGACGGACCGAAACGTCGTCGTCCCTTCACATTCTAGTGTGTGGTCTTGTCATCATGTGTGATGTGTAATATTTTGAAGGATTCTTCACCAAAGTTTCCAAATGCCAATTTTTGTTTTGTCTAGTTTCACATATGCTGCTGATGTTATTCTGCTCATATGCTCCTCTAGTGTTAAGGCTAGTTTTGTCAACTCCCTAGTGTTTTTCTATTTTATTTTTATTTTTTGTTATAACTGCCTCACTCATATATTGCACAATACTTTCTTGTTGGTCTTTATTTTTCTTAACCAAACCATATTTCTATTCAATTATCGGGATTAAACTCTGGTTATCATTTGTCTATACCTGCAGCTTGTCTAGTCCTCTTATAGTATTGTGCAGTCCTCTTTTATTTTATTTTATTTTATTTTATTTTTTCCTCTGTCCTTACTCTTCTCATCAGTTTAGTGTCATATGTAAACATTATTGTGTATTCCTCTTCTGGGAAGTCATTTATATACAGCTGGAACAGTGGTCCAGGTACCGAACTCTGCAGGACCCCACTTGACACTTTCCTAAACTACAGAAGTCTTTCCTGTTTGTCAGATACCAATAGAGTAGTTGGACTCTATTCCAGTCCAGTATCTTCATATTTACTACAGCTTCCTTTTCCAACTTGTGGATCAGCCTTTGTTTTTGGAGGGACAGTGTCAATAAGCTTTTGAGAATTTAGGAACATGAAATCGATGTATCCTTCTTTCTCTTCCTTATCTTGGTGATAATGAAAGTCAATCAGGTTCATAAAGCCTTTTTGCCTTTTTTTCTCTCCCAAAAAACCATGCAGTCTCTAGAGTACAAAGTATTTAGCATTTTACACAAGAGGCATGTAAGGGACACTGATTTGTAATTTATAGCCTCCTGTCTGTCTCCATTCATGAACATGTGAAAATGTACACCACATATTCCTGGCTGGGAATATATTTCTTGATTGCACTTTAGGCAGTTGAAACAACTAGTTGAATTTTTTGCAGGTGATAATGAAAATTATAAACCAGAACAAACGGCACCATTAGCCTCACCACAGCAGCAGTTACCACCGCAGCAGCAGCAGCAGCAGCAGCAACAACAGCAGCAGCTACACAAGATCTCAGGTTTTAGTCCACAACCCCAAGATGTATGTGCTGATGGCTATGGTGGACGTGGCAGAGGTTACAGAGGTTCTGGTAGAGGTTACAATCGTGGCAGAGGCTATAATCGAGAACGTGAACAACATAGGTAAGAGAAGCATTTTTGTTCAGATATACAACAAAATAGATTCAATCTTATTTTTGGTTTTCCATGTAAAGCATGAAAATAGGACATAGTAATTTATTGGCAGATGACTACTAATCCACTGGTACCTTATTGTAATGTGCTTAGAATAGGATTGGGAATAAAACAGTGTTGCTGAGAAGTTACAGAATTGAATTTATATTATTTATTTGGCTTATAGACAGTACACTATATAGGGTAGGTAAATGAATTGGACAAAGTGACAATTAGCTTTGCCTGCTGCTCTTTTTCCAGCAGAAACCTGGATGAAGTTACTACGACATGGCTTAATAACACTGTAAACAAGTAACAAATTTATTTATTTATTTATTGTCAGTGTTATTTTTTGATTGCTAATGTTCCAAAGTACGGTATTGACAAGGGCAATCATTCGCTTCAAACTTTGTTTTGATCTATGCCTAAGACAGTTTAGGGAAGATGTACAGTACTTGGAAAATAAAATATTGTCTATGCTTGATAATCAGAATCATATGGGGCTTGCCCTCATTCCAGTTACCAAAACTTTCGACTTACTGAACTTCTTACCAGGAATGTAGCAAAGTGAATGACTATTTTTCACAAAAGTTGAATCACTCGTAGCTTTAATGATTGCATAACTTGCTTCCTCTTAACACCTCCACATCAATTGCTGCTGCTACCAGACTATCTTAGCAAAAACAAGACTTGTGTTTCTTTTAAAACAAAAAATTTAGGAAAGAAAATATTTTATTGAGTAGCAAGAGGTAAAATCACATAAGGGAAAATATTTGACTGGGCAGGTTGACAAGATAAGGATCGGTCCACCCTAGGCATGATACCTCGGCCACCATAAGAAAAAAGTTAAATATTATAGCAGAGAAATACACTGTACAATACAGCCTATACATGCCGTTCTTTTTGGGTAGTCACAGAAGGGCAATTGTGGATGGCAGGTGGGTAACCAAAAGTGCATGGGGTGGCTAAGAGTTTCTGGCAGTGTAATTTGCTGCTCAGAAATGTATCAAAAGGTTTTGACAAAGTCTGACACACTGGCCTAAAATACAAGATATCAGAAAGAGGGCTTCCATAGACTGGGTGGCAGGGCTTACCTGGAGCATACCTAGAGAGGATTCGGGGAGTTCTACTCCCCGAGCCCGGCCTGAGGTTGTCTTGTGATAACGGGCTACCTATTGGCCACACCCGGTTCCTCGTCATTCTCTCCTTGCCGCCCATCATCACACCCAGTTCCTCCCTGCTCTCCTTGACCTTCTATCTACCAACACCTCCATTCCTAAGCTACTGTCAGGACTGAATAAGTAAGATATGGTCCTTGCTCCCTGCCAGCTGACACATTTTATCTTTCTTTGGAAAACATGTTTTAGGCATTGTGATCACTATGATTTCTTAGCGAGCACAGTGCCTAAATAATGTAGTATGGTTATTATTCGTTTTGGTGATATTTTATTATCATTAATATTGCAAGGTGAAAATTAATATAATTAATTTGAAATGGTATGTTTTGATAATGTCCCAACATTTCATATACACACTTCTGAACATATCATTTTGTATGTTTAAAATGTTTAACCCTTTTGAAACCATTTGTGTGTAGATGTTCAACTAAATGTTTAATTATATTTTATGCTGCTAATTAATATGGTGTTGACAGTCATGTGCAGGTAACACTGTGGGCATTTTGTCAACAGATATAATGAGGACAGTTGGGGCCAGTATTACCAAGACAATTGTCCCAGTGGCCGTGGTAATTATAGAGGCGGACACCAGCAGCGTTTACCCCAACCACATACTCCCCATACACCCAGAGATATAGAAGAAATAACAGCAATGTTAAAGAACATCAGTATCAGTTCACAAAATAGAAAAGAGCCGTTCAGGAACAAAAATCGTTAGTAATTTTTGTATTCCTTAACAATTGTATATTGGTTGTCAGCTTTTATTTTGTTTTATCAATGTTAATGTTTCACATGTTTTATAATTATTGTCATTTAGTAAATGCTATCTTATGTTAATTAGATATCCTTGATATTTTTCCTCGTAGTTCCTCTTCGATACCTTGAATGTTTTTTCTTATCGGCTAGAAACTTGACATCATTTACGTACTCTATAATGATAGAAGCAAAGTTTGTACAGTATTAAAGTTGAACTCCTTTTGGCTATTTGCAGAACAAATTTAATCTTTAATTTGGAAGAGGCATTCAGGACAGTATCTAAATATTTCATTTAAATAATATTTCATTATTTATTTTTGTTAGTAGGATCATTGTATAAAAATCATGAATATTGTTAGTATAAGAATATTAGACTTTGTTAGGTATAGTGGGCAAAGTGTCTGGCAGGATGATGTGTGTGGAAGAATATAGGAAATAGCTTAAACCACTTTCACCTGATCACCACTTTCTTGTTTGTGTCTGTGGCGAGTGAAATTTAGCTCTAAAGTTGTCAATGAATACTTCCTTAGGTTCGGACAAGTTCAGTTGTGTTCCAGCTTCCACCTGTGTCCTATCCTCTTGTTCTATTTTCTCCAAATTTATAATTGGCTGCCCTTGTTTGCCTTTTCTATTCACCTCGATGTCTTGAATGTAGTTATCATACCTCCTTTGTTCCTTTCTCTTCTGTTGAGTTCCTTGACCCAGTCATCATAGTTTAGCCATTTTAATTCAGGTACAGTACTAGCCATCTTGTAAACCAATGTACTTTTAAAAGTTCCTTTTGAATTTTTCTAATACTAGTCTAATGTAAGCTGCATAAATTTTCTTGAAAGAGTGTGTTATACTGCCAGTGTTCCAGTGTTGTATATCCTCTCTCAGGTCTATTTCTCTTTCAGATTTTTTGTCATTGCCCTTCCTTTATGATGTAGATTTCCTCTGATTTTTTCTCACCTTCATTGTCTTAAGCTTTTTAAGACATTTACAGCCATTTCTTTGCCTGCTCCTGGCATTTGTCAAGGTCTTCCTGCAGCACTATACAGTTCTCATCAGTTTTTTATTTTCCCATTAGCTTTTCATTGTTTGAAAACATTACCATGCATGAATACACTTCCTTGAGTAGGTCATTCACATGGATTAGGAAGAAAAATGAACCCAAGACAGTGCCTTGAGGGACCTTCCATAGCATCTTCCTTGATTTGGCAGTGAGATATAGGTGCTTGACCTCCAACAAGCTCTGTTTGCACCTGGAAGGGTCTTCCATGCTAAACTGACTGCTAGGAAAGAAACAATATGAAAACTGACTGGCTTTATGACACCCATGTGTTTTCCATGCATAGTGACCCATATACTCATTTCATTTCATTTTTAAGTTAAGTCTATATATGGGCTGTGGTTCCTGGGGACCACAACCCATATATATTAGGTGAGGAGGTGAAGGTAGGACGTGCAGGTTCATTGAGACCTGGCTGAATCGATGCTTCACCCTTTTTTTTTGGCTAAGGTAAAGCGAGTATTGAAGAATTGGTATCCCTATTGATCCCTGGGATCTAGTTCTGGCCCCTCTCATAGTTGTCAATGAGAGGGCCAGAGTTTTGTCTGTTAACACTGAGGTTGTTTTAAGCATCTGTATCTCTCCTCTTTGAACTCGGTGGTGGATTTGTACATTAACAAGTACTGTTTGTTATTTTCAAGGTTGAGATTGTTTACACTTGCAGTATAGATAAGTTTAATAGGAAAATGAACAAATGTTGAATGTTGCAGTAAAGGTGTTAAGAGTAAAATATTAATTAAAAAATCTTTTACCAAACTTTTTAGTAAGGCACTTGAGACAAAAACATGTTCATGAGTGGTAACCATTATTTTAAAACAAACAGTACACTTGGCTATAAAGATGCAAACCACATTGTCCTTAGCCTCTGGATGTGACTAGGTAACCCATTCTCCTGTAGATGGTAGTTTTTGTAACTGTGCACCATAGTACAAAGATTGGCATTCTAAGCAATTACATAGTAGAACTTTGTACTGTTCACTTTATAGTCAGAAAAAATTAAGCTAAAAAAAACAAACTTAAATATTCCTAGGCCTAGTATAGCACACACATACTAGGACTCATATTGTGTTAGGCCTAGGAAGGTTAGGTTAGTTAATTTGTTTTCGCAACACAAGTCTGGTTTGTCCAACTCAATAGTGCTGATTTCTACTTTTTAATCTTGCTGTACGTTGGTATATGGTCCTCATCGTTACTATAAGAACTACCAAAACAGGAGGATGGGCTGGACTAGGTCAGGCAATGCTACTCACTTCCCCCTGCTATGCATAAGAAAAGTTTGAACATGTAATGTTCTCAAATTGCATCTAAATACAGTACTGTACTTTATAGTACCAGAAAAAATATGCAAAAATGGCTCATAATAAGATAACTGTACAGTATATATATATAAACATTGGGTTTAGAATTGTGGGTTGCCCCTTATTCCTTTTGGCTCTTAATGTTTTTATTTGTAATAATTTTTTACTGAATCATTGTAATACAACTTTCTAAGTCAATGTAGCTTTCTTGAGAATGTTCACAAATTCACATTTCTGTGGACAACCAAAGTCTCAAATTTCCACTATTATCTAGCAGCACTTCTGCATCTACCACGAAGTATGATACAATAGCTAACGTCAGATTGTGATATAACCAGTAACAGTTTTTTTTTTCTTAAGCCACCGTTATATACACTTAAGTCAGATGTTGTGGTTTTTGTTTATTGGTAACCTTTTGGCACATATCCAGGAGCATTTCACTGTGCAGTCTTTCAATGTACTGCATTATGTTGCAGCAGTGGGGATATTTTCCCTCAAGATAATGACATGACTGCCACATAATCAAGATTTTGTGAGCATAGCAAAATGGTTTTGGCATGGGAGCAAATCTTGTATAAATTTTAACTTATTATCATGACAGTGAAAAGCTTAAGGCTTCAATTGCAGGACTAAATCATTCAATGGTATGTCCAGGGTGGTCAAATAAAAAATGTTATTCTCTATAGCCATGGAGAATATACACGTCTATTTAGTTACCTTCTTTTTTAATGTCTTGTCTTGTCTTTCCATACCAGCAGCACCAGACTGGTTCTTATTCATTTCAGAGGTGATCTAGAGATTTTGCTAAGCTTCCAAACTGCATGGAGGCCAAAAACTATATTTAATGCATGCAATATACGGGCAACTACTGTACCCTGATTGTGTCTCAAGGAAGAGGCGAGTGAAGTTGATGAACTTTTGATACTGGATACTTTGCCAGTGTCTATTTTATTATGTATTTAACAGATGCTTATAATGAGATGTAAGGGGGTGACTTTTTAGGTTTGTATAATTTACTCTCTTGCATGTGCCATAAGTGTGTTTTATTTGCTTAGGTGGTGGAGGTGGAAATGTGGATAACAGACGCAACACAATGCCTCCACGACTGCAGGAATCGGCCGCTGCTGCAGCCAACATGCAAGGTCGGGGAAACAGAGGTGGTAATGCATCTCCTGACGGAGATAGCTCATCTTCTAGACCAAAAAGATACTCGTCTCAAAGACAACGCTCCATTCCTGGGCAGCAAGTTTCACCCTTCCCACCGCAACATGGTTATATGGATCCATCTGTAGATGCAGGTAAGAGTTAATAGGTCATGGAATATAACAGAATCCTTCAATTTTTTTAATTTTTAATTCAGTGAACCTCATTTTGGCAAATCTATGGTTGCAACACAGGCTTTCCTGGCTGGATTTACTCATCTGATTTATCGAACAGAGTTCAATGAAGCGGTTGATGTGCAGATTTGCTTAGGATGTTAGACCAGAGTTGAGCAAACTGGTGGAAAAAGTTGCCCATCATATGATAGGTTGAAATTAAAGTTTTGCTCAGTGGAATTGGCTCGGAGCATGGGAAATATTAAGGTATGAATGATAACACTCTTAATGTGGCTCCAATCACATTTGTAATGATTTTTCATAGATTTTCCAACATTAAAAGAGTTGGGACCTTGGAAAGCCATTGAGCATATTTAAAACCAAATTCTATGGTTTGTTTATATTTAAGATAGCTCGATTTTTGTTCACTAAAATATGAGTTCTGTTCATTAGTAAGTTAAAGATCTATCTCCCTACTTTGCCCGTAATTCCTTTTGTGCGCATTTTGTGTGCAATGACACCCTGGTCACTTTTGTTAAAGGCTTTTATGAGATATGTGTGTATTTTATCAGCATTTTGCTCGTCTTCCATGGCATCTAAGGCCATATCACAGTGGTCTAAGAATTGTGAGTGGTAAGAACGCCCTGTTCTGAACCCATGATGCCCAGAGTTATGTCGACACTGTGATTCCATGTGTTTTGTGATATTACATTTTAGAGCACTTTTTCAAAGATTTTTTATGATGTATGCTAGAGCTACAAGACTACAATTTTTTGCATTTGCTTTACTACCTCCTTTGTGAAGTGGAACGATCTGTTATTTTATGTATATCAGGAATACTGTAACACTAGTATGTAGGCTCCATCACCAAAAGATGTTAAGGGCCTGTGATAATGGTTTTTCCAATTCTTGATGAACAGGACTCCAGGAGTCCATGGTTGGTGCAGAGTGCATGGGCATGCAGTCTATTGCTGCTTCAAGAGTCCAGTGGGATTAGGGTGGCGCGTGATATATTCTTCGATGGTGGTGTTACATTCACAAAGAATTCCTTCAGATCATTGATCTTCAATGTGTTCAGGGGTTCACTGAAATCAGAATCGTACTGTTATCTAGTAGTAAATAGGTGCCTGAGAGTTGGGTAGCTGCTACGGGCTGCTTCCTGGGGGTGTGTAACAAAAAAGAGGCCTGGTCGAGGACCGGGCCGCGGGGACGCTAAGTCCCGAAATCATCTCGAGATAACCTCAAGATCTCCAGATAGCCTCAGTATAATTCTAAGCTGCAAGGAAAGTTTAAACCACCTCAAATTTAAGATGGCCCCCCTGAAGTCTAACTATCACCTTAACTCTCAAGACAAATGCCAATATTCTGTACCTATCTCCTTGTGTGCATACAAAATTATATATTTTTTCTTATATTGTTAATTAGCATTCAGGAAGCTCTAATGTCATTAAATTATCTACATGCCATGGTTTAGTTCTGGTGGAGTCATAAAGTTGGCTAGCTTTGGTAGTTGGAGAGCAGGATATCCAATCATGGTAGCTTGGTAACGAGTGATAGGGTCAGGTGCCACGTGGAAATTTGTTATATTTTATTTCTTGCTTTAATTACATTTATGATCAGATGATATCTTGGAATATCAATAGCAGTTTTAATGTTTCATATACTGTCTACGCTTGCTAATGCATCATGAGCCCCATCCTTCTCTTCTGCCATTTTTTTCTTTTTTTACAGGGAAAGTCCAAAATTGAATATTTGTAATTTTTTGTACCACAACCAACAAAATTTATATTCCCCATGCATGGTTAGGGGAGGATTTTCATAGACATAAAGTACTCAAATAATTTACTGTTTTGACAATTAACAAATTTAAACTTGCCTTGCCCTTAGCCCTTAGCTTTCTTTTCTTACAAAATTAAAATCGAGTTTGGCTTTCCTCCTTTCCTCATTGGTCTCTTATGATGAGTTCCTTTCCCAGCCTGAAGTACTGATAAAAATTTCTGACATCAGGATTAGCACTGTTGGATGAATAATTAATTTGTCAATACAAAACATGAAGTTAGTGAGGTTTCTGGAGCACATTCCTATTTTTTCCACAATATTAGCTCAATATGAATGAATTCGCATGTGCCAAGGATTTTCCTGGAATGTATTCGTTGCAGCTAATGAGGATGCTCTGTACTGTATTCATTAAGACCAGGGTGGAGGGTGTCTGCATTTTCATATAATGTCTGTGTAACAAATTGTTTGTTGTGCATTGAATTTGGCACATAAGTGTGTACTGAACTTTCCATGAAAGCAATACCATGGGGAAATTAAGGTTATCACCTTCCCTACTGTTTATGGCTTTAAGAGAAATGTTTTGTTGTGGGTAGTCAAGATAATTTTATAAAATATATTTTTATATTATATTTAATTGGTAAAATATAGTACAATATTTGTTGCATTATTTATCTAATGCAATTTCAAATTTCCAGGCTACCAGGGAGGAGTAAATGATGGAGGCATTGTGACATCAGCAGGTCACACAGTGACAGCTCCTCATACCCAGCATCCATTGGCTGGTGGTGCTCCTCCAACCTTTGTTCCTCCAGCCTTTACAACTTCACCTCCAACTTTCCCACCAGAACCTTTCTTAGGACGGCCTCCTGCACCTCGGATGTTCCCGCCAGTCACACAGTCACCACACCTCTTTGGTCCTCCAGTGGCGCCGCCTGTGCCTGTTCCACCTGTGGGTGGTCCACCTCCAGTGGCAGGTCCTCTAGGTGCTCCTCCGGTGGGTGCACCCCCAGTCCCTGGTCCTCCAGTTACTGGCCCACCATTCTTACCCCCTGAGAACATGATTAATTTTGGAGCTCATCCCGGTCCTCTCCCAGGGGCTGCTCCTCACCCACCTCAGTTCCCGCCATTCCAGGGTTACACTCCTGGTCCTGTGGTAAGTTACCACAATAACATTCCACTACATTTCATTACATATTGGGCATACTTCGAAGAAAATAATTTTTATTAAATTTTAATGTTAATATACACAAAGGTGGTAAGATTTCTGCAAAGATTAGACAACTTTGTCATTCTGCTTAACTAAAGGGTTGGAATCAAGTGGGTGTGCAAAGAAGGGATTTAAGAGAAGATAGTAGTAATGGAGAGAGAACAAAAATTATACAGTACAAGAATGAAAAATTATGAAGTGCACACTCCATCCTGTAGCTCCCTCCTCCTTCCTTGTTCCCACATTACCTCCCATCTCAGTAATGGAATCAACTGACATCCATACTGAATTTTGGATAAAGCCATACTCAGTGTTGTCTTTACCTCTTGCTCCAATACACACCAATTTTTCTGTCCTTCCTCAGCCCCATTCCCTCGACTGCACCTCTCCAGCACGTTTCTAACAGGACCCTGTCAGTTCTCCTATGCCCCTTACCACTACCCTCTCAACACAACCACCATTGCTTGATTTACCTATGCTTCCCTCAACCCTGATTTCACTGAACCTGTTCCTGAACTCTCTGATTTTTCCCATGACCATTCTCTGCCCTAAATTTATTTTCTTTTTAAAGTTGTTTCTGTTCTTCACAATATCTTCAGTTGAATATTTGTAGTTTTATGTCAATTTTAATGAATTTTGATTTCAGTTTTCACCACTTTGTATATATCTCCAGGAATTGATGCTTGTGTTCGTTCCAGACACTTCCATGGTTATTCCTTTCTCTTTCCCCTCAAGCTTTTGCTGGATCTCCTACTCTACTGCTCATTACTGATTTGGAACAATATTCCCTTTGTTCCCTTCTTTTTCAGTCGAGCATTTATTTCACTGCCACTGTACCTTTGCAAGTCAATGATATATGATCTGCTCTGTTTATTTCCCCACTATATTCTCACTTCTCTTCATGGGCTTCCTTCCTTTCATTTGGTGGCCTAAGAGTGCCTGACATCAAACTCGTATTATTTACTGTGACTGGTTGTGATTAACGGTGAATGCCTGACTGGCTGTGACTTGTTGTGACTGAATGCCTGTCTGGGTGTGACTTGTTGTGACTTTGAATGCCTGACTGGCTGTGACTTGTTGTGACTGAATGCCTGTCTGGGTGTCACTAGACTGTGGCTGCCTGTGATTGGTTGTGGCTAACTATGACTGGCTTTGGCTGCTACATAGAAGTAGTGAAATCTGTAAAGAGAAAATGTAAACCTTGTTGTACTGAGGGCAAAGTTGTCACAACAAACCCAATAGTGACCTCCAGTTTAACGAGCACCTAACTGGGTACCCAAATACTGTATTGTACAGGTCTTCAGGATTTAACAACCAATGACACGATAAATAAAGATACAGTAACCGATCTCAAATTCAGTCATTAGATCTAGCAGAATTATTAATCAGAGGTCCACAAATTGAGTGGATGCTGTATATATATTTTACAGCTTTTAAATTTGAGAGTGATTAGGGTTGCCTAACTTTTAAATTTGTGCGAGTCTGATGAAATGAACAAACCAGTAGTGTATTAAAAAAATTTTTTTTTAAATTAATATTAAAAAAAAAGTTGGGGAAATAATCATTCGGTTTTATCTTCTAATAATGTTATTTTGATATTGCAGTCACAGCCTGGAGAGATTTACAGCAATGGAGTGACATATTACAACACTGAGAGTCAGCAGCATCTACCAAGAAGTATACCACCATTGCAGAAAAGGCCGAAGGCAGCAATTCCGATAGTGCCACCCCCTGAAAGAGAGAATAAGAAGGACGGAATGTCTCTTACCCAAGATGAAACTTCAGCACCAATTGTCCTGGAAAGTAGGGTGCAAGATCATGAAGAACCCACTAGTAAAGAACAGTCCACTAGTAATGGTCACACTGTGCTTCAGGATGATCCCAAGGAAGAATATGTCACGCCTCTAGATTCTTCTAGCAATGATGGTGTGTGTCAATCCCAGCAACCATCACAGCCAGAAACATTAGAGCTAGAATGCAAGGAAGTTTTGCAGAAGGATATTGCATCATGTGACACTCATTCACAGCTGGACACTAATATAGAAACCGCCTTAGATGTAGTTTCTGTGAAAGTAGAATCATCTGAAAACAATATAAGGTCATCCAAGGAATCCTTACCAGTGTCAGTAGAGTCTTTACCTACTGAGCAAAATAATGAAGCGGTAACATCTGGTCACATATTGGAAACACCTGACACAGCAGTAGCAGCTTCATAATATTTTTTTTTTTATTTATAATACGTTATTTCCTATATAGGGCTGGAAAATATTTATTAAATTAAACATAATTTGCTTAAGTGGAAGGAGTGTGCATTAAAATTATGAATGACAGGACTTCTCTGAGCTAGGGTAAACATAATTAAATGTACTCGTGAATCTTCAAGCTATTATTACTTAAGCTTCAAATTATCTTGCAGCTAATTTGTTTTACATATAATTAAAATCTTCATGGCTGAATGTTTTCAATAGTGTGTTTAAATTTGAATAGCAGTTAGCTTGTTTGGGAATAATTTATATTGTTTATCAAGGTCAGATTGGAGTGCATTTATACAAAGGTTTTTTTGTAATGGGTGGTGTGGGAGAATAGAAAACTCATCATTAATTTGTAAAGACAATTATTTTATTTTTAGCTAATGTCATTTCCGACACTGTCACTTCACATAATTGACTAGTTATTAAATAATTAAAAGTTGAAGTAAATTTTTTATTATTTGCTTTATATTTTATTTGTTTAGATTCCTGTAATATACTTGAATATATTTGACTGAAAAATTTGTTTTTCTGTTACTTTTAATGCTAAATCCTTTTAAATACAGTATTCTGCAACACACATGCTGCTAAGTCTTCCCAGGTTACTGCTGCCTTTTGATATTTGTTAAGTCTCGAGAAAAGTCATAAATATTTAATTTAGATTGGTAAACAGTGTGAATACATTTGCATGCACTGTACAAGCTTTTTGAATATATCAATGTGTACCTTATGTGGTGTTTAGAGCAATCTTTGCCTCTTCCCCTCCTAATTTGGCTTTCAGCATGATTTACATCCTGGTAATTTGTTTACATTCGTTACACCTTTTCTGCTGGTAATTTGGTCATACCCATTCTTTGACTAAGAGAAAATGCATGACACTACCTGGCAATACAATATATTAGCCCAAATGCATTCTTTTGGCCTGTTGGGCAATTTGGTACTCTTTGTTCAAGGCATCATCTCACTGGGACTGTTCTTGGCCTCTAATTGCCAATTTGAAGGCGTCTTGCCTCCTTAAATGAATGGTGCCTTGACACATTGAGGAGGTTCTTGTGTGCCGCCCGCAGGTAGGCGGAGGTAACTCTTGCTCCCTTCTGCCTGTTGTGACGGTGCACAAACTAAATACGTCCCCACATGTTGGCCATGTGTGGAGACCTGTACATGCCCTTGTGTCTCATCGTCTGGGAGTTGAGCCTACCTGGGGGTTGCGACCCCCTATTGGTCCCTGGGATGCCATTCAGCCCACCAATATATGACTCCTGTGTACTGTTCTGGTTACCCCGAGGTTGCAGCAGTCACGCAACCAGAGCCAGCCAACCGCCCACATGACCACCCATGTGGGCTCTTGTGGTGGGTGGGGTTGCTGGGGAATGAAGTCTTCAAGCCACCCCTAGCAGACCCTCAGGCACTTCAGGCAATCCCTGAACCGCCAGCAGACCGTACCGAGCTCAACGTAGCTGCATTTAGGGAGGGCGAGGTCGAGATATGGCTCTCGAAAGCAGAAAATACTGCACCGGGCGATAACAGGATCACATACAGGCACTGGAAACAAGTCAACCCAGAGTGTAAGCAATATTCAATATATGCCTGCAACAGAAGAGAATACCTCGGACATGGAGGACATCGCGCACCATCCTGATACCGAAAGATGGGGACCCTGAAGCTGTCACTAACTGGCGACCAATTGCCCTGTGTCGTACAATATATAAACTGTACACAGGGTGCCTGGCTGCCCGACTGAGAAGCTGGATCGTGAACAACAACGTACTATGCAATGCTCAGAAAGGGTTCATGCCTACAGATGGCATGCTGGAGCACAACTTCATCCTCCAGCACTACCTTGATGAGGGGGGGGGGGGTGTAGCAGTGACATCTACATTGCGTCACTGGACCTCATGAATGTGTTCGGATCCGTGCCAACTGAGCTGATTGACGCCTCCCTCCGCCGGATGGGTGCAGGGCAAGCCTTCATAGACGTCATTCAAAGCATCACAAGGAACAACTCGACATGATTCCTGACAGCTAGTGGTGAAACAAACGAGATTCCTGTCAACTATGGAGTCCGCCAAGGCTGCCCTATCAGTGGGCTATTGTTTAACATTGCTATCGAACCAATCCTGCAGACAGCCATCGTCACTGGCCTCGACACCGACCCCGACTTTAAACACCCCTACCTGGCCTACACAGATATCACACTGCTGGCCAGGACTGAAGCAGGCCTGCAACAACGCCTCGATGTCACCACGGTGACCTGTGGGGACCTGAGACTGGCGCTAAACCCAAGAAAATTCTCCTCAATGCTTATGTCTGGGAGGTAGCCGAGGGGTATGAGAAATACAATATTCAAAATCGGAGACACAAAAATCAGAAGCCGTGGGAACGGCGAAGAGACGACGTTCCTTAGCAGGCCAGTAGGATTCCACCTACTGCCAAACTCAACCGCTATAGAAGAATTCAAGAAGCTAGGAGAGACCATATTGACCAGCAAGTTGGCACCCTGGCAACGGATTGATGCATTAAAATCCTTTGTATTCCCCACGAGTGTTCGCCATGCGAACCTGGCAGCTGAGGAAGGGAGATTGGCAGCAGCTTGACCACTATCTACGACAAATCATCAAGTCAACTCTCTACCTCCCGAGATGCGCCATGAACGATTACCTATATGGCAGTGCAGCAGCAGGCTCTTATGGTATCCCCCTTGCAGCATAGGACTCGGACGTGTTCATGATCGATTCGGCCTTTAAACTCCTTACCACGCCGGACCAAGATACACGAAACATCGCGAGAGCGGACTGGGCTAAGGTGGTGACAAAGAGGCTATGAGAGGAAGCTACATTAATGAATGTGTGCCAGTACCTGTCCAAGGAAGCCATGACTCAGAGGCCGACCGGCCATGAAACGGTCTGGTCAAGAGCCAGGAATGCGTCTGCACGACTAAACACGAAATGGTCAGCTGACGGTGAGGAACTCGCACTAACGTGCAGGGAGAGGACAATGACATGAAAAGAAAGGAGACTCGTGGCACGAAACATCAGTTTACTTTTGTGTATACTTCAGACCTTTTTTTTCTTCTTCTTATTCTTCTCACTCATTGGGTAAATGAGCAGGCCCACAAGTCAGACCATGAAGGAAGGACAGGATCTGTAGCCTCGGCTACATTGGGCCCAGACCTGGCTTCATCTCTGAATACCCCTACTGATGCTTTCCATTCCCCTCCCACTTCTGTGGCTGGGCTGAGCCCCAAACCCCCTGTGGTGACTACCATGACCCCCATTAGTGATTTCATCTTCCATTGTGACAACTGTGCCGTTTACCCCCTGCTTCATGGAAGTTCCTGATGCCATCACCACGCTCGCTTGTTTGATTCCTGCTACCACTTCTATGTTCCAGGATTCATTCAACCCTGCTTTGTGGCATAAGTTCTTTGATTTTTGTTGTATTCCCCACGACATCATGGCAGGTATAATAAGCATACCTGCCTTGATGATCACATCCATAAGCACTTGGTTGATTCTGTAGATTCCCAAGTTACTTTTAACCCTACCTGGACTGGCACCTGTAGTTGCAGCCCCTTCCTAGGAAGCAGCTGCCCCACCTAGCTACTTTGTCCTGCATTGTTGAGACCCCCAGTTTGGGCAGTCAAAAATACCCTGTTGAATGCCAGCTTTGGCACTGTTGTTCTCTCACACTCGCAGTGCTTGAATGGCGTGCGCGAGCTTCACACAATCTGGGAGCCTCACCTCTGGGAGCCTCTGGGAGCTTCACACACGGGCAATCAGCCTGTGACGTTCCCTTCTCCATGTCCCCACAGCCAAAGTAAGTGGAATTTCTTAGTTTTTTTTTACATGTACGTGTCCAGGGAAGGGAATTTATCAATTTACAAAAGCTAAAAAAAAAATTTGCAAACACTTTATTTTATGCGCACAGGGGAAATGTCACAATAAACTCGCCACATCACAGTGGTTAGAGAGTTCCCATTATCAAACTGCAGTTTGTTTTATGATGTTTATTGCTAGAAATTTAAGAATATTGAGTTTTGCTAATAAATCCCTATTATTGCCAAGATTTTACATCTCTGGCAATTACCATACCTAATATGGTAACCATACCTAGTATGGTTACGGTAAACCTTGTTATTTGATAGTCAATTATTATAATTTGGAGCATGTAGCAGGCCATGACTAAAGATAGTTCGTATAAGGGCAGATGTCTAAAGTGGTTCATATAGGATCAATGATCATCAGGAGGGTTCAGTAACACCTACCAGTATTTGAATGTAGTTACTGTGTTCAGTGAATGATAAAATGGCTTCAATGGTTTAATACTGATTGATGGCTAGAGTGAGATGGAGAGAAAAGACTTAATTTTTAAAACTTGCAATGTTTAGCAGTGCTGATTTTTTCTTCTCTTTTAAATGGCTGTGGATGGTTAAAACCATTTAAGTGACATGGTGGTGTATGCCAAAAAAATCATCAGCAGATTCAGTGCCATTTGACAGATTATGCCTATGACAGGACACCACAAAGGAAGCTCATCCAGTAATTAAACAAACACATACACTTCTATACATTACGAAGGTGTTCATGAGTTTACAGGGATATTTCTCATCTGTCTTACAGCAGCAATCAGTCTTGGGTTGTTTCCAGGAGCAATCTTCCAGTACTGATCAGTTGGAGCTTTCAAGAGGGTGTTGAGCTTATCAAGAGGCTCACAAGTGCTCACTCCAAGGTCCTCCATGATGTTACAAATATAATCTGGAATTTAAAAAATCTATTAAAACATTCCTTCTCAACATCCACCAATCTTTAATATTACTGTACAGTTTTCTTCTACTCATTTTAGTTTTGTATTCACCACATTCAATAAAGAGCATATAAACTGTAATACAATGAATTCCTTTGCTTAGGTAATGCTAGGTTAAGGACCCTTCCAGTCCATCCTGTCTTTGCTATCGTTTGTACATTTTGGCCACAATTAATATGTTGTGCTCAAATATATTTGTGTCACTAATATGTGCACCATATTACATTCTTAGAACAATAAAACATACCATTTTTGCTGTTATTACACTACACACACACACACTATAACTACAGTAGTGGTTTGCAATGATACATAAAAATGAAGATAAACAGTTCTGGTGGGTGTAATAAACTCTTAGCTAGTGCTCAGGGTTCAGCTAAGTCAAGCATATTATGCATGAATTTGTAACTTCACACAATGAACATACATTTTCTTTGAATTTTTAATGCTCTTGGCTGTCAATGTCATTTACATCAACGTGTAGAACATGAGTATGAACAAATATATTTGTCACTAATATGCACACAATATTATGTTCTTTGAATAATAAACCATACTATTCTTGCTGTTATTACACATTATATATACATTATAACTACTGTATCTACATTTTTATGCACAATTATGAACAACTAAGCAGTTCTGGTGGGTGGGTAATCTTGTATTCCAAACAGTGTAATGCCACATACTAGTATGTTGCCAATGACAGCTGACAAAGCAAAAGACCTCCCGATATGCTATGCACAACACTACTATTATCATCAGATTCATAGTCACTAAATCCTGAATGTGAATGATTTTCCACAAGATCGTTTTCTAAAGGAACCAGAGTACCAGTTACCTGATATCTATGTATTTTGTAACTCCTCCATTACAATACTGTGCTACAGTGATTTGGATAATACTTTGGAAATACACTTTACCAATATCTGTAGTAAGCTGAGTGATCATCGATGTACTTATATCTGGAATCTTCAAGATTGCATCAGTGTAGAGCTTACAAGTATTCTGACCAACACTGTTGATGAGGAAGTCTGCAGCACTAATTTCACTTTCACTCACTACTCGTCCACTGTAATTTAGACAAAAGCAACATTAGTCAATAAAACTTTACAAGAAATGCATACAGTATGCTCAATCCCTCTGTCTGGTTTCGATCACGATTGAAAATATAATTGTTATCATATTTAGTCACGCCTCCCAACAATGGCAAATAATTTTATGTACAAAATACATAAAACTTTACTATATACTTCACATAAAAACTAAATATTGTAAGGTACAGTATTAATATAAATTATTTAATGTTTCTCTATATACAATCTTGAAATTATGTTTTGTTGAGTATGGCATTGAGAGAGAAGTTGTTGGGTGGTAAGATGTTGAAAACATTGCCCTTCATTAGCTCATCTTCATATGGATGTGATAGGCATTTGTGAAGCAATAACACTCCAATTTGCTGTTCTGTGGCAAGCCATTACAGTACTCTTAAGGATCCATAGAATTACCCAAAATTTCTTGGAACTTTATAAATGAAGAAATTAAACAATCTTACTATAATGTTGATACTGAACATAGAATATGAATAAATAATTTTAATATAAAATACATTCATTTTGTAGTGAAATAACAAAGGCAGATGCCAGAGGAAGTAAATATGAGCTCATCTGACTTTTTTGCATCATCTGCCATCTATATGTTATTGTTAAAAAATTACTTACTTTGCAGTAAATGTATTATTTAATGTTGATGGACAGGACCAAAGACCCAAAGTTCAATCCTGCAACTAGACAAGTATTCTTACCCTAATCCCTACCTTTCTTGGATCATCACTCGCCTAATTGTGCTTCCAAAGGTTGAATGAAAATTAAAAAAAGAATCTGCTCTTTAGGCAACCTCTCAACCAAAGTTTTTAGTGGGATTTTGTTAATGTGTTTTAATATATTTTGTACTCTGCAGAATGGTGTCCAATTCTTCAAAAGTATATTCATGGTTTTATTTAAAGATTCGTATTAAACATGGTGAAAATGTAAATATTTTCCTAAGCCACTCCAAGACTGGATAGCTATGCAAAATAGTGATGTACGCATTTTATTTTCAATAATCACTGCTGGCGAGTTCCACATAACGGAAAATTACATACAGTGTATCCATAGAACGAGTTGTGCCATATTTACCATTATAAGTATTGAGTGTTTCTAATTCAGTGTCACTGCTTACAAATCCTGAGATCACAAGTGATGCTATATCTTAGGCTCTAACATCTAAACAAAAACATTAAGTATAGTATCAGTATAAAATGCTAGCTCACTACTAAGCAAAGAGATTAGAGATGTACCCAAAATGGAGAAAACCACCACCAGAAAGCATAAATGCAACATAAGCAACTGTTTGAAAGAAATAAAATGCCCAAAAATTAAGAAGGAAAATCTTTTGCCAGCTGGCCATTTTGGGTCTACTAGCTTTGGGACTGGGCTCTCATCTCAGTTGTGGGTATCTGCTGGGTGCTTTTTCTGGGCAAGTTTCCAGTTTATCAGGACGTGGCATTTTTTTCCTTCTCTGTCCAAGCATGACCCTCGACACTGATCTGCCCTTTGGCCCACCCTTTTGTCGCCGCTTGCTCTCATGGCTCAGGCCTGCCACCCATCTTTTCTTTTCAGGTTGGGTCTATCTCAGAATAGCCAGCTTCCTTTACTAAGGCTGCACAGTGAGACAACATTGGGGGAGCTATTAACCCTTAAACTGCTCCTGTCATTCTCAAATGACTGACCTTTGGTGCTCCTGTCATTTATGAATGATTTAATGTGCCTCTTAATATTCAAAGTTCAAAATGTTCTATGTGGTTGCCATTCGACCCTAGAGACTTCTCTGGTAATCATTTGCCATATTGGAAAAAAAATCTGAAAGCTTTGGCTACCTTCCTGGGCATTATTACAAAAAAATTGTACAGGAATACATTTGTGACAAGAACTATCTAGGTGGTGGTTTTGTTGCAGTAACGATTGTCTGTATTGTCATTGTCAGGGAAAAATTCTAAGCAAATGCTCATTTGCTTTCTGGCTGGATTTTCTTACTGTAGTGAACTCTAATTACACTGCTCTCCTTTCCCTCTGAGAGGGTCCAGATTCTGGTCTTGGTCTGTGGTAGGTGTTCATGGGTCACCCAAGTCCTGGTTTATTTCTGAAGATTTGGTTGTTTCCATGCAGTAGCATTTGGCAGGGTACCAAGTGTCTACCAGACGGAGGCATTTGATTATAGTCAATACTGGATTTTTACAATCAAATTCCCTTATGAAATATCTTTGGAACCGGTCCGTATTAATAATTTATGAGGTATGGTTTCCACATCCATTTTCAGAAATCATGCCAGGATTTCACAAATAATGGAGGTTAACCCCATTAACCAGACATGATCTGGTTAATGGAGGTGAAGAATCATAAATTTCTGTTTGGACAATTAAAAAATCTGGGATCGAGATAATGGAGGTTTCACTGTACATTACTTACTATTCTTATTACATAAAAAATCCCTCTTTGATACCTACACTATTATCATTACAGGATTATATTTTGTCCAACAATCTGAGTGGCATGTGCTATGTACATGAATAAGAGATTCTTGTAACAATTACTCCTACAGCAGGCACATTAAAGTACAAGCTCCATAAATAAAGACAAGTGACAAAATAACAAAATCAATGACAAAATGCCCACCCTGCACTACAAGTAGTGTTAGCCTCCTGTAAGGCTCGGTTGAGTGCAGGACTGTGGTTGACAAGGAGTGGTTCAAGATGCTGAGGCAGTGTCATCAAGTACTGGCCTATCTGAAGAAAAATATACATATTATACATACATACATTATTACCCAATATTTTCCCTTTTGTGGGATGAGGAGGTATTGATCCAGAGTTAAAGGAAAGTAATACAGTATAGTAAAAGGTCATAGCATTTACAATACAATCTTTAACTAGCTTATAAACCAAGCACCACCACACACTGACAGTTATCCAAATCAGTATCCAAATGCTTCAGAAGACCAGGTTGTTCAGTGCTGCTCCCGAGTTGTCATATTATATACAAATACATTCACTTCCACTTTACAATAAAATACAATAATAGTGGGAGTGAAATACGTTCTCTATCATTGTCCAGCTTTATCCCTTTTCTATACTCAAATCCCATTTTCTTAAATACCATACAGTATATGCTTATCTTTCTGGTCTTCTTCTTCCATCCTCAAATTTACCTCTAAACACATTTTTCACCTGCATATCATCCATTTATTCATTTTATCATGCCCAAAATCTCCATATGCTCTCCTTAAGAGATTTTAATGCTTTACTCAAGCTACGCTCATCCTATGTACATGATTCAATTTCAAATACATTTAAAACTCTTACATAACTCGGCACCACTACAGTCCCCCTTTGTGCACACATCTGGTCATGTCCACTCCTATCTCATTTTCTTGACAAAAACTTTCATTACATCAGCTACTTCTCTTCCCAAACTGACCCTACTTTCAAGTTTTGATGCACACATTCCACTTTTCAGTAATCATCCCAGGGACAAACTGACTACTTCCAACAACTTCACAATTGGTAAATATTTCACACACAATTTCCTTCTCTCCATTAGCATAACTTTTACTTTTGTCCTTATTCAACAGTCTTCTCTCTCACAACAAAATAAAATTTTCAACTAGTCTATGTAAATTTCACTGCTAAAAATAAACTTCTGCATACTGTATATCAAATTTGACATGATCCATATTACCTATGTATATCACAACCCTAAAACACACACACAAACTCATAAATATCAAACCAGACACTCATTACCCCATAAACTTCAACATGTGCACTATTATCAACTCAGAAAAGTTACACATAATTCAAAACTGCCATCTCCATTCATGATTTTCACTCTTAAATATTCTTTATTATGGAAAGTGCTTATTCCAGGTCCAAAAGTTCCATGTTCATCCTAATTTTCTTACATGCCTTTCCTATATGCAGCCCATCCTCCTGTTTTGGTAGTACAGTACTTAGTAACTATGAGGACCATACTACATATACTGACATACTACACAATTAGAAAGTAAAAATCTGTACTACTGAATTTGGACAAACTGGAAGAGATTTTCTATTTAAGTTGCAGACAAACTAACTAGCTTAACAATCCTAGGCCTAATATAGTATGTGTGTGCACTATACTAGGCCTAGGAATATTTATATTTATTTTTTAGCTTAAATTTTTATCAGACTAAAGTGAATACTACCAAATTCTACTACCTAATTGCTTAGTACATCAATGTTTATACTATGGTGCACATAGTTACAATAAGTACTATATAAACAGGAAGATGGGTTGATATATGCAGTCTCCAGGCAAATATCTGATATATAGACCCTCTTCCATCATAGCACCCACCACTTTCATCACTGATCAATTTCTTTGTATAGACCTATAATGTCAAACTTCGTCCACTACACTTGATAAACTAATGCCTGTAGTTCTTACACTCGCTCTATTCTCCATTATTTTTATACAGCCGTAAAAATCCCTACCATCTTCGACTGGTCAGTCCTACTTCCCTCCAACCTATCCCAGATCTTTGTCATATCCCTTCCAGGTGTTAAATTGTCATGTGGGCCGAGTCTTTTCTTCCCATAACTACCTTATCTGACTATTGTTTTTCAATCCTGTGGCACAGTATACCACTATTTCATGCCTTTTGGCAAATTCTCCATACTCACTAGTCCTTTTATTTCACTTAATTTATAACACTTAATTATTCCTGTACAGTATATACTTCAGCACCTGCAGCTTTCCCCACGTAACTCATTAGATAAATCAGCTGTGATACAATACAGTACATACTATAATTTTGCCATACCAACAAATTTAATATTGTTCACATTAGCTCCTCTACCCATTACACTTACAAAGTATCCTCTTCACCTACTTCTAATCTTCATTATTTAACATTTTCCCATGTCCATCTTTAACATTTCTATTTGTCCATCCAGCAGTCTCCCTGCTTTACTTTCTTTCTTTGCAAAAGAACTAATTTTCCGAATAATTATTTTTTCTATATCTCCTTATTAACTCATTTTTTCTGTTTAGATAATTCTTGCCACCTGCTCATCCCACTAAGCAGATTCATTCATTCATTCTTGTACCAGTTTATATAACCAACTTCCTTGGCCTTCTTTGCCTAATATTTCCCAGTATACATCCCACGTGACACCAAGTTCACTTGTTCATAGACTTTCTCCAAAATAACCATCGACTCTTCTTTTGAACTCTGATCTACCATATCTATCACTCGACTTTTTGACTCATTCCATTACCTCCTGCTGTTGTAAAATCACCCTTTTCCCCAATCCTACATTGTACCATCATGTGATCATACATCCCCATTTTACTAGCTTTAAATTTGTTTTTAAGCATCAGGCAGTGTTTTTGATAATGTCATAAATTCAATTGTGAAAAACACACATTCACAATTTTTCAGATATTTTTAGCTGGATGAATATAACAAAAATGGCAATATTGGGAATTCATATATCGTTACTGTTTACATACTTGAGTGATATATTCTTGTGGTGAGAAAGAGAAGGAAAGGTGAGTAGAAGCTAACTGGCGAGAGTTCCAAGCAGGTAAATCAGGCAGAGCAATCAGCTGAGATGAAATTGGGTTCATGATGGTGTGAAGAGCAGCTTCCACTGTTTTCTGACACTGAGCCTGAGACTCTGTCATACTGTTCTCAAGGAGTCTGCCATCTTCATCTAAAATAAAAGATAGTTTCTTAATACAGTACTGTGTATGTTGAAATAACATTACGTCTCAAACACTGCTTTTCATAGTCTAAAACTTTGACAGTACTTCACTTTTAAAAAAAAAAAAATATGAGCTTCAAGCATTTGCAATTCTAAAAAACACACACAGATTGCAACATTTTTCCTATAGGATTAAGATTAAATCTATACAGTATACAGCAAGGTACTGCCGTAACCATAGCAACTTGTGCACAGCAGAACTAGTCCTTACACATGTCCAAGCAATTTTTAAATGGGTGAACCTAAAGTCAGACTCAAAACGATTTCACAGTAAAAATGCCTACAGTATCTCCAAATGAGTGCACCCCAAAACTTGCACATATTAAAGGCAGACTATATGAAATGAAGTCAAAATTTTACTTTCCTAACAAAATTCAGAGTCCCAAAACTAAGGATGAAGACAAAACATCTTAATGCAGTCCATGCCAATAAAATATACAAGTTTATAAAGACTAAGAAGTGCATTTCTTTGTGTTAATACACAGTTTACTTTTATCCTGAACATTGTTATGCACTGAAGTATAGCATACTTAAATGTTAGGAATAAAATACTGTACAGTACATTTGAGTGTAACCTTAATGGCCTTAGCAGTTGATACGTCTTAATCCTTAAAACCTAAAATGTGGTATTCTTAATAAATTTATGCATGTTTGGGGATATTTCTGTAACAACTTTACTACATTATGCAACATAATAGTACTTACCAATCATCTTTACAATCAATTTTTTTAACTGCATCACTGCTTGGGAAGACAAGAAAAGATCTGGAGTAGCAGTGAACGGTGTGGAAGGTTCCCATGTAAATTTTGAAGCAGCATTGGTGAAGAGTGTTGCCAATGAATGCTCCATGCTATCTACTGCCATGACCAATTCCCCTGGCAAGACACATTCATACACTACAATTTAAAATATTATTTCAAGTACAGTATAGAATTTATCTGGTCTGGTAAACAAAAGATGAATATCGTACAAGAACAAAAATCTGGTTGAATTTTTTAGAAATTTAAATAAATATACAGGATCAAAGAGCCCAGATCTATTTTATTTTAAATTTATTACAGTACTGAAAAATGTAGTTTCAATGATTAGACATAACAACCAGAGTAATTTCCCCAATTTAAATTTCCTTCAAGAAACAAGCAAATGTAACTTCTACATCGCATTACATTACATGATCTCATTGTTCTATTAACGAGCACGCAGTTGCCAGCAATCTGGCAAAATATTCTGGTCGGGGAGGATTGACTAGGCACCAATTTTTTACCTGTATGCCTCCATTCACCCAGCAGTGATTTGGGTACCTGGTTCTTAAACTTGACTGGTCGTATTCCAGGGAAATGAATGGGTAAGGCTTACTATCAGCTTTGGGATGGGAAAGTTCCCAGCCAGCTAATAGGAGCCATCAGTCAACTGTTCCTGTACCCACTTGTGCATAATAATAATAATTATAATAATAATGAAAACAATGAATGTTTAAAATACCTGTAGTGGGTATAGTAAAGAAGTACTGTATATCCGAGTGACTTTCATAGAACATACTGTAAGTATATTAGCAAGTAAAGAAAAGTATTGCCCATACTGTATTTGAAAGCATTTAATTTTATAAAAAAAAAATACAAACAAATATTTTGGTGGAATAAATTAAAATTGTCAGAATTTGTATGATTAGGTATACAAATTAATCTTTTGTATTCTTGAAAGGCAAGAATACTTACCCACTATGGTGTACATTCATGTACATTCATGTACAGTTTCATAAAACATTAAAATTAAATTAAAACAGAAGCACACACTTGTTTATGATCAATTAAAAGAAACAAACTAGAATACTTATGTGAAAATACACATGTATTACAACACTGTATACTGAATATTTATGCATTATTATATAATACATAATACCAATGCAAAGAAAAAAATTGGCAATGAATCCTTATAAAGGAATTCAAGACAGTTAAGCTTCAGTATATTGATTTAATTTGCACAGTAAAGGAAGATTTATGATTCAAGGTTGGTCTGTTTATGCACATTAATTTTATATTATTACTACTACTACTGCATCATTATTAAAAATACTGTATTAATCATCATCATGAATCTTTCATAACCTCTAATATTTGTAAAATCAAAATAGGCCATCGAGTGAAATTAAAAACTCTTAAATCTGTTTACCCACCATGACCTGGAACATTCTAAAAATAATTTGGTCATTTAATTGTGGGAGTGAGCCAGTGGCAAATTTAACTCATGCCATCACTGGCAGACCAACTTGGTATACAAAGGTACAAACATTTAAATAAATATAGAACTATGTAAATAAAAACCAAAGATATTACTCTGCTAATTACCGGCTGGGCAACCAATTGCTAACACCATCACCACGGCCCGGTGGGAACATTACGACACGTGTCAGAATCTAGAAATCTCACTTGCTGTCCAAGTCACCCTAGCAAGCTCTGAAAAGGCTGGACCAAAGAAAAACAAAAACAAAATAGGGAATGGGAGCAACCCAGGAAAGGAATATTTCATTTCACTGTTATACTTGAAAGCAGGATAAAAAATTAAAACCATCTAAGCTGAACACTTGAATAATATCCTCCTGAACCAATGTGATAGCACTCTTGTGTGTGGCATCAACTGACAATGACTCAACATCCAGCTTCCTCGTGCAACCCATAAAAACATAAACGACCATGGACATAGAATTTTTAATTTGCCTTTGCCTTACATTTGCATTCAAATGAATCTTTCTACAAAAACAATTTTTTAAATTTAAATTTTTACACACACACACGACAATTTTTATTAGAGCTGCATTATAAAGGTTAATATCTTACCATAATTACTTTATATTATTCCTTAATAAAAGAAGGAATGTTATAGCTACTCTATTTACATTAATATTTTTCTTTTCCCATAAATATTACATAAACCCTGTAATACCCCCCCCTCTTATTAATACATGGCAGCCTTGGTACCTTACCTGCAGCCTGCATGAGATTGAGACACGTAGTAAATACAGTCCAGTCATCAGTAATGGAAGCTTTCTGCTTTTCAATATACCTCACAGCCTGAGTCAAGCGGCTTGTAAACTGTTCTATGTAGGTGGCAAGAGCAGCTATAAGAGCAGGAAAAGTCCATCCACTTGTTAGCTGTTGAGAGCAAAACATATGCAAGTCACACAAATATCTAAATCATTCTTTGTATAATACCAATACAGTACATCACAAATAATATTTAAAAAATCTAAGGAATGTGTTCAAACAAAAGGAGTACACATTATACAACTTTAAGCTCAAAAAGCATCGATGACAAACAGGCAATGTGCATTTTCACTAAAATGGTAATAAACCTATGGAATAACAAACTTGTCAAAGCCAGGACAGAGATACAGTTTAATATACACATACTTATTAGGAAGAGTGAAGATATTTCAGAAGCCACAGGCACCTTTTTCTCAGACATAGCCAATAGTGTGTGGCCAACAGGTAAATATCTAGGCCACACATGCAGAGTGAATAAATTTCAATCATGTACACTCCTGACAAGTAAATATGGAGAGCAATTTTAACAGTCCTCCCCAAGAGTAAAGCTTACCCATCCTCGCATGAAATGCTAGCTTCACCTGTTTTGTGGTGTAAAATTCATTCCATAAGAGTACACCTCAAACTTAGGTGTGCAATTTAGTTCCTGCAGTAACCAATGAGATTTTGAGGTTTCTATTGGCAAAGGCAACACTAGTGCTTGGAATATTTATGACAAGTTCTGCAGCTGTGTGGGGGATACTGTATTTAATATAGTATCCAAATCTTGCCTTGCCTTCTCATCATGTCCTCATTAGAAAAATTATGGTGGAACTACAGGTGGTGTTAACTTAGTATTTTGTTACTTTTTGATTTAGTTGTCCTTGTTTCAGCAATTCCTATTTTTCTTTAATTTCTGTATTCATTTCTTTTAACTTTAACATGGCACTTTACTGGGAGGAACCCTCCACTAGCTTTCCGAGTTAGCTCCGGTGCCACAAAGCCTTAGCTAAGCACACCATGCCTCCAAAACTCATCAGTCACCTAGTTAAAGCCAGAATCAGAATCTGGCAGCCCAAGCCACTAGGAATGGCAGCCAGCCTACCCCCCCTTCCCCCCTCACTCTTCCACCTGGTGCCAACAGCACATGTTTACTCAGCTAAAACCAGGCAGTCAGTGGCAGTCATAAAAAAATACTAGCCTTCTCTGGAACATTAATTTTGGTGTGGGGGCTATTGCTTTCTGTGTTTCACAATTGTCTGCCGCTTGTCTGCACTAGACTTGGGTTTCGGCCAAGCTGTCTACTGTGGCTGCTGCCTTGCAGGATTGGACTTTGAAGAAATTAGCCTTTGCAGCCCATCTCTAGTGAGTGTTACTAATATTATTCCTTTGCTTTTATACAAGGAAGTTTACAAGTATCTCAACTTGGACACTGATGCCAAGTATTAGCAGGCCACTTTTTCCCTCACATGACATCTATTCACTCATTGTTTGTCTCTGTTGGCTCATGCTACCAATGCATTTCCATGTCGAGAGGTCACAGGCACCAATTAATGTGGGGCTCGCAGAGGCGGCATCGGAGGCTGTCCTCTCTGGGAAGTGGACGCAGGTTAGATGCCTACAATCACTGAATTGATACTCTACTGGGATTGGCCTAGGGATTTGGCTCCCTAGGCTCCATGGCTTCCATGATCAATGCTCTATTTCCTCTGTTGAGGCTCCAGGCTCCAATAAAGATGTAAGTTTTGTATAATTGCTGGAGAAAGGTACATGATTGGCCATTCACCCTCTTTAGAGGGCAATTCATTGCCCAGAAGTTCTGTTGCTCCATCCAGCCATGTCTCTCTCTATGCCCCCATTCCAGAACATGCAGGACTCCTCACTTACCCAGCAAGCCATCTTCCCTTTTAAGGTTTCTGTTGCCTAGTTTTGGACTCCTGGATGAGGTAGGGATCCTAGTGCACTGAGCTTTACTTCTTGCACCCTGCAGCCCAATCTCTATCGTCACTCATCCAGGTCTGGTTGGGTTGATCCCATCTCATGGGATCTCATGGTACACAAGGATGATGGGACAGATGAGGGAAAGGGGGGGGGGGAGATGTCTAAGTGCTTTCTGGCACATCTGGTCCTGGGAGTTTCAGTGGAGTCTCAGGACTTTCAGCGAGTTTGGTCGTCTCCCCATCCCCCCTTATTCTTTTATTGACCTGTTCAGCAGTCTACCCCTCTACTTTGCAACATTACCTTATTGACAAGGGTGTACTTGTAGTGATTATATTCTTGTAAAACAAAACAAAAAAATGGTATCCCATTTCTTTTGCATGCCCAAGGAAAATGCAGTGCTCTGGAAACTCCCTTTTTCTGAACTTGTCTCTCCAGGACATGTGTAGCCCTCAATCTTGTAGGCCTTAGCATTGTTCAAGCCTATCTCAACAACTGGCTGACTTGGGTTTTCTGGTTTGTCTGCTGGTTCTTTCCCATGTTGGCACACTTTACCATTTTGGTCAACTGGTTAAAGTCCAGCTGGTGCCTTCTCAGATTCTAACTTGGCTGGGATTAGTGTGGGGTACCAGGAAAGTTAATGTTGGTCAGTTTGAACTGAGCATGAAATTATCCAAGAATGAATCAGTCATGCAAATATAAGTTCAAATATATAATGTAGCTACAACACATTCTTTGGAAACATTTTCACAAATTTAAATATAATTTTTTTTACCCATTTTGGAGATGTGTGCACATCCTGGAACTAACGTGAGTGAAAACACAGTCATATTGATAGTATTGGGCAGCGTCACTCATCCTGTGAGTGGACACACTGCCATAGTGACAGTGTTCTCGACCAGCACTCTAGGCATCCCAGCAGTTCCCAGATGGAATGCATTAGGCAGTGATGTGGTGGAGGCAAACTCTATACACAGTTTCAAAGGGTAAAAAGTTGGGGAATCAAAATCTTTGCAATATTTTGACTAAAATATTTTTTAGCTTAGCTAAAAACAACAACAAAGCCCCCCCCCCCAAAAAAAAATAATAATCCAACTTTAAAAAAAAATTAATAAGCACAAGAGAACTTGAAATTAAACACATATGGGCTATGCAGAATGCAATAATTAAGCAACATTCCCCAAAAGCTGATAGCAAGCATTTCGTACTTGCAAGCATCTCTCGGCTGCAGAGTCGGCCTGACTGGATAATTTGCTACAGTATTCACGTAATCTACGTAGAGTTTCTGCCATATCACTTTTCACAATGTCTGAAAATCATGGAGGAATGTTAAGTCACATATTTGACAAGATACTGTATATGGAAATTTTTATAGTAAAATAGATTTGTTAAACTTGTGAAAAATATATTAATTGTGCCACTCATATAGATATGAATTGTACTGTACAGTACTGATAAATGCCTAGAAGGTTCATGATTGCATTAAGGCATGCGTGACATGAAGGTGCTGCCACCACAGGAGCGAAAGTGAAAGTGCAGGAGACAATCCAGTCTGTTCACAAGCTGAAATCTAACAGATTCTCAATGATGTCACAATCATAACTGTCAGTGGAAACTGTTTGATAGGGTCTGCTGTCCCTGCACTACACAGATTGACACTCAATATTGGAGCCTGCTAAACAGCAAAAAGCCACAGGAGTCCCCCAGTTATGAAGAACCTGTGCTCAAAAATTTTGAAGTGTAACTGGTAGAGTAAGAAGCTAAAAAAAAGCCTTACAAAAGGCCAACGTGGCTGAATAATTGGTCCTTGTTTGCCAAACCACCATGAAATACAGTCAAGTTGTATTTGAGATTCTAGTAAATGCTCCTGGGGTTGAGAGGTGCTGCCAGCTGGTGGATGCAAGCAGTAGCAACAAGGGTGTCAACTGATTGATGGCCATCAACTTTGTCACAAGTCTGCCTTCACTGGGAATCTGTACAGTATTGCTTTATGTATTATGTGAGCAGACCTGTGAGCCTTTGTTTATTTTAACTAAAAAAGATTCAATTCTCAGTGCTCCCAGGCATTGTAGATGACCTCACAGAGGCAGTGATAGCCCAAGGGGTAGCTACCTTAATGTCAAGCACTCAAAAATATACTTATCGAAATGAAAGAGTGGCTACCAAAGAAAATATTTTTTTTTGTATTTATTGCAGACAGCATATATCATACAGTATAACCATGTAACAGTGAACACTCATCTTAAATAAATTGCAACATTAATTTTTCAGTTTTAGAGAGAAACTAAATACAAAACAGACATTTTAGCATTTACCAGCAGATATGAGATGAGAAAGCATCAGTGCCTCCTCATACTCCTGGTATTTGCTAATCTGATCTTGCAGGGAACTGTACACTGCTTGCACGGCTATCCTCTCAGACTGGAAATATGCTTCCTGTTTTTTTTTTCAGGGATATTCCTGCGCGGGCCCTAAGCCTCTGGCTGGCCCACTAAGTGTTGCTTGTTTCTGTTTTACTTGGGTGGAGTATAAGTATTTATGACTCGTATGGTCGCTTCAGTAAGATTTTGCCATGTGTGTTTAACAACTTCTGCTCTGTTGAATCGAAGTTGAAATCTTAATGGGTTTGTAACTGTGCACTATGTTAGATAATGTTCCAGTGGTCTGTCGGGCATTTCTCCACAGTGCTGACATTTCCTCTCATCTTCCGGAACCTGTAAGCCTATTTCCCATGCACATGGGTATCCAAGCCTGATGCGATGTAAGTGTACTTCTGTTGCTCTACTGCTCTCTTTCATCAAACTAAGTGGTTCGTAGTTGGTTGAATTCTTGTACCAACCCGCAGATCCTGAAGTTGCAACTGCTGTGTTGTGGTCACTGTACATCTTTTGCATTGCTCTGTTTCTAATTACTTTCTTAATCTGTGATAGACTCTGTGGTATGTAAATGTCTACATTTCTTCTCTTAGTTGCAAGTTTTGCAGCTTTGTCTGCAATGTCATTTCCTATTATTCCCACATGACTTGGCACCCAGTTGATAAGTACCCGTCGGCCTTGTCGTTTGAGTGTTTGCATTAATGATATGACATTTGTGATCAGATGTATGTTATCACTTATGTGTTCTTGTTGCAAGGATTCAATGGCGGTTCTCGAATCTGTATGTATGATAACATGTTGTCGGTGTTCAGCAAGAGCATGTTCCAAAGCCTTTTGAATGGCTAGCATCTCTGTTTTTTTGTAGATGGGCACAATATTACAAAAATAGTTGGAGCCTTGGGAAAGCTATTGAGAATATTTAAAAACCAAGTTCTGTGGATCATTTTAATTTCGAGATTTCCCAGTTTTTGTTAACTAATATGGGTCCGTTTTCCACTGAAAATGAATTTTCAAGGCTAGGGCATGGGAAATATAATAGATGTAGTTAAATCTCTTCACAGATGGATTCTCTTGGTCACTCTCCTTCATATGACAGCTTTAAATGAACATTTCACTGAAATCAGCCCACAGACATCAGAAATAGTAAGGTATGAATGGTAACTCTTAATATGGCTCCAATCATGTTTGTGATGAATTTTGTAGATGGACTCAACATTACAAGAAATAGTTGGAGCCTTGCAAAAGCAATATTGGATGTGACCTAGTAAACAATTCATATAGAAAATAAAGTGGCTAATTATATGGAAACGACAAATATGTATTACTTTATAAACATTTTCAGCTGCAAAATTAATATGACTTACACTGCAATATTTCCCCAATCTCTTACCATTTCACTTTATCTAACATTAATGAATACAAAAGACTACCATAAATCAATTTACTTCAGCAAATAGTAATTTTTTTTTTTACCAACCTGGTTTTGCTGTTCCAAGAGTTGATTCAATATCTTTTAAAAACTGATCCCCTGCAATTTTTACAGATATTAGGAAAGTAAGTGGTTCCTCTTGCTGCTTGGTAGCAGCAGCAATCACCTGACAGACAGGTGGGTCGAGTGAAGTAAGGGTTGATGCCACTAGTTGAGAGAGCAAGAGATTGGCATCCGATCCCGTAAACACTTGGCCACACCACCGCACCTGTGCACACACCTTCTCGTCACATTTCCACAATATCTAACATTTTCTGCACATTCTTCCCGTATATACAATAGAAAGTTTCCCGGAATAAATAGTATCTCGTCTAAACTGCCTGATGTTATAATGGAAGGAAACTCCCCTTCCAAACAGCAACACCTCTCCTCCTCCCTTCCTCTTCACCGTCTTCCATACACCAACAAGAGTCATCAATAAAGGTAAGCTATAACTGTACGTACTATAGTACAAAATGTGTGTGTGTATGTGTTATGTATGAAAAGTATTTTGAAGTTAATGTTTTGGGGAGTGTGGAAGGGATTAATTCACTTTACATTATTTCTTATGGGAAAATTAATTTCGAGTTACGACCCTTCTCTGGGAACAGATTAAATTTGTAAATGAAGCTACCACTGTATTTATATTTTACTAAAAATAAATTTGTCACGTGTGTGTACATGTGCACCCGCCAGTGCACATATGCAATCTCACACATGCACGCACACAATCTCACACACACAATTAAAAATGAATTATCTATAGATAAAAAAGGCACCTACTGCACATGTATACAGGTACAGTATTTCTTTACTAGCAGAATTACTGAACATAGTTAATTTAATCCATGCATCATTATTGCCATATTTCCTACCTTTGTAGAATGAGGAGTCGTCAGCCATGACAAAAGACAGGAATAAATACTAAAGCTAAAATAGGATACTATACAGTACATATTAGAAAAGAATAAGGCTATTTTTGGATTTAGTTATAAATAATTTGGAAAGATGGACTAAGCCCAATTCTCCAACTCCTATACTGCAGGTGGATGATATACCAATTTCACACAGCCTATTACTATGTGCTGCAATCAGCTTAAAATAATTAAAAAGGAATATGTTATAAGCTGAAATAAGTAAAAACAGAACAAATTATTAAACAATTTTCAGATTTTACAAGGGCAGATAATTCAGTTTATGAGATACAGAGGTACTGATAATATAAAAACCGCACACAACTCGTCTACCTGTTGTGATGTCAGCAGAGCTATTTTGTCATAGAAGGACGTGAGCCACGTGGGAGGACCACTTAGATGAGACCCTTCTACTCCTCCACGCCATGCAGTTCCAAGCTGCCCGATTTCACACTTGTGATAATAGCTTTCCAATTGACTAACACGCCCCAAGGATTTTAAGAGTCGTGCATACTTTACCGATTCCTCTGAAATGGCAAACAATACTGTACAAATAACAAAAATAATAATTGGGAGACCTAACACCAAACCAATACCTAAAAATTTGAAAACCATAAATATCCTAAGGATATGTGGGGGTATTACAACAGTATACTAACCAAGATTGTGCTGTGTAAATGCTGCAACAATATGTGGGCTTGCCAGAGCTTCAAGTCTAACTTTAAGGCCTTCTAGGTGTGCCACACGATCCTCATAATCCGGTACATGAGTCAAAATGCCAAGGCAGTTCTGCAATGCCACCAACTTGCTAGCAATGGCATCAATATCACCACTGTCCATTACCTATAAATGAGAAACATTTTAACAAATTAAAAAAAGGCAAAATTTTTTTTAAGGTAATATTAATAACCAAAACATCAAAATTATCTTAAACCACTTGTTAGTCACTCTTTCCTCATTGTTTATATTACAGAGCTTTCAGAATTATAAACTACACCACAAATCTCTTCACATTCCTCCATTGCATTCAGTCTCGGTCACCAATTATTACCTGCTCATTTTTCTTATAGTTCTTTATATTCTTTATAACAAGAATTTGGGCTTTGTGACAGTTATTTTTTTTGAGCCCCATCATTCAACTGCTCCTTCATGTTACTAGATTCCACTATTTTCTTGGACATAACTTGTGCAGTTAGGCATGGAAACATACAATATGCTATAGGAAAAGTTCAAGAATCCCTGCAGGGTTAAATTGTGCCGAGGGAGGCACGAGAAAATTTTGTTAATTTATATTTTTGAATTAGGGCTTCATCCATTTATAGTGATCTCTTTCACATCAAGCTTTGTTATTTCAGCATCCTGTCATAGCAGGTACAGCAAGCTCTTGCTATGCATAGATTTAGTTTCATTGTTTTAGTTATTTGTAATTAGCCATTGTTGCAATATGGCAAGACATACACTGCACTAATCTGCTGTGATCACAGGCCCGCTTTGTTTCCACGTGCCACCTTTGTAGGGTAAACACAGTCTCTTATTTGAGACTACAGTATTTACCAGGTTTGTTTATCATTGTAGACAATGCATATGGTTACCCACTGTCTATAGTTGGCCAATCCTAACATGGAGGCATTTTTTCCAGCATCCCAACTCATCTTTCCTCCTGCAGCCACTAGACCAGTGTGTGTGATTGTTGCATTCAAAGAACCAGGACACCTTTGGTCATTGGAAGGTAATTCAGCATTTATGTTGGACAATGCTGCAAGGACTACAATATTGGTAACAAAAATGCATCACAAATATACGACACACACTCATTGTCCTCATCTCAGTTCTTTAATTCATACAGTAGCTCAATGTAGGACATTTTACTTTATTGGCTAAGATTTAATGCATTAAAAACCATGTATATTCATTTTATTAAATTTATTGTGTGGCAACTAATAAAATGGTGAAATCTTAGGCATTCTAGAAACTTACCCCTTTTGTATCAATTATTACAGGCAATGAGTTGAGAGAAACACCAGCCAATCAGTGATGAACGATTCATTATTCGTAAATTCGCTTTGGCAGGAAGCAAGCCACAGAGCTCACTTTGTGTTCATTGGTTGTTGGGAAGGATCAGTCATGTTGCCACTGTCCCCCATTATATAGCCATCAAGTTCACATTTAAGACTGACATTTTAAAGTCATTGTCTTAAAATGTCTTGTGCCTCCACAAGCAGCAGAATGCAAAAGAAAAGGAGAGAATTGTTTAGAAGCCTGCCTAGACCTGATTAACTGGATAGAGGATGAGGGTTCACTAGCCCCACAGTCCTGATGATACATCCTAGAGTAACCAGTTATGGTGTGGCCCATCCAATAATGAAGCAGCAGTCACAAGTGGAAGTGTATGTACTATCCCATGGAGCAGCCCAGGGTAAAAAAATCTGACAATCTTGAGAAAAAGAAATCCATGTAGCAGAAATTGAACTCAAAAGAAGACAACTTCAAACTAACATCTGCAAGGAAAACAGTGTAGCAACCAGTATTGATTTACCTTCATTAGCAATTTTTCTGTTTCTGGTCTAAGCTCTCAAGTGACCATTGGAGGAGTCATAGGTAGTGAGAGTTACCCAGCAGGGATTGGCAAGTTATCATACAGAAAGTTTAGGGCACACCACTATTACTAAGGAGAGGAGCCAGAGGAAGGGGTACTGGAAACAAAGGAGTCAAACTCAGACCTTGCCTCCACAACAAATGGCAACCAAATTTGTGTTAATTACACATTTAATTAGTGATGTTACTATCAAGATGACGGTTTATCCAGAGACTATAGGCAACACTAGGTACATTATTCTGTGTTAAAAAATGTATGGGAGACAGGATTCTCTTTGTAGTTTAAAAGAAAGCAATGATTGAAGTTGAGGTGGTGTGGACTAATTTAAAGTTTCCCAGTATAATATTTTAGTAAATTAATTTTTATTTTAGAGGATTAATAGTACAGTGGATTCTGTGTTTACAAATGCCCCACTTTACAAATTTTTCTGTTTACGAGCTCAATTTCTTCTAAAAATTTGACTTCGTTTGCGAGTTTTGCCTCACTTGGGGAGTTTTGTTGATACTGTACACGTATGGGTCACCCGAGTGTGTGATTCCTGGTGGCAAGGGCGAGGTGAACTTCAGTTTACCAATGTCTCCCGCTTAGTGACAATCGTGCTTGAATTCTTTGTAATGAATTTCGTTGTTTTTCTGTTTTTTCGGTTTCTGAACATAAAAGTATTATATATCATGCCATAAATCCCAAGAAAGTCAGTGGTAAGGTTCAACCTAAGAAAACAAATGTGAGTATGATGATAGAAGAAAAACAAAAGATCATTCATAGTGAGATAATGTGAGGTCTGACTACAGACAAATGTTAAAACATAGAGAAAAAGCAAGTATCTATAGATATATTCTTAGTAAGACAAGTAGTGAGCCACAACCAGGTCCTAGTGGTATGCCTGCAAAATATTGTATAAGAGAGAGTGTACCCCAGAAATGTCATCACTGCCTGATGTTATAATGGAAGTGGACTCCCCTTCCAAACAGTAACATCTCCCCCCCCCCCCCCCCCCCGCATCCTAAAACAAACCCCTATTCTAGTGAAAATTGCTACCACAAGCCAAACAAGTGGATAGAACTCCCCTAAAAGAAACGAGCTAACGATCATGACATCACACGTTGCCGCATGGCTGTCTGCGCAGCTCCCCCCCCTCCCCAGGAGGGGAAAGGGGGAGCCGGGTCGATGGCAGACATAGAATGCTTCTAACCACACGGGGATTTCTATAGGCCATTGCTCCCCTTGCCTATTCTGAGAGGGGCCAGGTTCTGGCTCGTGGTCCCCGGTAGGCCCATAGAACTCCATACACATGACTGATGCCAAAGTCTGACATTAGCATATCAGTCTAGTAAGCTCCGGGGAGCTGAAGGGGCTCCCCCCAGAAAAATACTAAATGAGAATAGTCAAATTATTTTGGAGTAAAATAGCCAGTTGATTATATAAATATGCACTCATGGCATGCTGATCTGTCCACTCCAGTGAAGATATCCATGAATTGACTTCCTCATAAACTAGGAACATAATGGTAAGCAAATTTTTTGCTTCATACCTCCTCAATATCTGTAGAAAGAGTGGTCCAGTTGTCTGCTTCTCTAAGTGCTTGAGAAGATGCCACCAAGCGACCCTTCAGCGAGTCTAACTTAACTAATGTCTGCATGCTAGCTGCCGTATTGTGTTCTACCTGAAATAAGCAAATGATCATTACAATCACAATATAAAATTATGCAGGAAAATTGAATAAACTAAGAACATAGCATAAGTAGATACTCATTCCTGAAAAGATGGAAGTGAACCACAAGTGTTGTAACATGAAATATTGGAAAACTTTTGTACTGGTTGATCAGTGTACACGTTTCTTAACACCATTTTAATACTTGATAACTGTAAAATAAATACCATGTGCCAGTATGTAATAAATATACCAACTTATTCCCACTGGAATAAGTACTACTACTTTGCTTATGATCTTAACAGCATGACATTTTCATTATAATGAACAGTTAATCATCTTGGAACAAACACTGATTACAGACACCAAGACAACTGAAGGTATCTATGAAGTGATGTGGAGTGGTGTGCTAAATATCCATTACTCTACTTTCCTTATGTTATAGTATGTGAGAAAATAATAGGCATGGAACACGGTGAAGACTTGCAAAATTTAAAAAATAACATAGTACTGTAATTACAAACATAGGAAATTTATCAAAGCAGTTACAGTACATTATTTTTAAACTTTGTTGATGGTTAATAGAAGCACTGCCATAGTTACAATACAGTACAATACAGCCATATCAAATTGTATTAAAACTATTTTTCCCCCGTTTACTCTATTAGTTTATATATATGTTCAAATGTCATGTTTTCAGAGAGTACTGTACAGTATTTTGATATGAATTCAGTTTGTAGTTTCCCACAGTCGAGGAACCAGAAGCCTTTATGTTTATTGAGGGATCTGAGGCACTTTCTGACCTTCCCAAGATGTAGCCTACAATAGCTGCCTAACTCCAGGACACTTATTTATTCCTAGCTGAACAAAGCCATCACATGAAAGGAAACATTGCCCAATCGCTTTTTTTCCTAATATAGAAATCAAACCAAGGACCTTTCAGCTGCGACTCGACCGTGCCAACCACTGCTTTAATACTCCAGTCTTCCTTGTTTCCATATTGATCCTCTTAAGTAATTTTCCACCATCACCATTTAAATGCCAAGCCATTCTTGTTCTTCACTTTATAGAACTTTCACTTCCAAGATGGATAATATTTCCTTGTCCAATGCACAATCGAGAATTCCAGGTTTGTACCTCGGGAGGGTCAGAAATAGTTGGGTGTATTTCCTACCACCTAATACCTCTTTTCTCCTAGCAGTATATAGGTACCCAGGAGTTAGTCAGCTTCTTGTGGGGTTGTATCTTGGACGGAGTCAATAATTCGACATAGGGGGGGGAGGCTCGATATAAGTCTAACGTGTATGAATACACTCTGGCTGCCTGTGCCACTACATAATGAATTATTATTATTATAATTATTTAATTCAGCTGCTATATACTGGACTGAACCACTGATATCCAAAAGAAAATGGGTAATGCAATGCAGTGCACCTTTCACAAACCGATCATTCATATACAATAACTGCTTTGTCTAAACATGTGACCAAATTCACCCACTAGCTCTTCTCTCAAAAACTATTTATGTAAAAAATCCAGATTATGGAGCAAGTTGCAGCAAAACCCAAATTATTAAGTAATTTCCAACATATTTTCCTCTTTTTTTTTTTTTTTTTTTTTTTTTACACTATCACTCTGTGGAAGACAGTTAGTTCATTAGTACTGATATCAAAACTGCTATTATGAAAAGGGTTAAGAGACCATATTTTCTTTTGATGCTGCTTAGATTCTGTTAAATATGTTCATAGAAGAGCACAATATTATTAGTATCAGTTATTGGTCATAGGAAATCTATTCAGCATACTGTATTTGAAACAAATTTTATGGTTTGCCAACATGAAAATGTAGAAAATTTTAAAAGGTAATAGCTAAAACAGGGAAATTACACGTAAATCCAGATTATTCAAATCAGGCCTATAATATTATTTTTAATGAGAACAAAGCAGTAAACAGAGTAATGTGGTCAGAATTTACATGTGGGTGGAGATGGCAGAAGAGGGGATCAGGAATAACCAGACATGTTCAATGTCTCGGGGGTGAACCTATTAACACAAGGCTGAACCTGCATGCTGCCACCATGTGGCTCCCTCAGTCAAATGCAATGCCTTCCTGTTGAATGCCACACAGTTTAACTAACCTTTATTAGATAATTCTCTCCTCTAGCTGCCATGTTTCTTTTAGTAGCCCTTCAGAAGCTGGACAGTTTTGTGGGCCAAGTCACAACTTCCACAAGTTTAAATTCAATAAAAATTTGCTGTTGCACCTTATGTCATTAATATTTGCAACAGTGGTAGTTTTAACAAATCGATTTCAATGCACAGCAGTTACATTAAACTAGATACAGTACATTAGTTATAATAGCTAGATTTTGAAAAATATTACCTTTTCAATGTCTAGCCTAACACTGTTCATCTGATTCTTGAGAACAGCAACTTCATGTCCCAGTGATTCAATATCTCTGAGTACTCGTGGTAAGCTGGCCACCACCTGAAAATAAATTTAATGTCTTCAGATGTATTTAATTACCAAATCTCAGAAATAAAACAAACACATGTTATATTTGATAATACAATAACAAAATATTTATATATGGAGATAAAAAATATTATGGGGAATTGATAAACAACGATGATGCAATGTCTGCAATGTGAAACAATAGGACCATAGACATGGGTGGAAGCTAGAAGGTGCAGATGAGCTAGAGGAAGCCGGGAAACACCTTTTGTGCAAAAGTTGAGACCAAGTAGAATGAGCCACAAAACATATGTTATAACAAGCTCAATTTAGCATCTTCAAAAGGAAGTATGATGAAAAATACAAGGTCAAAGTAACTGCATTACCTAATCAGGGGCATGAAAGCATTAGCCCAGGGTAACTGGGCTAATGCTGAACCCTGCAAGCATGTCTAAAGAGTACATATATATAATTATGTACATAAATTCATGCCTACACTCTCTGGATGTGGATTGATCCAGGATTATTTCAGGAAAGCCACTGTTCAGGGTTATCAAACCACTCTTCTCCTTTTCCCTTCCATCATATTAACAAAAATATACAAATTCTGAAACAATACATGCACAAAAATAGGCACAAAACATATACCTGTTGGCTTGTGTCCTCCAGAGCATTATTCACTTCCTGTATGGCTAACTGCAGTCGCATCACCAGGGACGATGCATATTGCTGAAAAATATATACTGTATATTTTTTTTTATTTTCAACAATTGTTAAAGTTGTAAAGTTCCTCCTACAGACAATACTATTGAACCCTATGATAAAGATCATTATAAATGTACTGTATATACAGTACAATTTTGATTCAATGAACTACAGTATATGGGACCAACCCCAATTTATTGCAGAAAGAGAGGATTCATTGCAACTGGAGATGCTTCCAGGATACATTAGCCACACCCTATTGCCTAATTTCACCTAGCAAAATTTTAATTTAAATCTATAATAGACAACTACCAAATGAACATGTCAGCACATATAAACAAAATGTAACCACATCCAGCGTATTTCTCACGTCCCCAGCCTGTAATTTATCGGTAATTCAACCTTGGGGGAAAAAAAGGGGGCTGTGATATAAGCTAAACATGTATAAATACATTTTAGCTGCCAATCCCTAGACAATGAATTATTCTTATTTTTATTATTATAATTTCAGTAACTGCAACACTACGACGACACTAAGAGAATCAATGAAATTAAAATTTTCCTACACAAAACAATTACAGTACAGTACTGTATTTCAGTAAATTTAAGCAAAGTACAGTATTTCTCATGTGCATAGTGTATAATTAAGAGTATGAAGTCAAGAGAGAAAAATAATAATCCACCTCTTAAATATATAAAACACTATCTCACTCACATCTCTATTTTGTTGCCCCTCTTGGCTACGAAAAACATTGTTGATCCAGTCCTTAGGATCAAAGTTCTCCTGAGAGAAAGCCGTTAAATCCTGCAATGTACAAATACAGTATTGAATTTAAATTAGAGTATTAAATTTTAAATGTAATTTATCATTTTGGTCTCATTGTATTTCTAGAATTGTCAATTAAAAAAAATTAATGCCATACATTATACTTGACAGAATATTACAAAGCCACACAACCAAGCCTGGGTAACATAATGTATAACTTTACTGTACTCAATCTTTAAACTTTACATGTAACAAAAGTACTTAGTTTCATAAATCATAGTAATACAGTACTATAAATTTTACTTATAAACAATAATTTAACATTTAAAGCTATATGATAAAAGAAATAAAAAAATTCTAGTCAGAAATGTGTCTTACCACTGTGCCATGGGGACTGCATTATTTGGATACAGATCAACGCTGTGCTATAATAAAGGATCTCGGTATAAAGCAATATGGGTGCAAGACAACTAGAACTGTACGATCAGGGAGAGATCTTTTTTTTTTTTTAGTACTGTATACCTAAACAACAGTCAAGGTAAGCAGTTGCGATACAAATTTGATCATGTTAATGTACGGTATACTAAAACATTTTCTGGGCTAATAAACCATATTAAGCCAAATGCAGACGAGGAGTCACAATAACGTGGCTGAAAGACTATGTTGACCTAACCACACACTAGAAAGTGAAGGGACAACGACGTTTCGGTCCATCCTGGACCATTCTAAAGTCGATTGTGTCGACTTGAGAATGGTCTAGGACGGATCGAAATGTTGTCGTCCCTTCACTTTCTAGTGTGTGGCTTGGTCAACTTATTAAGCCAAGGTTGGACAAGGAGAGCATAAAATACAATGTTAGGCAGAGCAGAGCACAGGCTGTTGAAGCTTCCTATTTCCTGCAGTTAGGTCTAGTGGCTGAAGAGAACAGCGGTCATCACTGGCATGTATAACCAACATGTTCATAAACCTTAGTTCTGCAAGTCTTCATTATTTGGAATATCAAATAACTCGAGAGAAAGCATAGGACTGTTTTGACATGATTTACTCTAGATTTACAGAAATTTATCACTAATATTACCATTACTTTATTGTGGACAAGACTTAAAAGTTAGTTTTAAGCAGAAATTATGTACATTCTGTATACTGTACTTACCATAGTATAAAAATGCTTTCAAAAGCGCATGTAACTCCTGAAACAGGCTTGTAATTACATAGAATTTGTTCTCTATTTGGTTAAAACTGATGACATTCTTGAAGGGCTTGTTTATTGACACTTTCTTGCTTTACACAAATGTCCAGATACTCTCATATTATTATTGAGGTCGCATTGGTTGTTTAAAACAGTTGCCGTGTACCAACCACTGGCTTCCCTCACGAATATACCCCCAGACTTATGTGCCATGAATGACCATGTCACCTATGAGCCGCAGACAACACCGTCCGTGAGGCGCGGGGCGGCCACGTCAACACTGACACGCCTCACACCTCTCCTCTACACCCAGCCTCCTGTAGCTGACCCTCATTATTACTCTCAATAGGCAGAGCTCGCTATAGTACAGTTGTCACTCAAGACGAGCACCGCAGTGGTAAGTCTCGGACAGCTGGGTCACAGCCTAAAGGTCCCGGATTCGATTCCTACAGCGATATTCCTTTTGCCTCGTCCCATCCCAAATCTTTATTTTGACCCCTTCCATGTGTTATGTAGTCGTAATGGCTTGGTGCATTCTCCGGATAGTTCCTTTCCCCATCCAACCTAGTTGTACTAGGTTGGACATCTAGCACCTAGCACATCTAGGCACATCTAGCACCTAGCACATCTAGGCACATCTAGCACCTAGATGTGCTTCTTGGGGTTGAGCTTCGGCTCTTTGGTCCCGCTTTTCAACTCAATCAACTAGTGTACCCCTGAAGTTACATCTGACCTTTTAAAGAAATGGTCTGGATCAATATTTATTTATTATTTATTTATTTATATACAAGAAGATATTGGGTTTATTAGAGTATAGAGATTCAGTTTCTAATACTTTTTTTTTTTTTTTTTTTTTTTTGAGATATATACAAGAGTTGTTACATTCTTGTACAGCCACTAGTACGCGTAGCGTTTCGGGCAAGTCCTTAATCCTATGGTCCCTGGAATACGATCCCCTGCCGCGAAGAATCGTTTTTTCATCCAAGTACACATTTTACTGTTGCGTTAAACAGAGGCTACAGTTAAGGAATTGCGCTCAGTAAATCCTCCCCGGCCAGGATACGAACCCATGACATAGCGCTCGCGGAACGCCAGGCGAGTGTCTTACCACTACACCACGGAGACTGCCAAACTAAAGCCACTAGCATGCATAGCGCGTTTCCAGCCCCTCTTCCGAATAGACAGTACTGTTTAATATTAAATGTAATAAATACAATCCTGACTATCGGCATAGTACATAAATACACTTAAGCGCCAGCATCGCACCAAAATATTGTGAATATTAGAGTTTACCTGAAAAGCTGTATAGAAAACCACGACCTAACCTAACCTTGGGAGTATAGGAGGACAAGCATGTAATTACTTAAGTGTAATTACCTAAGTGTAGTTAAAGGATGTAGTTACACTACGCTCGTGGTGTCCCGTCTCTATGTAAATAGCATTTATTGCTTCTTAATTACAATTAGTATTTAACCTATAGCTATATTGATATTAACATTTTATAAAACTAATAAAACAAAACTAAAGTATTTCAATAAATTATAAAGTAACTCAGGATATTTTCAAATTTTGTATAAAATCTCTATTGTTTAATAAAACTGAAAAAGAAATTCTTTATATATAAAACTTGTGTATATAGAATAAAACACGAAAACTTCAACCTAAATATTTTTAGTGTATTAACAGAAAATGAGGAGAATATGTTGGAGGTAAATGTAACAGCACAATTAAGTGTATTTATGTACTATGCAGACAGTCAGGGAAGTACTTATTACATTTAGTATTAAAACGTACTGTATTCAGAGGAAGGGTTGCACGTTTCGGGCAGATCCTTAACCTAACATAATTTTAAGAAGGTAATTTCAAGCAAAATTAAAAAAAAAATGTTTACAGGTACATTGTAAGTTTAGTTTAGTTCATTTATTATGCACCCCATGCCCATCTTGTGGGCGGTAGTGGAAAGGGTTACAGAGGCACATAATTTTAGGCACCCATTATTTTTTTAATCCCTCCCTTTCCACTCAAAAAGTAAATTAGAGATCAGTCTAAGCTTTGTCTTGAGGCAAAGCGCAACGCCTTAAGCCATATTGATGCTCTGTCCACAGAGCATTCTCTGTCAAATTACATACACTGATGGTTCCCTACACCGCCCCACGGGTGCAGCTGGAAGTGCAGTTGTCCTGACAATAGGAGATGGCTTATATTTTGAGTGGGAAGTCCATATAAACAACTGGGCCTCTACCCTTCAGACCGAACTATTTGCCTTGCTTCTTGCACTGAAATGTGTTCAAGTCTCTAAACTTGATATATTAACTGTAAGTGACTCTTTGTCATCCATAATTGCTCTCAACTCTTTTAGACAAAACTGTAACATTCTCGTGTCCGAAGCCAGACACAAATACAACAACAATTATTAATGATGGTAACAGAGTCCATTTCATGTGGACTCCATCTCATGTTGGCCTCCGAATGCATAATAGAGCTGATGAGTTAGCCAAAGAATCTGCCTTTAAAGGAGAAATTGAGTATAACCTTGGATTGTCAATAAGCAGTTTGAGAGCAATAGTACACCAAGAACTTCAACAAAATCTTGTAGATCTTAGACAAAGTGAAATCGACACAAGTAATTCCATCTATCATCATACTATCATGCAAGAGGAGCCACACATCTATGGTTCATCCAATAAAATCAGCAGACTTCTAGATGTTACTATTGCTCGGCTTGGAGTCGGTTACAAGTATCTCTGGGAATTCTCATTATTTGCTGATGTAGACCTGACCAAATGTAAACTGTGTCAGCAAAATTATTCGCACATCCTACGTCACTATGTGATGGAGTGCGAAAAGTATACGCGAATTCAGAGACAATTATATAACAAATGTTCCAACGATGTGTAAATATTTCATTCAAAATGATCTGCTACCAGAAATCTTAGCCAAATATCCCCAGTTTGCTAACTGTAGGTAATAACTAAGTTATTGTAACCTACCCACCGCTGCCCACTGGATGGGGGGGGGGGGCGGTGTGCAGGGCAAACATATCAATTGTGACACTAGCTCTCCACATATGTCAGTTGCTTAATTTAGAAACTGTACTTATGGTTGATCTCGAACCCATTGATGATGTGACGTCTTATACTGAATTTTGTAACTAGCTCATCAAGATTGTAACTTGCTTAGCTAAATGAATTGTGAGGTTCAGTTCCTGAATCCATTATGTGCCTCTGTAACACTTTCCACTACCGCCTACAAGATGGGTATGGGGTGCATAATAAATGAACTAAACTAACCACTCTGAGTTGAACTTATTCAAAAGCAGATATATGAACTTCTGATGGTAATTGTGGGGTTCAGTCCCTGAGCCCATTATGTGCCTCTGTAACCCTTTCCACTACCGCCCACAAGATGGGTATCGGGTCCATAATAAATGAACTAAACTAAACTAATGTCTCCATGCTTGGAAACAGTAGTCCAGATGGAGGGGCTTTAAACCTTTGTACAGCGGAATAACCATTATATTTTCCATGAAGATTGCTCTCTTTATAGTACATATATGATCTAAAGTGAATCCATCGTCCAAAAAGGATAGTATTTCTAGCAACTTGTAGTCAAACGTAAAAAAATGGACTGTTGAATTTTAAAAAGTTAGTTTTGTACCATCGGAATTCTTCCAATGGCACGCTAGAAAATGGAACATGGAGTATACATTTTATAGACATTCCGTGAGCGAGCATTTGCTTCTAAAGAAAGGCTAAAAAATTAAGAGACCTGAATATAACAATTCAAATAAAGTATCCAATAAGCGCCTCCAGTGACTCTGTTGAGGAAAGAGTAATTTGTTAGGTGTTAAAAATGGATCGACTGATATAATAATAAAATTCAGCAGCAGATATGATTACGGTTGACAGCTGTCGGTAACTATAATCATCGACGTTATCAACATATCTCAAACTTTCTGGCTGCTAGCTAGGCTAGTACAGTGCCACACTGTGCTAGCTAGGGTAGTACAGTGCCACACTGCGCTAGCTAGGCTAGTACAGTGCCACACTGCTAGACTATACTGCTTTGATTAGTTGATGTCTTTTGGTGTTATCCTCATCATATCCTTCAAATAAACTGGCACGACATAAGCGAAACATGAAATGAGATTTACTATTTTTCTAAATTATTATTTGTATTAATATGTAATTGTTAACTGGCACCATTTGCCTTTCATTAACGCACTCTATTAACCATATATATATATATATATATATATATATATATATATTATTAAATATGACCGAAAAAGTAAGATTAATAATTCTAACACGAATTTTCTCAATCTTTCGTACATTACGCTTCACTGTTGGAGGTAAATCAAAAATCAATTCTCCAAAATTCATTTTTATTTCTAGTCTGACGCGACACGGGCGCGTTTCGTAAAACTTATTACATTTTCAAAGACTTTAGTTCACAAATACACAACTGATTAGAACTTACGTATCTCTGATTTTATATCTACATTTGAGTGAGGTGGGAGGGGTGATGTGGCATTAACACAAGACAGAACAAGAGGGGATATTAATAGGGTATTAAAAGTATCAACACAAGACAGAACACAAACAATGGGTATTGAATAGAAGTGTTTGTAGAAAGCCTATTGGTCCATATTTCTTGATGCTTCTATATTGGAGCGGAGTCTTGAGGTGGGTAGAATATAGTTGTGCAATAATTGGCTGTATATATATATATATATATATATATATATATATATATATATATATATATTATATGATTATATATATTCGTATATTTTAGTAGCAGTCTTTCTTGTAAAAGTTTGTTGTTGAATATGACCGAAAGGGTAAGATTAATGGTTCTAACCCGAATCTTCTCAATATTTCTTATGTTTTTCTTCACTGTCGAGGGTAGTTGAAAAATTAACTCTCCAAAATTAATTTTCGCACTTTATTTATTGTCTGACGCCTAGGGAAGCGTTTCGCAAGTAGCAGTCTTACATTTTCAAAGACAAGTTGTACATGCAATGCCAAGGCTTATAATCGCTTAGGGTGAGGTGATACAGAATGGATATGTAACTTCTTTTTTTTTAATAAAGTTTAAATAAAACAAATATATATATAGTGACGGTAACGCGTTGGTGTTCGGCTGTTTCAAAAGCTAGGGGTATGGCCTCGTCACATATAGAAACAAAAAATTGAAAATCTGGAACTTCGTCTGTGGTAAGGTAATGGGAAGACACACAAAACACAAGTAAATTTAACAATGAGATTTTAATTACGTTAGAAAAGCAAAACATGAATAAAATGGACATAAAATTCGTATCATAAAATCAATCAAAGTAATAAGAATAATCAAATGACAAAATGAAAAGTTACGTTAAGACAAGTGAGTAATAACAAGTGAACAATATACAATCAGAATAGGTGCAGGAATATTGGCTTTAAGCTGCTACCTCTCTTAGTACACGTAAGCCAGAGCTTAGTCTACCAACGAGACGTTAACTTGTTGAAAGCACTGGATATTCTGAGGTCTGTAGGTCGTGTGGCCCCAGACATCAGGTAGTGTGGCGGGTGGAGGGCAGGTGCAACTGGACACGCAGCCAATCAGCGATGAGCAGGCAACGGACAGGTAGTTTGGCTGTTCGAGGTGGAGCAGGTGTTCCTGGTGCGAATACGTTTGCTCTCTGGCAAACCTTGGAGTTTTATTTGTTGGATATTTCTTCCATATTAGTTGTATATAGCGACGAATTTAGGAGGGAAGAGCAGGCTCAATCTCTTGAAGGAGATTATCGTCACAATATATATATATATGTATATATACAAAAGAATGGAGGTGGTAGAAGAAAATATTAAAGTGTTCAGTGAGAATTCACAAGGTTTTCTCTGAATACTCTTTCTTTTCTTTTCTGAGGCTATGGCACCAGAGGTGCAGACCTTCACAACTTTATATATATATATATATATATATATATATATATATATATATATATATATATATATATATATATATATATATACATAATCACTAAGTTCTCACTTAACTCTTATGTGACTTAAGAGTAACTTAAGAGAGTTCTTAAGAACTCTCAGAGTTCTCACTAAGAACTCTGTATGACCCGGCCAAGATTCGAACCCATGATGTCCAGGATCACCCTTAAACGTACACAGTTCTGTGCCCACCGCACCACTGATCCTTTATAAGTTAATGGTTCGAATCATGGCCGGGGTTTACGGGCTCACCATAGCTCGTGCTACATGGACACTTCGTTCTGAGTAGCTAAATCTAAAACAACATCATGGCCGGGATCATATAGAGTTCTTAGTGATCTATGGCTTACGCGTTCCTGCGCGCGAGAGTGAGACTAGTATTAGTCATGTTCGTTCTCGACTCACAAACGAGAATTCCAGATCGGTGTTCTGCGCACTTAAGGGTGTTTCCCGGGCGGTGTCTAGCTATCACCATGCACCTACCATGCTACCTACCATGCACCAATGTTATCTAATCTATCAGGAACTGATAGATTGGTTGTACCGACAACCACCAGTCTTAGCAACGCTGTGTTCCAGTGTGCATCTCGTGTCGTGTTGAAGTAAGAAACTTTGATCTATGTTTCGTTTTAGCCTTTCCAATCTGAATTGGTGAGTTTTTTAACACTGTATTTGTATGACTTACTGATGAGTTAATGTAGGGGACGTTGGGGAGGAGAGTATAGTAGCGGTGTATATGTATAATATGTGTGAAAGGAACATTTTGATTTTTGTGCACCTGGTACATTTTATCTCTGTGATATCAGCTGGCCGTTATCTTGAGATAATTTCGGGGCTTAGCGTCCCCGTGGCTCGGTCCTCGACCAGGCCTCCTTTTTGTTACACATCCCCAGGAAGCAGCTCGTAGCAGATGTCTAACTACCAGGTACCTATTTACTGCTAGTGAACAGGGACATCAGGGTGAAAGAAACTGCTCATTTGTTTCCGCCTCCACCGGGAATCGAACCCGGAACCTCAGGACTACGAATCCGAAGCGCTGTCCGCTCAGCTGTCAGGCCCCGTTATTTGGGACCTGACAAATAATAGGCCCTGACATTATTTGGGACGTGGCTAGGGATTTCAGTGTTTAGTGAGGGAACAGATTCTGTCGAGTGATCTCATGCCCTGATGATATGTTATCAGATTAAGATTTCTCAAACTTGTGCATTTTCAGTAAAATACACAATGCACATTTTAGGTGTTCCTTTTATGTAAGGGTGAACATATCTTGAATTATGCAACATGTGGTTCATAATTGTTTATTTTTCCTTTGGCTAAGGAGTTTGTAGCGTCATAATGGATAACCAAGCAGAAGAGAATGATGCTCAGCAGAACCTCCTCGACACAGCCAAAAAAGATCATGGTATGTCATTCGTTATTGTTAGTTGAAATGCAATAATCCTAGCTTTGAATAAATTCACACTCCAAGCTTTGATGTAATTCATTAACTCATAAAATTGAATGTATTTATTTCAAGTTATCTTGTTCTCTGTCGATGTTCTCGGCGAACATTATATAACATGAAGTGAATTTTTCAGCACGTTTTGAATCACTGAAAGAGTTTACCCGAACAGTAGATACATTGTTTGTTATTGTAGGAGAGGAGTACTGTGAATGGATTCAGCAAGTTTAGGAAACATGCCCAGTGTCAGAACAAAGTTATGTTTAAATGAGAAAGAACTATTATTTGATGAAATATTATAATAATGATAATAATAATAATAGTTATAATAAGTATAAATAATAATATGTAAGTATTGAAATTCAACTAGAAAGACTATGCTAATTTAGACAAATCTGAGCCTAACTTAGAGCCAAACTGTCACAACCCAGCCCAAAATAGCCTCATTCCACCCCAAACTAACCGAATCCAGCTAACAGAACCCAATAAAAACTAACCTAATTTACACCAGACTACCCAACTTAACCCAGACTAACCTAACCTAGCCCAAACGAATACATCTCAACCCAAACTAATACATTCTATCCCAGCTAACTCTGGCAAATTTAAACTAACATTATCTAGCCAGACAAATCTAACCCCACTCAAACAAACTCATCCAAATTCAACCTAGCCTTAACTAACCCACCAAACTCATTTTTCCAGTATAAGAGATATATATTGTAAGCAAGCATGTTAATCAACTCATTAATATTCACTTAATACAGTTGATACTGAATGCTTTGATTTGCTAATAAAAAGAGTTTCTACAGAGCTCGTAAGTTTGAAAAAAAATCCTAATGCATAGTATGTCCGCAGTTGTGTTGCCAATGGAAGAGGAGTCAGAACACGCGACCAGTACCACTGAAAGACCTAGCAAGAGGTGTGTTGTGTTCTCTCCTGTGTGAATCATACCTCATATTTTTTTGCTTTATCGATCAATTCTGTAAACCGTATCTCATATTTTGATTAATACTCTGAACATATCTATGGATACCATAATAAACTATTATGAAGCCTCTCTTGTTGATACAGGTCGAGCCAACAACAGAAAGCCAGAGATATCAACAAGGTAAGAATGTGTTGAGTTTATGTTTCAATGCATCAATGACAGGAATTTTGTCCTTAGTTCTGAACACCTTAATGCAATCAAATTGTAACGTACTTGCCTCTGAAGCTAGGCACACATTTTTATATATATATATATATATATATATATATATATATATATATATATATATATATATATATATATATATATATATATATATATATATATAAAATATAATTAATAATAGTCATAATGCTGTTGTATATAATTTTATTATTATTAATTTTTATTTTGTATATTTTCCATTCTATGCAAATATCTTCAACCATTCTACCATTTGGCGGGTGAAGAAACACTAGATCACTTAATCTTTCCATTTTTATTGTTCGAGGTTTCGTCAGCAATGTAACATCTTCAGTAATACATTCTGTTGAACTGACACAGGTATATTGAGCTCACAACTGTATACTTACAACACAGGTATACTGTAAACTTAGTATACCTATGTTGTATATTGCGATAATACCATCAATGGAGTTCAAGAAATGCGTAAGTACTTCATTCATAATGATGTATTGCCAGGAATCTTAGCGAAGTATTTAGAGTGTGCTGACTGTAGGTGCAGCCTGCACATGACTGTAAAGCTGCCGCCCAGTTGGGTGGGCGTGGAGCAAGACTAGTAACTGTGTGACTCACCATAGATGTAAAGTGCCTTGTATAGTGACTGTTGTGAGCCTCTTGGTGAATCACTTTATTTATTTATTTATTTATTTATTTATTTATTTATTTATTTATTTGTTTATTTATTTATTTATTTATACAGTATATATATGCAAGAAGGTACATTGGGTTCATGAGAGTACATATTATTGATGTTTTTACATTCTTGCAAAACCACTAACACGCATAGCGTTTCAGGCAGGTCCTAAATCTAATAGATAATTTTAAGTAGGTAATTTGTAGCAAAATTTAAAGAATATTTACAGGTTTATTGTAAGAAAATTTGAAGCAAATTAATAGGTACATTATAGTAAAATTTGAGGATTGTCAACAAGCAAATTGTAGCATAATTTGAGAATTATTAATAGGTACATTGTGGTAAAATTTGCGCTCAACATAACAACCAAGATATAAGTTGATGGCAGTAATTGAAATTGAAATAAGTTTATTGAGGTAAAATACACACAAAGGGATGAGGTAGCTCAAGCTATTCTCACCCCGTTCAGTACAACGTGTTCATACATATATGGACACACATCACAATCAATAAACATATTGCCGAACATTCTGAGAGATAAACATATACAATTCCTCCTTTACACAAGTAGTTTAGTAAGCAGTGATTCCAATGGTGAAGTTGCATGGCTTAGGCACATACACTGGGGGAGTGGGTAGCGCAAAATACAGTGCGAGTTTGAAGCATTAAGAAGGCAACTATGAGGATGAAATTAGGTACTTTTTTATTTTACTTTTGAATAAGGCATAGGTTGGACAGTTTTTTAATTCGTTAGGGGAGTGAGTTCCATAGACTATGTCCCTTGATTTGCATAGTGTTTGCATAGATTTAGTCACAGATATAGTTTAACTCTGGGGATATCAAAGATATATTAATTTCTGGTGTGCTGTTTATGGGTTCTACTGTATTACATCTGTCAAGGAAGAGTTTAAGACCAGGATTTGCATTTAGGAACAAGGTTTTGCACATATAAATGGCACAAGAAAATGTGTGGAGTTTATGTTTAGTATGCTGTGATATCAAAGATTAATCTATTGTATATATATATATATATATATATATATATATATATATATATATATATATATATATATATATATATGTGTGTGTGTGTGTGTGTGTTTAGTTAAATGAACTAAGGGGTTCAATTCCTGAACCTCTTATGTGCCTCTTATAATCCTTTCCACCACCGTCCACGGGATGGGTGTGAGGAGCATAATAAATAAATAAATCGGTCACAGGACTAGTATGGGGCGCATGATAAACTACCACTTACAGGATTAGTATGGGGTGCATGATAAACTACCACTCGCAGGACTAGTATGCGGCGCATGATAAACTATCACTCGTAGGACTAGTATGCGGCGCATGATAAACTATCGGCCGCCGTCGACAACAACCAAAATCTGAAGCACTGTAATCTAATATCTTTGTTTACTTTCTAATATGATTTTTTTTTTATTGAATTCTCTCGATTTTTTATTAATAACTCACCCATCTTTCATTCTTGCAAATATTTAACATCTTTTATACAGAATTATATATTTCTTATGCTGCAAAATTATTTAAAATGGTGTATTGTTAATAATCTAATGAACAGATCAAGATTCACGAGGCGGCGGAGGTCGGTGACGAGGGTTTACTACGGGAGATTGTGAACAGACGACCCGAGGCGCTTGGTTTCCTGGACATAAATGGCAACACACCTCTCCACCTGGCTGCTAAAGGCAACCACCATGACTGTTGCAGAATTCTTCTGGAAGTCAGCACCAAAGAAGTTAACATAAAAAACAAAGCTGGTAATTCCTCACTTATGTTGTCGATAACCACCGGAAACAAATCTACAGAGCTAACAAAATTACTCATTAACAAGGGATCAAAGTTTGATACAAAAAACAAAGGTAAACAAACAGCTCTACACATAACATCTGAGAAAGGTAATGTTGAAACACTGAAACTGCTCCTTGAGCTTGACAAAAGCTGCGTAAACGATAAGGATTCGGAAAAACTGACGCCTCTACATGTAGCAGCCAAAAATGGACACTGGAAAGCTTGCAGTGAGCTTGTTAAGGCAGGAGCAAATTTAGAAGACAAAGATGCCAGTGGCTTGACACCACTTCACTGGGCTGCTAAAATGGGTTTCTCTGAATGTTGTAAGAAGCTTTTGGAGCACAAGGCTTCTATTAACAATAAAAATAATAAAGGGAACACCCCACTCCATTTATTGTGTGCATCTGGAAAGGAAAAACCGGAGTGTGCCAAGCTGCTGATTGATCATGGAGCTGATGTTAATGTCCAGAATAACGTGGGTGAGACACCATTTCATCTTTCCTTTCGCTCACACTTCAAAGTATCAGAGGTTTTCCTTGGTCAGGATGTGAATTTATTGTTGGCTGACAAGCAAGGCAGAACAGTTTTGCATTTTGCTGCAGAAAGGCATAATTCAGACTACGTTGAGCTAGTAATGAAAATGGAAGGAAGTTCAAAAGACTTAATCAACAAATTAGATGACCAAGGAAAAACAGCTTTACATATAGCCATTTCTAAAAGAGTAATTGATACATGTAAATTTCTGATAAAACGTGGTGCAGATGGCACCATTTCCTGCGGTAGAGTTGGCACGGCTCTACATATGGCAGCACATTATGGCCTGGATGATATCTGTGACTATCTCATTACCAAGGGTGTCAAGGTGGACATAAAGAACAGTGAGGGATTAGCACCACTACATATAGCAGCAAAAGAAGGCCATAAAGAATGCTGCAAGGTGCTATGCAAGAGAGGTGCTTTTGTAGCTATCCGTGATGGTGATGAAATGACAGCTCTCCACCATGCTGCCAAGGGCAAACATTATGCCTGCTGTGAGATATTAAAAAGACAACTACATTTACTTAACTTGGTAGATAAGCATAAAAGAACTCCTCTACATGTAGCTGTGGAAGTTAATTCCTTGAATTGTTGCAAGGTTTTATTAACACCTAAAACAGATATTTGGGGAAAGTCCTCCAGTGGAAGTCCTGTAAAGTTGGCATGTGATGGATGTTACCATGATATCTTCAGGCTTCTCTTATCTTATGGAAGTGTTAACAGAACTCACAATGAAAAGGACATTAATTTCCAGGACCTTCTTGAAAAGTCATTGGAACGTCAAGATAGGTAAGACTTTTTAACTATACACGTGGTATTCTATCTCCCTTATGTATTTTATTAAATGTTTAACTTCACAATAATTTTAGTTCACTCTTGTATCTCCTGAAGTTTATTTCAACCCTTTACAATTTTATATCATATTATTTTTCTACACCTTTTTATTCTGTAATTCACAACTGTGGCGTAATTTGGCTATTCTGATTTCGGGTGAGCTTCTGTCTATTTTCTAGTATTGTATTCTTTTACAAACGTGTGCACGTATGGTTATCTTATTCCTTTGTTATATCTTCCTACTTGGACATATCCAGTATCTTTAATCCGTCCTTATAGCAGGCTAGATGGGGGGCCCCGCGCCCAGGTTTCTCTCCCCCTTCTTCCCCATCTCCCCTCTCCCCCTCCCCTCTCCACCCTCTCTCCCCCACCTTACATTGAGTATACCTTGAGTTGGTTTCGGGGCTTAGCGTCCCACGCGGCCCGGTCATCGACCAGGCCTCCTCATTGCTGGACTGGTTAACCAGGCTGTAAGACCAACATACACAGTTGGTCTTACATACATATATACATACACATACATATTTAATCACCCACACAAATACACACACATCTATAATCTTTTGTGTCACAAATGATTCAACAAGAGGCTCACAACAGTTCGTAACATAAATACAGCCAAGGCTATCAAGAGAATATGGGGAACAAGTTAATTTGTCGCTCTTGCTTTTTTGTGGGGGTTGTATAAGGCATGTTATGTTAAATAATATATGAATACAGAAATAAAAGTATCATGAGTTGCAGGATTTTTTTTTTTGTCGAATGTATTTAATTACAGGAAAATGGTGGAAAGTATCATAGACAGCTGCTTCTGGGAGGAAGCTTTCATGCCCTCACAAGAAATTTTAGTGGAAAAGCAGAGGAATGGGAATTTAAGGCTGCTAGTTAAGAACTATCCAGACTTAGTCAAGAGCGTACTGGACAAGTGCATACCAGCTCCAGCCGTTACTGAGTGCGACAAGACACTGCAAAAGCCACAATGGCGTTACCTAGTGCATTACCTGGATGAGGCATACCCAGTACCAGGTATGAAATATATTTTTAGAGAATTCATTATTGACATCAGTATATTCCGTAATAAGTTCAGAAACCCGTTTATTTTGCCACTTCAATTCTGGAGGATTAAACAACTTCCTTTGCAGACTATTAATTCCATTATAAACAACAAATGTTGGGGTTCATTAGGAAGCACATTTTTTGCGAAAGTATAATATATATACGTATTTATAAACATGCTTGTCCGTAGGATAAGTTATCACAAGATGATCTGAAATGTTTCTGATACAGTAATTGTCATAAAACATAATTATATATCTAACAACTGATCACTTGTGTTTGCATTAAGATGCTATTACAAATATTATTAAGATACAATTGTATATGCCATACAATTGTAATTGTCTAGTTATATAAATTGCTATATAATATTGTCTAGCAAAATTTTCATTTTCAAAATTTTATTTCAAGTTAAATGATAAATGGCCAAGTAAATTAAGGTATAGTGCTGCAAATTAAAATGCGCACGTGGAACCATTGTGCGGTAATACAAAAGAGCAGGCATGACAATTATCCTGGAGTGACATGAAAACGTTATACAAGCTTCGCCATTCCGTGCCGCCGCGATAAGACAAAGTTGCTGGTCGCGGTTACCCTTAGTTTAGTTCATTTATTATTCACATCATACTCGTGACCGACCACTTTTTTTATTAATACATGAGGTACATCTGCATTAGTGCAGCTACCCTAGACTATATGAAGTGGAGTACAGTGTGTCAAAAAAGCTAACTACGTGATGCTAAAAAATCTCCATCACACAGGATGGTTAGTCATACAGAGGCATGTGATAGGCAATCTGCACTGGCAGACTCCGGATGCATTTTGAGGATATCATCAACACAAGAGTGAATAAGGTAGCAGTGGTAAAAAAGTCCCCATCTCGCAGGATGGTTAGTCATACAGGGTCATATGTTTAGTAGCCTACACTGGCAAAATTTGGGTGAAATATGAGGATATCCTCAAGAATACGAGAGTGAATAAAGTAATTGCGAAGCTCCAGGTATATCATGCCAACTGGTCTGAAAGGTCTAATAACTGGGCATTTAATGATGTAGTGTGGGAGATCATGCCGCAGATCCTGCTCACAGAGTTTGCATCTGGAGTGCTCAGGATTGGGAGATCCGTCACCTGTAGCAACCTGCCACAGGTAACGGTAACCCAACCTGATTGATCCTTACAACCACTGTGTTGCACAGTCTGGTGGACGTTTTGTGCTGCCCATAGATATAGGTTTCAGATCTGAACAATTGTGACCGACCACAAGTTCAGTCCCTAAAGTAGCAACTGACATATATGGAGAGCTAGTGTCATAATTCATATAGTTATCCTGCACACCAGCCCTTAGATCGTAAATTTGTCATATTTTATGCAAATGATAACGTCTATGAACTCGAGGTTAAACATTTCACATTCACAGACTTTGTGAAGGAGGGGCTTAGGGACATAATTACTCCTTGGGGGAAGGGGGGAGGCAGGGGTGAGGGCACTAGGCCGACTTGGATCCCCCATATGTTACTCCCGATAAAATAATATTAATCCTGCAAATTTCAATGAGGCTAGTCCCAAGCGTCTGGCCTCTAACTCGAACAAAGACATTCTTTCTGTTCGATATAGATATGCTTGGACCACGCTACATCAACACATCACATCAAGTTTTACATTCCATCTGTTATACTTATTTTGAAATCTTTTAACTGCAGGTAAAGAAGAAAGTGATGATACCAAACAAACAAGACCACAGGACTCACAACCAAGACAGCCTTTTGAAACAGAGTGTGGAGGGTTGGCAGCAGGAGCAATAGTGGCCCCGGTGGACCAGGCCTGGCGTTCCGACCACCTCATGGAGTGGATCCTTCGATACAACCACCACCACCTCCTGCAGCACCCGCTCATCACCTACTGGCTCCGATACAAGTGGCTCAGCTACATCAGAATACATCACTATGTTTGTCTAACTCTGACCTTCTTCTTGGCACTTCTCTTAACAATCTTCACTGCAATATCTTGGTAATTATGTGGCTATTACTGCATGTAGATTAATTTTACACCATAAAAAGAGAACTCTTTAACATAACTAATCTTTGCATCTTGGCAAGTATACTGGAGATAATTTGCGAATATTGTTCATGTTGCAGAAATAAAAGCAGTATTTCCGGCTCTTTTTTTCAAATTCTGGTAATTTCATGAGATTCTTATTCTCAATGTTAATATTTTATAGACATTCTAGGGAAATGGAAGTTTTTTAAGTTAATCATGGGTATATTTTTATAATACTCATATTTCTATCTATATCTATAAGCGAGAATGTATGTTTGTCTGTCTGTCTGTCTGTCCTTAGTTAGAGGGAACTAGCCTCACCCAATTTTGCAAGGGGAATGGTCCAGGGTATGGGACGGACATAGCCTGGTCGTGGTCGGCCTAGGGCAAATACTTTAAAAAATATAAGCCTGTAAACCCACCCCCACCAACACGTGCGATTTTTAAGAAGACTGAAATGAAATCGCGGATGTGTTTTTCGTAGAGTTTGAAGTTACTTCGCCGTTTACCCGCACATTTGCATGATTTACTCGAAAATGCTGAACTGAATTCATTCGGGTCAGTGACGAAAATAGTAAGGAAGATTTTTTTTTTTGCAGGGATATTCTTGCGCGGGCCCTAAGCCTCTGGCTGGCCCACTAAGTGTTGTTTGTTTCTGTTTTACTTGAGCGGAGTATGAGTATTTATGACTCGTATGGTCACTTCAGTAAGATTTTGCCATATGTGTTTAACAACTTCTGCTCTGTTGAATCTAAGTTGAAATCTTAATGGGTTTGTAACTGTGCACTGTGTTAGATAATGTTCCAGTGGTCTGTCGGGCATTTCTCCACAGTGCTGACATTTCCTCTCATCTTCTGGAACCTGTAAGCCTATCTCCCATGCACATGGGTATCCAAGCCTGATGCGATGTAAGTGTACTTCTGTTGCTCTACTGCTCCCTTTCATCAAACTAAGTGGTTCGTAGTTGGTTGAATTCTTGTACCAACCCGCAGATCCTGACAAGTAAGGAAGATGGTTACAGCGATGATATGCAACTGAAAACTCAGTTGCATATATTCAGTTGCATATATGCCTGGAGACCGTTCAGGCTTGTTCGCATTTGTATTCCTCACGTGTGCCCCAAAGAATTAGGTGATTTGATAAAATACCATGCCCAAGATTACCAACAGAGTGCCGGCGGGGGGATGGGGAATTAGCCTCGGCTACCATCCTCTTTTGTCCGGTCGTGTTGGTCGAGTGGTTAAGGGATCCTGTACATCAGATGCATTGCTTCTGGCAGTATGGGTTCGAGTCACTTCTAGGGTGTGAGAATATATATATATATATATATATATATATATATATATTATTAAATATGACCGAAAAAGTAAGATTAATAATTCTAACACGAATTTTCTCAATCTTTCGTACATTACGCTTCACTGTTGGAGGTAAATCAAAAATCACTTCTCCAAAATTCACTTCTCCAGACACAAAACAGAACGCTTTAAAAGAGACTAACGTCGTCTATGCCTTCAAATGCCCACTTGGGGACTGTAAGCTCCAAAAAACCCAGTATATAGGCAAGACAACAACATCTCTTTCTAGGCGTTTAACGATGCATAAGCAACAGGGCTCTATTAAGGAACATATAATCTCTTCCCATAACCAAACCATCGCCAGAGAAATCCTAGTAAACAACACAGAAATCATCGATAGATACAGCGATAGCAGGCGGCTTGACGTTTGCGAGGCACTACACATCAAGAAGTCAACACCAGCATCAACAGCCAATTATTGCACAACTATATTCTACCCACCTCAAGACTCCGCTCCAATATAGAAGCATCAAGAAATATGGACCAATAGGCTTTCTACAAACACTTCTATTCAATACCCATTGTTTTCTGTTCTGTCTTGTGTTGATACTTTTAATACCCTATTAATATCCCCTGTTCTGTCTTGTGTTAATGCCACATCATCCTTCCCACCTCACTCAAATGTAGATATAATATCAGAGAGACGTAAGTTCTAATCAGTTGTGTATTTGTGAAGTCTTTGAAAATGTAATAAGTTTTACGAAACGCGCCCGTGTCGCGTCAGACTAGAAATAAAAATGAATTTTGGAGAAGTGATTTTTGATTTACCTCCAACAGTGAAGCGTAATGTACGAAAGATTGAGAAAATTCGTGTTAGAATTATTAATCTTACTTTTTCGGTCATATTTAATAATATATGTCTACAGGAAAGACTGCTACCAAAATATACTAATATATATATATATATATATATATATATATATATATATATATATATATATATATATATATATATATATATATATATATGTGTGTGTGTGTGTGTGTGTGTGTGTGTGTGTGTGTGTGTGTGTGTGTGTGTGTGTGTGTGTGTGTGTGTGTGTAAATCACGTAAATTAACACGTGATGAAAAATGTCAGACCAGTGTCAGACCACGAAGGAAGACTTGAAACAGGAATTTCCTTAAGTACTTTCGTATTTAATAATACATCTTCAGAACCCTTCTGAAGATGTATTATTAAATACGAAAGTACTTAAGGAAATTCCTGTTTCAATTCTTCCTTCGTGGTCTGACACTGTCATATATATATATATGTGTGTGTGTGTGTGTGTACGCCCAGGGAGTTCAGGTATGCAGGTTCAGTCTCATCACACAGCCACCATATGTTCTAATAGACTCATCATCATCATCATCATCATCATCATCATCATCATCATCATCGTGTGCTCTCAGAGTGAATAATGAGATTCTGAAGCATGCACATCTATAGAGCAACAATTAGATTTTGTTCTGTATACCTCTATTATAAAGCTCATATTGTATTGTTTATCTAGGGACTGGGCGTATATGGAACACACATACAACTAGTTCAAGTTCAAGTTCAAGTATGTTTATTGAGACAAGAAAAAAATACATCTCAAAGGGATAGAGTAGCTTAGGCTATTTCTACCCCCCTCTACTTCAAGTCCCTCAAGGGGCGCACAAATTCAGTGAGTACAGATACACAAATCACAATACAACATTTAACATTGCATATTAATATAGTAAGTGTTACAATCATTGGGGCAAAATTCTTGTAGTTCCTAAGTATTCTGTCTATCATATCATTATCACACATCCAAACAATTTGAAGTGGTACACTACTTATTTCCTTATTTCTATGGTTATCCATAATTTGACACTTTAATACATAATGGTCTTCCAAGTTCAAGTAGGTTTATTGAGACAAGTTAAAAAAAAAAAAAAAAAAAAAAAAAATCAAAGATTAGCTTAGGCTATTTCTACCCCTTCCCATACTTCAAGTCCCTCAAGGGGCGCACAAATTCAGTGAGTACAAATACAAGAATCCCATGTAACATATCAGGTTAATATAGTACTATCTAAGAGTATAATAGTGTACATCCACCGCACTAGATTTTAACCCATTAACGCTCCAAGATAATATTCTCACTCTACTTTCATCCATGATTTAATAAAACTACCTTTGCCCTGTCTGTCACATTCCATGAGATACGAGATTTTCTCAGACAGACTCTCCCAACACTGTAACATTTCTGCTTTCTCCTCATTTGCACAACAGCTACTAGCATCAAAGGTGATCTTATTCATATCTAATTTCTTTCTTATTTCTCTATACCGTTTTACTTTAACCTTTGTTTCGACATTTGTCACTACAGAAGGTTGAACGCTAACACTACTAGAAAGTTCATTTTCCTGACTATCCTCTATCATCAATACGTCATGTTCTTCCTTACTTTCTTCAACGCACATTTCACGTCCTGTTTCACTTTCCACTTCACGTCCTATTTCACTTTCCATTTCACGTCCTGTTTGACTTTCCATTTCACGTCCTGTTTCACTTTCCATTTCACGTCCTGTTTCACTTTCCATTTCACGTCCTGTTTGGCTTTTCATTTCACGTCCTGTTTGGCTTTCCATTTCACGTCCTGTTTGGCTTTCCATTTCACGTCCTGTTTGGCTTTCCATTTCACGTCCTGTTTCACTTTCCATTTCACGTCCTGTTTCACTTTCCATTTCACGTCCTGTTTCACTTTCCACTTCACGTCCTGTTTCACCACCATCTTCACCCCGTCTACCCCCCATAGTTAATTTTTCTAATGCCTCAATCCTCTTTTCTAGTTTTTTTAGATATTCCAATATTTGAGTACCAACCTCAGAGTTCACTATATTGACCTGAACCTTGTTTCCACAAGGTTTAATTTTTTCAGCTGCATTTCCTACTTTCCCTAGGCTCGCCTTAATTGTCTCTGTTCCTTTCTCCCACACATTGTTCATAGGCGCTGTCATTGGCTTCCAACTGTTTCCTCCATGTTCCTGCTGCACAATCTTTCCTTCCTTCGAGGATACATCTATCCTGCTTGTAGCACCCGTCCTCGAGTCTCTCAGATGAGGCTTCATGCGACATAGATAGGAACCAGCATTGTGGCTTCCTCGACAATTGCAACAAGATGGGACGATTTTTTCACCGTTTTTAATCTTGACTCTACACTCTCGAGAGTCGTGTTTCTTACCACAGTACCGACACCTGGAGTCAAACTGGCATTTCCAAGCCATATGTCCCCAACGAGAACACTTCATGCATAATATGGGCTCCTCAATGTATTTTACAACTTTCCTGTAGCCTAGTCCTTGCACAAAAATTCTTTCTGGAGCCTCACCCTTTACCAAGGCAACAACCTGGCTTTGTTTTTCACCACGAACACTGTTCCTCTTTGCCCAAACAACACTATCATTGTTGAGCAATAGATAATCAGGATCCAAATAAGTTGGATACTTAAACACTATGACCTTGGTGTACATCATACCTTTTTCCGGAGTAACCATCACAATATTCTCAAACCCATCCTTCGTTAGGTGTTCCACGGCCTCCTCTGTCCCAACTGTTATATAGGGCCGGTGAAGACCCTCCTTGAATAGTGGTTCATATTCAAAAAACTCCTTAGCCAAACGAACCGTCCACTCCAGCTTTTGATGGAAATTCAGTTGACATGCTGTAGGGAACAACAGCCTCTTCCTTCCATTAGTCTGCATCTCCCGCGTCCTGCTGAGCATGTCTTCATTTTTTGGTCTCTTTGTTATTTCCTCCTCACTGTCTTCGTCTCGCTGTCTTTGAATATTTCTCCGTTTATATCTGTTTACTACTGCTTGATACGGCCTAGTATCATCCTGTCTGCCATCCCCACTGTCACACTCTCCAGGCCCAGTACAGGATCTTCCATCACCTAGGCAGACCGCCTCAGCCATTTCCTCGATACACAAAGGCACTGTATCACTGCAACAGTCGAGAACAAATTCACAACATCTAGCTGCAGCAGCCACGTGCAAACACGAAGATGCGGAGCAACACGTCCTCCTCGCATCATGCAGCAGACCGCAGAGCACTGCAGCAGTAGGTGTCGTATAAATCCACCCCGTCTCACCAATATACCTATCCAGTCTACTCTTCAGACCTGGCAAAGTGTTCATTTCAACAGTACTAGCTGGTAACCCATTCCACAACCCTATTTCCAAAGCAGTACTTTCGTATATTCTTTCAAAAACGACATTTCTTCGTCTTATTCCCATTGTTACGGTTTGATTTTTTTTTTATTGTTGCCGCCGAAGGCGGCTAGTTTATTGTGCACCCCATACTCATCCTGTGAGCGGTAGCGCAAAAGCATTACAGAGGGCACAAAAGGTCTTTATCAGACCTCATCTTAGATTATTACATAAACAATTTCATCTATCCTTCACACCTTATAGTTACAATGTCAGCTAGTTACAGAGAAAGTGCTATTTCAAGAGCTATATATTTACAGTAAGTCATTATACATTAATGGTAGGTCTTATCGCTAATACATAATAGTTTGACCAATGGGGATATTACAGAGTCATAGGAGAGCTTCTGTTTATTATTAGTCCTCACAATACACTACTTGTCTCTGAATCTCATATGTCGTTTATCTACTGGAAGCGAAATGTTGATACAGTGCAAGGATTTTAGGTAATTTATCCTTGGTAATAAGATAGGTTGCCATATCATACAGAGTAAGCTTAGCTTTATCTCTAAATGGCTCAATTTTACTACAATCCAAGATATAGTGTTCGAGTGTGTGTCCCTGTCTTTGTCAACACACTTTACACTTTACTTCATCTAGATCCCTATACAAGCCGAACTGCCAGAGATACTTGTAGCCAAGTCTTTTACGAGCTGTGACAACATCTGTTAGTCTACTGACTTTGTTACTTGCCCCATACACATGTTTTACTTCACACATTTCATTGTGATGAACAATGGACCTGCTAGTTCCAGTTTGCACTGTTCTACTTTCCTCAAATTCATCCAGGAGTTCTCGTCTAATGACACTTTTAAGGGACCTATTTGATAACTGAAGATTCCGTTCAATACTGTCTTTATTTACTGCAGCCTTAGCAAAGGCGTCAACTTTGTCATGTTCCTGCAGGCCAATGTGAGAAGGAATCCACAACATTTTTATATTTACCCCTCTTGCTAAGTATTCTTATATATTTACGTCTAGCTTCCAAGACACGTTATTACTTGATTGCAAACTGTTTATTGCTCGTAGTGAGGAAAGGGAGTCAGAAATAATTAAGCTGTCTACTTCAGTGTTGTCAATAATTTCGAGTGCTACCAGTATTGCTATCAACTCGAAAGAGCGAAAGAGCGCGGATAGCATTTCAGAGTTTCAAGACTGTTGTGAAAGCATGAGTGGTGAAGAGGGGCTCTATATCAGTCTCGTTCTGGTAACTGGGTCCTCGGACCTTAACTGCACCTCGTAATCCAAATGGGAGAGGATAGAGAAGACAGGAGTGGGTACTGGTTGTGTCTCGTTCCACCTCACTAATTACAAAAAAGCTACTTGTGTATTTCAGGGATTTTTCATATGCTCAGTTATATTTAAAATTACTCGTGTAGAAAATTAATGAAACAGGCTAATCCACAACATCTGTCACCGACACCAAATCTGATCTTTTATTTACAGCTGAGAAAAAGATGTATACAATTCGAAGGCCTTTGTTCCCTGATAAGTGATACATTCAGCTTCATTTTTATTACCAATTTCACAACCTGCTCAAGGAACACCCTTCTACGAGAGGTATGATAATGACAGTTTCACAAGTTTCAATTCAAATGTATTTGTTATGGTTTCGCTCGTATGTTTATCTTTATGCACTCATCTTTGGATTAAAATGAGTACCTAGCAGATTTTTGTTGTTGACCTACGTAAGGCTTTTGACACTGTTAACCGGAATAATCTTCTCAAACTGCAACAGTATGAATTCAGAAGTCATTCCCTTCAATTCCTGCAATCTTACCTCAGTGATAGGCTTCAGTACGTTTCTGTGGACGATGCTACTTCCCCCTCCCCTTCCAATTGACATTGGTGTTCCTCAGGGTAGTATACTTGGTCCACTCCTCTTTTTCATTTACATCAAAGACCGTCCAAAATGCCACGTAACACCTCACGCCAATTATGTTTCCTAATGACAACACCTTTTTCTCTCATCCTAACTTTCTTATTTTAAACAACATATTGTGAATACTAAGCTAAAAAAAAGATCATCCGTGGCTAACTGCTAACAGACTCACTCTTAACATTGATAAAACGTTTTACATAGTTTGGTAACAAGTCCACTAAACAAATTAACTTAAGAATTAACAATATCCAAATTATTAAGAGAATAGATGCGAAATTCCTTGGTGTTCAGACAGCAAGCTCAATTTACAATGTCATTTAGTAAATATATAAAAAAACAATAATAAAAATAGGTATTTCCTCTAGAATCAGAAAGTACGTTCCTCGCCCTGTCCTGGTAACGCTTTATTATTCGCGCATCTATCCATATCTCACCTATGGTATCTGTGCCTGGGGTTCTGCTACCCAAAATTACCTTCAACCCCTAATTACTCAACATAAATTAACAATCAGAACAATAACAAACTTTAGTCCCAGACATCGCTCAGCACTCTTACTGAAATCTTTGAATATGTTAAATATTAAGTCACTCCACATCCTCTCAAGTATACGTTACATCTATACAACTATGCATTGTAATGCTAATCCTAACCTTATTACAAGCGCTTCCTGGAGGGCTGTAACAGAATCCATGGATACCACACGAGAACCAAATATCTTTCTGACATTCCAAGAGCTGCGACTTAACCAAAGCAGAAATGCTCTAAAAATTAAGGGTTCCAAACTATGAAATGCTCTCCCAAATGACACTAAGGAATGTTTTTCTCTCAATCAGTTTAAAAGAGAAACTAAAAACTAGGTAATTAACTGTATGTGACCAACCTTAATGATCTCTCTACATCCTACATGTCAATCTGTGTTTGCTGTTCTTGCTTTCATTAATAGCTTAATAACTAAACCTGTACTACTATTAATGGCTGCCGTGTTAAAATTTAGTGCAAAAGTTGTATATCATCTGTTAACTCACTTCATCAATTTAAATTATTTACTATGTTCTGTTGCAAAGTTTACAGTTTCCAAATATCACATAATAATTGTCAATCATTTTCTGATTTTATCTATTTCCATGAACTTATTAACGTTATATTGCCTCATTTAGTTTTAAGAATTACCCCCATTAAGCTTACATATTTTTCTTAATTTTTATGTTATGCCTGAAACGTTCTGCGTATTAGTGGATTCAGGTACAACTTATGTAATTTATGAATATTCCATTGTTCATGTACGTAACTTTTTATGTATGTACTCTTGCCTAAATCAATATTATTATATTGTTATGATTACTATTATAATAAAGCAAAGTTTTTTATTTAAAATTCCCTACACAACATAAGTTCTTTATTCACAAAAGAATAGAGCTTAAACTTGGCTGTGTATATATACTTTCAAATTTTTTTTACCACTATTATCAGTAACTAGTAAACAATTTGCTGTCTGCTTTTTAACCTATAACATAAATTATTCAACATGTCAACAAGCAAGCCCTTAATTTATAGCCTATTAATATGCACACATATTACATGCTTGTTTGATGTTATCGCATAAATTTGAAATCATTCATTATAAAACTAAATTCTCAGTTTTACACAATACTGTATGTATAATGGTATAATTATAACAGTAATACTTACGTAATTGTATTTGGTTCAGGACTGGCAGTGGCAGGTGGGCGTGGTGTCTGTACTCACATCCTGGCTGTGCGTCGTCATGTTGATGAAGAATGAACGCTGCTGCAGCAATTTCTTTTACCACACCATCCACCTTTTTCGCACCCTCTTCAACATTATCCTTCCTCTATTAGCTATAGGAACTGTAGTATTTTTTATTTATAAAATAAGTGGCAAAGGAAAAACTGCTAACAATCAAGCATTGAATACTTTCCTTAAAATATTTTCGAATCAGTGGGTCAGTACGGCATTCTTTGTCGGATTAACTACTGTTGTCTGCCTTGTAATGTTAGATAACAGTAGAAATCAACAGAGAAAAGTGAACAAGGACCTTCGCACTCTCGCTTTTGTGAAGATGACAATGGACTTTGACCTCCTATATCCTATCTTGAGGAAGAAGTATTATGCTTTTTGGATACCAGAACATAAAGTAAACTTCAGCAGCCAGTGTAACTGTCTTAAACAATGTTTACCTTGTCAGAAAGAGCAGTTAGAAGAGTTAAGTGAAACGAAAAGTGAGAATGAGAGAGAAGTTTTGGATGAAACACGTGATATAAATGAGAAAATTGAAAAGCTTCACCAAAATGCAAACGAACAAAAAATAGCAACACAGCTATTAGCACAAAATGTAAATGAATTGAAAAATCTGTTAAAAACAAAAAGTTAATTTGACACTGTTGTGTAAACAATCTAAACGGTAAAATTAGAACAGTCGGGTTATTTCTCGGCTCACAATCGGGAATTCCAGAATTTAGCTGAAACCAATCTATATTAAATAAACACCAAAAACCACCATATTCTTTGAATGTTATCACCTATAATCGTATACGTTGTTGTTGTTGATGTTTTAAATTCAGTTACTTTTTTTCTTTTTTTTTTTATTAATACATGTACATCTGCATTAGTGCAGCTCCCCTAGACTATATGAAGTGGAGTACAGTGTGTCAAAAAAAGCTAACTACGTGATGCTAAAAAATCCCCATCACACAGGATGGTTAGTCATACAGAGGCATGTGATAAGCAGTCTGCACTGGCAGACTCCGGATGCATTTTGAGGATATCAACACAAGAGTGAATAAGGTAGCAGTGGTAATGAATGTCCCCATCTCGCAGGATGGTTAGTCATACAGGGCCATATGTTTAGTAGCCTGCACTGGCAAATTTTGGGTGCAATATGAGGATATCCTCAAGAATACGAGAATGACTAAAGTAATTGCAAAGCTCCAGGCACTTTCCTGCACCGTGGGAGGTTACACCCTTTCCAGTTTTAATCCCTCCCTTTCCACCCAAGAAGCAAACTAGAGATCAGCCCAAGCTTCGTCTTGAGGTAAAGCTCAACGCCTTAAGCCATATTGATGCTCTGTCCACAGAGCATTCTCTCTCTCAAATTATATACACTGATGGTTCCCTACACCGCACCACGGGTGCAGCTGGAAGTGCAGTTGTCCTGACAATGGGCGATGGCCTATACTTTGAGTGGGGAGTCCGTATAAAAACTGGGCCTCTACCCTTCAGACTGAACTATTTGCCTTGCTTCTTGCACTGTATATATCTCAAAAAAAAAAAAAAAAAAAAAAAAAAAATACATTAATTGTAAGTGACTCCTTATCATCCTTAAATGCTCTCAACTCTTTAAGACATAACTGTAACATGCTCGTGTCCGAAGCTAGACACAAATACAACAAAATTATTAAGGATGGTAACAGAGTCCATTTCATGTGGTCTCCATCTCATGTTGGCCTCCGAATGCATGATAGAGCTGATAAGTTAGCCAAAGAATCTGCCTTTAAAGGAACCGTTGAGTGTAACCTTGGATTGTCAATGAGCAATCTGAGAGCAGCAGTACACCGAGAACTTCAACAAGATCTTGTAGATCTGAGGCAAAGTGAAATTGACACCAGTAATTCCATCTATCATCATACTCTCATGCAAGAGGAGCCACACATCTATGGATCATCCAATAAAATCAGCAGACTTCTAGATGTTACTACTGCTCGGCTTAGACTCGGTTACAAGTATCTCTGGGAATTCTCATTATCTGCTGATGTAGACCTGACCAAATGTAAACTGTGTCAACAAAATTATTCGCACACCCTCCGTCACTATGTGATGGAGTGCGAAAAGATACGTGAATTTAGAGACAATTCTATAACCAATGTTCCAGCGATGTGTAAATATTTCATTCAAAATGATCTGCTACCAGAAATTTTAGCCAAATATCCCCAGTTTGCTAACTGTAGGTAGTAACTGAGTGATTGTAACCTATCCACCGCTGCCCACTGGATGGGGGGCGGTGTGCAGGACAAACATATCAATTGTGACACTAGCTCTCCACATATGTCAGTTGCTTAATTTAGAACCTGTACTTGAGGTCGATCTCGAACCCATTGTTGATGTGACGACTTATATTAAAGTTTGTAACTAGCTTATCAAGATTGTAACTTGCTTAGCTAAATGAATTGTGGGGTTCAGTCCCTGAGCCCATTATGTGCCTCTGTAACCCTTTCCACTACCGCCCACAAGATGGGTATGGGGTGCATAATAAATGAACTAAACTAAAAGCTCCAGGTACCTCATGCCAACTGGTCTGAAAGGTCTAATAACTGGGCATTCGGTGATGTAGTGTGGGAGATCATGCCGCAGTTCCTGCTCACAGAGTTTGCACCTGGAGTGCTCAGAATTGTAACAAAATAGACGGCAAATTCCTTGGCGTTCTCATTGACCACAAACTGAATTTCCTGGGACACATTCTAAATATATCAAAAAAAGTCTCAAAAACTGTTGGCATTCTTTCTAAGATCAGATATTATGTACCCCGCCCTGCCCTGGTGACGCCCTATTACTCCCTCATCTATCCATATCTCAACTATGGTATTTGTGCTTGGGGTTCTACTACCCAAAATCATTTACGTCCTCTAATTACTCAACACAAAGCTGCTATTAGGACAATATCCAACTCTGGCCCCAGACATCACTCGGTACCCCTACTCAAGTCTCTGAATATGTTAGATATTAAGTCACTGCACATCCTCTCATGTGTATTATACATATATAAAACGCTGAACTGTAATGCCAATCCTGACCTCAAAAGCTTCATTGAAGGTTGTAACAGAACCCATGAGCACCACACCAGAAACAAATACCTATTTGATATTCCAAGATTACGACTTAATCAAACTAGAAATGCTCTACAAATCAAGGTACCCAGAATGTGGAATGACCTTCCCAATCATGTTAAAGACTGTACCTCTCTTAACCAGTTTAAGATAAAAACTAAGCACTACCTAATAAATTCCCTGTAACCTACCTTACCCCTATATTGTCAACCCATGTCTGTCATTTTTTTAAACAACGCTGTTTGTCGACCTAATTGTATTTGTGTTGCTTTTTCAGCCATGTTCCCTCCCTTTTCTTTTTTCTTTTTCTTTGTTCTCAACACATATACTTTAAACTCAATTAGTATTAAGTTTTAGTCTTTAATGTTTTTCCTGCCCGAAACGCTTTGCGTAATAGTGGCTTTAGGCATTGTATGTACTAGCTCTATCTATAAATCTATCAATTTTTGTAAAATCTCTTGTATGTATGTACCTTACCTAAATAAACATTTATTTATTTATTTATTTATTTATTTATTTATTTATTTATTTATTTATTTATTTATTTATAAGTTTTGCTGTATACAAGTCCTTTATATGGTACTAGATGTGCTCGCGTCTCTCTTTTCCCTTCCCCTTTTGTCATTTCTTTTCCCCTTTTCTCCTTCCTCTTTCATTTCTCCCCCTCCCCCTGTCTTTCCCTTTTCCCTAACATCCCCCCTCTCTCCTTTCTCCCTTCCTCTCAAAATTGTATATTTTGAAGCACTGAAAAAAAGTAAAAGTTCTTCGGAAAACACATTCCGATTTCAGACTTTGTCAGAAGCAGAGGGTCGTTGTAGACGCTGACATCTTATGCTACACCAAGTGCCATGAGCCAGGCACTGAGGCTGACCCCGGCCCTGACTTATGACACTCACCATCCCGTCCTCCAGTTTATATAGTACTTTTTGTAACTATGTGCACCATAGCACAAACATTGACGTATTAAGGAATTAGATAGTAGAATTTTGTACTATTCACTTTAGTCTGAAAAAATGTAGCTAAAATACAAACTTAAATATTCCTAGGCCTAGTATAGTACGCATATGTACTATATTAGGCCTCAGATTGTGTGTATTAGGTCTAGTAACCTAATACACACAATCGGTTTAGATAAGAAAAATGGGCTGATACTGTCTGTCTCCCAGATACAGACGATGTAGACCCCAACACGCGACTGTCCACAATCACCTCGGCCATAAATTCTGCAGCCACCCAAATGCTCAAGAAAACTTCAGGACATAGGTCCAACAAACCACTTAAACCGTGGTGGAACGCGGAATGTGCACGGACAGTCGCTTTACGCCGACGAGCCATACAAAAACAAAGACGTCAACCCTCCCTACAGAACTGGGTTAATCTCCGGCGGGCTACAGCAGAAGCCAAAAAAAACATACTGTCAGTAAAGCGAGCATCATGGGCAAAATTTTGTAATAGTCTCACACCCACTACGCCACATTCAAAAGTCTGGGCTACATTTAACAGCATTAAAGGTCTGACGATACGTGACGTCATGCTCACCTTTGTACTATGGGTCCATTAAAAAGAAAAGAACATTGTTTTCCCAAAAACGGTGGGTTTTCTGAGGGAAGAGAACACGTATGTCTGGAAGCTGACTTTAACCGCCCCAAGCTGCGCGCGCAACGAGCCGAGGTTATATAAACTCGGCAGCAACTGCTCTCTTACAAAACACACCAAACTAGCAGCACACAGCTCTAAGTACAGAACAGACATCAACGAACTCTGCATCCACTGTCAGGTGCCTGAAACAGTCGAACACTATCTCCTTCACTGCTTCCGACATTATAGTGCCAGAGTAAATCTCAAACAAGTACTTATCTCACTTAAAATACCCTTTACCATCGAGCATATATTAGGAGGCGGTGACTACTCGTTACAAGAAAAATACCAAATAGTCAAAGCACTGGCTAAATATCTCCAATCGACCAACAAATTTGGTCACATCTGACCCGCGCCACATTTATACCTGGCGCCACCAACAGCTAAACAGAAAACAACTGCCTCGACGCAACACCAAGGATCAGCTGACGCCATAAACACAACACACCGTCCTACGGTGCGGCAAGTCTCCCTCTAACATACACCTCTGCTCTAGTCGCCGCTCCTCTGTCTACAGCACAACGCAACAAGCACTTTTGAAACTCTTTATCATCTTCAACATCTGTACTGGTGCAGTCATCGGGAGGACAAACCCTTCATGCAAACTGCACCTACTATTAAGAAGAAGTATTTACGTTACATGAATGAAAACACTTCGTTATATTTACAGTAACAGTAACATATAACAGATTTTTAAGACTGCATAAATTATACGCAAGAGGAGAGTGAGTGAGGATGCTTGCTAGAAGTGTGGTGATCACGGGGAGCAGCCGGGGCCTGGGGCTGGAGATGGTGCGGCAGCTGGCCGCAGCTACTAAGTCCCCAGAGCTCATCATTGCTACTTGTAGGAACCCTGACTCGGCACAGGTGAGAAACCGTCACAAGTTTACCTCTTACTTTTTATATTTATCAGCAGCTGCCTAAGTTATTGGTACATACTTTAAATGTAAAATCACATGCCTGTCACATAATTATTAAGAAATCGGGGTCACTTTATTACATCTCGTTTTATCTCGCTGATATACACCAGTATGTTTCCATAAATGATGCAACTTCTACACTTCCAAATAATAGTCAAATCATACACAGATGTACAAGTAAGCTCGTTTTTTAATTTTTGAAACATTATACAATATATCCTTAGGTTAGGCTATATTAGCTTAGGCTTGGATTGGTTAGAATGAATTGGGATAGGTTGATATTTTTTTTAATTTGTTATCAAACCGTCTTGGGTATAATGTGACTTGTATCCAATTAAATATGTGTTCCCCATCACATCATTCATGAACCATTCCCTTTTCTCATATAAATACAATATAAGTATTAAGGAAACTACATGTCTGAATTTATCTGAAGGCCACCATCTTTCTGGTGGCATCAGTGACAAAAAGAAGCTGGCAGATTGTCAAAGGACAGAAAGTGGAGAAACTCCTATGAAAGTACAAAAGTTTGCAGCAAGGCTGGTGCCAGAACTGAGGAGGCTAAACTATGAGGACAGATTATGGGTAACTCAAGCTCTTAATTCTGGGGAAGAGAAAAAACAAAGCAGATATGATACTTACATAGCAGGTACTGAGGAGGAATGGACACGGACAGCATCTTTAAATTTGGAGAAAGTAGGTGGAATCTGGCAATGCAGTTTGATTGTAGAAATGTAAAGGACAATTTTTTTCTTTGGTACTCTGTATAAGTGATAAGAACATAAGAACAAAGGTAACTGCAGAAGGCCTATTGGCCCATACGAGGCAGCTCCTATCTATAACCACCCAATCCCACTCGTATACTTGTCCAAACCGCGCTTGAAACAATCGAGGGACCCCACCTCCACCACGTTACGCAGCAATTGGTTCCACAAATCAACAACCCTGTTACTGAACCAGTATTTACCCAAGTCTTTCCTAAATCTAAACTTATCCAATTTATACCCATTGTTTCGTGTTCTGTCTTGTGTTGATACTTTTAATACCCTATTAATATCCCCTTTGTTATGTCCATTCACCCACTTGTAAACCTCTATCATGTCACCCCTAACTCTTCGCCTTTCCAGTGAATGCAACTTAAGCTTTGTTAATCTTTCTTCATATGAAAGATTTCTAATTTGGGGAAAACTGGCACTTTTAACAGAATTTTCTCCTACATTCCATTTCTATTCCATTCTATGCTAAATCTGATTTCTTTGTGATCACTGTTCCCTAGCTGACTTCCTATTTCGATGTCATTAATTTGTGTTTCCCTGTTAGTTAACACTAAATCTAAAATATTATTTTCCCGTGTTGGTTCCTTAATGTGTTGCGTAAGAAAGCAATCGTCAATTAATTCTAGAAAATCTTCTGCTTCACTATTCCCTGTTTTGTTCAACCAGTTTATTCCACTAAAATTAAAGTCACCCATGACATAAATACTGTTATATCTAAATTTGGTGGCCTATATATAACTTCTATTATAATATTATTTGCTTTTTCGTTTAATTCTATCCAAATAGTTTCTGTGTGTGGCTCAGTTTTGATTCCCTCTTTGAGACTACATTTCAAATTGTCCCTAACATATATGGCTACTCCCCCTCCTCGTCTAATATATCTATCTGTGTGAAATAGTTTAAATCCATTTATTTGATATTCAGCTAATAGTTCTCTATTTTCTACATTCGTCCACGTTTCGGTAAGTGCAATAATATCTATTTTTTCTGTGCAGACAAGAGCATTTAATTCATTAATTTTATTTCTTAGACTTCTACTGTTAGTGTAATATACCCTAATTGAATTGTTATTTTGAGGTCCTTTTCTTTCCCTGATCATTTTGCCAATTCTTTTCTCCCACGAACCCATACTTTTATTACCTCCTTCCTCCAAATCAATTCCCATACCACTATCTACTAACAGTTTAAATCCAAACAAACACCTCTAACCACTGGTTCCAACGAGTTCGCAACAGCAACAACCCCAGCCCTAGATAGATGCACCCCATCACGAACATACATTTCATTTCTTCCATAGAAGTGTTCCCAGTTGTCTATGAAAGATATTGCATTTGATTTGCAATATCTTTCCAGCCGGCAATTGACACAAAGTGCCCTCGACATCCATTCATTTCCCACTCCCTTTCTTGGAAGAATGCCACATATGCTATCCGGAAGAATGTCACACATGATCAGGAAGTGAAATGCATTGAAAGAAGAGGTTGCCAAAACCACTTTCATCCAGAGTTTTAAACCAACTTTGGCATGAAACTTATTCCACTAATAGGTAAGCACTACCTTTTCTCCCACAATTAACTTCTCTGCTCCATCACCACTTGTTTAGGAAATTTAGGATGAGCATACCCATCTTTGACAGATTTTCATTTGCTAGAGGTTATAGTATACAGGATAGAATTTCAGGTAATATTTGACATTAAACAGAAGGTTTGCAGAGATGTTTCAAGAGGGCATTCTTACTGATAATGAGAATTTTAGTATTTTAATTAAAAATGCATAATTTCATTACAGGTACTGAAAAAGATAGCAGAGAACCACCAGAATGTCCACATTGCTAAACTTGGTAAGATGACGACCTAATTTATATGCAGTATATCTTAAATAGCAGACATAGCCTAAATTACTCTGTTCTATTCTAATGTCTTTTATTATCTCAATAAACTTAATTGAATTTATGAAATAAATACAGGTACAGTACTTGCATAGTTTTAGCATCACAAATATAAATAAAATGTTTTAAACAATAATATTGTATAGGAAACTTAGTTTGAAAAATACAGTGGTACTGTACCTCCATTTATATTTAATCTGTTCCCAAAGACAAGTCGTAACTCCAAACAAATTTTCCCAAAGAAATAATGTAAATTGAATTAATCCGTTCCACACTCCCAAAAATATTAACTTAAAAATACATTTCATACATAATATGCACACATATTTTGTACTATAGTATGCACAAGTTATAGCTTACCTTTATTGACGACTTAATGGCGTATGGAAGACGGTGAAGAAGGGGGAAGGAGGAAAGGTGTTACTGTTTGGAAGGGGAGTCCCCTTTCATTATAATATCAGACAGTGATGACTTTTCTGTAGTACTCTCTCCTACGTTTTGCAGGCATACCACTAGGACCTGGTTGTGGCTCGCTGCTTGCTTGTCTTACTAAGAATCTGTCTAAAGACACTTGTTTTTCCCTACACTACTTGTCTGTAGTGAGACATCACATATCTATTACAGCTTTATCTGGGTGAGTTTTTTTCAACAAAACTCTGCAGTTCTTCCCATACTTCACACACTTTTTTAATGAGGAAGGAACATCCTCTACTCACAACTATTTTCTTAGGTTGAACCTTACCACTGACTTTCTTGGGACCCATGGCATGATATATAATAATTACTTTTATGTTAAAAAATTAATAAAGCACAAAAACAATGAAATTCTTTACAAAGAATTCATATGTGATTGTCACTAAGCAGAGAGCTCAGGTAAACTGAGGGGGGGGGGGGGTTACCTGTGCCACCAGGAACCACGCGCGTATTAACAAAGTCGCAAGTCGAGTTGAATTTTCAGATGAAATTGGGGTAGAAACTCAAAATTCATAAGTAGGGGCATTCGTAAGTCAAGGTTCCACTGTATATCACATCTGTGATGTTTAGAGACAACAGCTCATACCACTACTGCATTTGGTTTTGAAAATGTCAGTCAGTATTTAGATGCATTGTATTCTTGGAACAAAGTTGTCTGATGGTATTTCCACAAGAAAACAACCCAAATGTATTTACTTACCATGATATATTTCATGTTTTTAGGAATTATTTGTAAATGCTTTATATTCAAAGTTGTAAAGATTTTGGGGGTTCTATATTCATAGCCTCCATCTATATACATTACCTACTTTTACATATTAAGTGTTCCAATGGCAAAATGCAATTTTAACTTTCAGATACCTAGTACGTATTTTTTTTTCTTAACTCTTCAATTCCAGTAATTATTACCTTTAAATATATGGTTACAGATGTGGGAGACGAAGCAAGCTATGATTCTTTTGTTGCTCATGTTAAGGAGATGGTTGGAACCAATGGGCTGAACCTCCTCATTAACAATGCAGGAATTTCCCCCAGATCCACTCGCATCAATATGGTTAAGTGGACGCACATGACTGACACTCTCCATATTAATGCCATTGCACCACTTATGTTGACTAAGGTACATGTTGCTAATCATTTCACAACTTATTAATATGGTACAGATTGATAACTGGCCAGCAATTCTTAAATTACTAGAATAATATGCATGAATGTATGTACAGTACAATAATTTAGCGAGTTGTATATTTTTATGCATTATATCAATGTATTGAATATTTAATTTTTTGGGTAAATACAAGGTACAGTATTGCATTATGGGGCATAATAATACAGGCATACCTCAGAATGCGAGTTTAATCCGTTCCTGGAGACGCCTCGCCTTCCGAAAACTCGCATTCCGAAGTTAATTTCCCCATAAGAAATAAAGGGAAATGAATTAATCCGTTCCTGACTACCCCAAAAACCCCACATCAAACTAAATTTTTATACCTAATTTACCTAATTCATCTAAATAAACCTACAAAAGTATGTTCCAGTTATTACTTACCTTACTGTCGAGTGCTGTAGGCGTATGGAAGATGGTGAGGAGGGGGGAGGAGGAGAGGAGTTAGTGTTTGGAAGGGGAGTCCCCTTCCATAATCACATCAGGCAGTGAGGACCTTTCTGGTGTGCTCTCCCTGGGACGTTTAACCTGAGTGCCACTAGGTCCTGGTTGAGGTTCACTGCTCGATTTCTTCACCAAATATTTGTCCATGAAAGCTTGCTTTTCCCTTCTTCGCAAGCTCTCTCTGTAGTAAGGCATCACATTGTCATTGAAAAGATTAAGACAACGGCCTACTACAGTTTTGTCTGGGTGAGTGTGTTCAATAGTTGTTTGAATCTCTTCCCACATCTGACACACCTTCTTAATTACTGCAGAAGGGACATTCGCTGGTGCTGTTGCCACCACCTCCTCCTCCACTGCAGAATCATTCGCTGCTGTGTTGGCTTGCTGTTCCTGTTGAAGGGCTAGGAGTTCTTCGGTGGTCAGTTCTTCGTTGTGTTCTTCCACCAACTCCTCCACATCATCACCATCCAATTCCAAGCCCATTTTCTGGCCTAGACTAACAATTTCCTCAACAATAGGCGCATCATTTATAGGCTCAAACCCCTCAAAGTCTAGTTCTCTCACACCTTCAGGCCACAATTTTCTCCAGCCAGAGATCAGGGTTCTTTGAGTCACTTCTTGCCAGGCTTTGTCAACGAGTTTTAAAGCACTAAAAATGTTAAAATGCTCTCTCCAGAACTCTTTGAGGGTGAGGTTTGTGGCTTCAGTCACTTCAAAACATTTCCGGAAAAGTGCCCTTTCATACAGTTTCTTAAAATTCGCTATGATTTTCTGGTCCATAGGCTGAATTAGAGGAGTGGTGTTAGGAGGAAGGAATTTAACTGTGAGGAATTTATTGTATTGAGGCATCAAATCATCTTCCAAGCCTGGAGGATGAGCAGGAGCATTGTCAAGGAGAAGCACGGCTCTGAGTGGCAATTGTTTCTCCTGCAGATATTTTTCTATGGCAGGGCACAGCACTTCATTCACCCACTCCGAAAAAATAAGCCTAGTCACCCATGCTTTTTTATTAGACTTCCACATCACAGACAAATGGGTTTTCTGCACATTATACTGTTTGAAAATCCTTGGATTTTCAGAATGATATACTAGCAAGGGTTTAATTTTTAAATCGCCACTCGCATTTGAACACAGCACAAGCGTAAACCTATCTTTCATAGGCTTGTGTCCAGGCAAGGATTTTTCCTCCTTGGTAATGTATGTCCTCTTAGGCATTCTTTTCCAAAACAGTCCTGTTTCGTCACAATTAAACACTTGTTGCGGTAGGTATCCCTCAGCCTCTGCAAACTCTTTAAATTCGTCAATAAATCGTCCAGCGGCTGGTTTGTCTGAGCTGGCTGCCTCCCCATGCCTTGTAACACTATGGATACCACTTCTCTTTCTAAATTTTTCAAACCAGCCCCTGCTTGCCTTAAACTCTTTCTTATCTGCATCACTCGTTGCAGGGGTCTTCTTTAGAAGGTCTTCGTGCAACACCCTGGCTTTCTCAGAAATAATGGCCTCCGAAACACTATCACCCCTCAACTCCTTGTCGTGTATCCAAATTAATAACAACTTTTCCACTTCTTCAAGTATTTGTGGTCTTTGTGTCGTTAATGTTCTTACTCCTTTTGCCACATTAGCACTCATAATCTTATTTTTCTTCTTAAGTATAGTGCATATTGTTGATGTCGCTTTGTTGTACTGCCTACAAAGATCAACAACACGTGTACCGTTCTCATGCTTTCGAATGATCTCTTGTTTCTCCTCTATTGTCATCCTCACATGAGCTTTCTGGCCTTTATCCTTACCACTGGCTTTCTTGGGACTCATGGTGAGATATATAATAACAAATTGTATAGACAAATCACCAAAAATCCAACAAAACACTGAAAATTCACGACAAGAATTGATGTGGGGGTAGTCACTGCGCGCGAGACAATGGTGAACTGAGGGGCAGCGGGGCAGAGGGGCGACGATCGCCGAACGACCACGCGCTAGGTCGGCTGTACGCGTATCAACAAACTCGCGTTCAAACTCGACTCCCGAAGTAACCATCGCCTTCCGAGACAAATTTTTGGAGTAAATACACCTCGCCTTCCGAAAATCTCGCATACAGGGACAATCGCATTCCGAGGTACCACTGTAGAGTACAGTATACTCATTTGCACTGCATTCTCCTCTCCCTAATACTGTATTGTGATATTAAGAGTACTTAGCCTCATAATTTAGTCACAGAAAATATCCACTATAATACATTGGTTAGATGTCTTTCATGTTATTGATGAGAGCTCAAATTGCACAAAGTGAATAGTAGATATATTAGCTGGTAAAGAGCCAAGGAAGCGTGCACACGATTCCACAAAATTTTAAATATTGGTACAGTATCTAGTCATTTTTAAGTGGTCAAATTGTCTTAAATGATTTTCATTATGACAGGCTCTTCTTCCACAAATAAAAACTGCAGCATCACAGATGGATGGCACTGGCCTGTCGGTGAAACGTGCTGCTGTTATTAACATTTCTTCAATACTGGGCTCGATTGCACAGAATGAACAAGGTGGCCAGTATCCTTACAGAGCTAGCAAAGTGAGTTTCCTTCTACTGTAATTACAAATGCATTTAATGCGAAGTGTACCATGTGCTCCAATATGCTTCAAATTAAACAAAACAAAAAAAAAATTGATAAATACATATGAATTAATATTCTGTGGTTATGTTCCATTTCTTTTCAGGCTGCCTTAAATGCCATTACCAAATCCCAAAGCATAGATCTTAGAAGCTTCAACATATTAGTGACCTGTCTTCACCCAGGATGGGTTCAGACAGATATGGGAGGCAAGTCTGCTTCTCTCACACCACTGGAAAGTGTGTCTGGAATCATAAAAACACTACATAATTTAACAGAGGACCATCATGGAGGATTTTACCTGTATGATGGAAAACAATTACCTTGGTAATTTATTGCTTTGATTGTAAATACAGTATTTTAGAACATTAAATATTTTGTACAGTATATTCAATATGAACATTTATTGTTGTCCACAAGAAAATATAATTTAAAGAACCAATAACTCCCATACTCTCCTTACAAATTTACTCAGTCTATTTTCTTCATCCAGTACTGTAATACAATGAGCACTTAAAGTTACCTCAATTCACATTTATGATTTCATGGAAATCCAGAGGAAGTGTGATATCAATGAAAATAATTTCGAGACATTGGAGTGACTAACCAGCTTTCTGATGATTCCCAGTTGAAACCTGGTCGATGGTTCTGGGAGTAGTTCTACTCCTCAAGCCTGGCCCGAGACCAGGGTTGGCTTGTAAGAGTTTGGTCCACCACGCTGTTGCTTGGAGCAGCATGCAGGTCCACATACCCACCACAGCCCAGTTGGTCCAGTACACCTTGAGAAAATAATTGTTTTCTCTTGAAAATGTCCACGGTTGTTCCAGTAATATTTGATAGTCGCTGATAGGACATTGGACAACCGTGGACCTTTGATGTTTATAGTGTTCTCTGTGCCTATGGCACCCCTGCTCTTCACTGTTTCTATTCTGCATTTTCTTCCATATCGTTTACTCCAGTACATTGTTATTTTACTGTATAGATTTGGGACCTGGCCCTCCAATATTTTCCTCCATCTCATCTCCTTTCTAGCAAGTACATTTGGAGAGCTTTGAGACGATCCCAATAATTTAGGTGCTTTATCTCGTCTCTGCATGCCGTATGTTCTCTGTATTCCCTCTGTTTCAGCAATCTCTCCTGCTCTGAAGGGGGAGTGAGTACTGAGCCACACTCAAGATGGGACAACACAAGTGATTTGAAGAGTACAACCATTTCAGAGCCTCCAGAACCTCCCAGTGAATTCAGTAGAGCTCTGGGTTGGTCGAATTTTGAACTATCGTGGCAAAGTCAGTAAAGGCAGGTGTCTGGGAATCACCAGAATATGGGTTCAAGTTGCTCCATTGCCTTAAAATGATTTCCATCTAGACTTGATATTTCTTTGCATACCTATTTGCAAAGCCAGAAGTGTGTGTGTATATATATATATATAAAGTATGGAATAAAACAATTGGTAATTTTGATAAATTTAATCTTCAAAAATAATCCATAAACAAAGTTATGGCATGAACAAAATTAACCCCAGTCCACAAAATCACAGTCCAACAAGCTCTCTGCTGATGGTGGGATGAGTGATGGAGGAAGGCAAAACATTGCCTGAAGAGCCTGCGGGATAACATACTTCAGTTCCCACTTAGAAATGCTTTCCATTGGATAATTGGAAGCTGACTGCACCTGTTCTCTCTCGGAAAGCCATGACTCAAGTGATGGTTCGTTGCCACTCTTCACAAGAGACGGCAGTTTTGATCTCTTTACAGCTGCCTCCTCTTCCATGGCTACAAAAATGTTAATTAATGAAAGTTACTACTCTCATTTATTATATACTACATGTAAAATGTACATCAAAAGCACTTTCTCATACCATCCATGGAATGCAAAACCATAACTTTCTAATACTGCACAGTTTTTTTTCCCCCACAAAACATTAACTGCTTATTATCCACTTGCTCTACCCTCACCATCTCTAGTGTCCATTTCCTTTAACCCTTAGGCTGCAGTTGTCATCTATTGACGATCTAGGGGACTGCAGTTGTCAAAAGACTAAACAATTGTCTGGGTTTTATATGCAAATATGGATATTATGGCTCTGTGGATGTAAATAAAGAAAAACAAATGATAAAACAGGAAGCATCAGCAAGGTCAAGCACCAGGCATTGACAAGTACCAGATGCATCCTTGTAGAGCCTCCACCCAGTGAAATGATACAGTATTCACCAAGTGATTTTCTTAAAATTTTGCGTATACATCAATAATTCTATATTGATTTTTTTTTTCCATAGGACGGTATGACCATTTCTCCATAGTTTCTGCCTAAGGGTTAAAAGTATTTACCATTTATCCATTATTATAAATCCAACTTAACAGAATTGTACAGATAAATTGAATGTCACCTCAGTCTCTACATGCCTTTCAACTCTGCAGTCTTTACATTAGTCCATCAATTTCAGCTACAAAGAAACAACCCGTTCTCGCAAATTTAATAAGTCAATATTGACTTATTAAATATGTGCATAGGTGACATACTTAACATAATAGATACCCTTAAAAAGATTCATAGAAAACACCGACCTTACCTAACCTACTTAGTATGTTAAGATAAGCATCTTATTGCTTCGTAATTACAATTATTACCTAACCTATAATAGGTATAGATTAGGTAATAATTGTAATTACGAAGCAATAAGATGCTTATCTTAAGATACTAACAAGGTCAGGTAAGGTCGGTGTTTTCTATGAATCTTTTTAAGGGTATCTTATGTTTAGTATATCACCTATGCACGTAGTTAATAAGTCAATATTGACTTTACGAATTTGCGAGAACGGGTTGAAAGAAAACAGTCTTAAGTGATCAGACTAGCATATACATATAAGCTAGTTTTAAAAACTACCTGCAACATGATAGATCACAAAAACAGGATACCTAAAATGCAAGTTCAGCAAACATATTGAAGACTATGTATGGATGTCAGCAGTCATAATTTAAGACAGCAAATATACATGAAGAGATTAAGATTTATGTAATTGGTTTCCCAGAATAAGAGTCGGATCTCATTCATACATTAGTGATATTTTAGTTCGTACAAAATGTAAAACATTTCAGACCTTAAATATCTAAAATAAATATCTAAAAGTAATTGTGTAACTTTAAACTAATGTGGGAGCCATTCATAATATGGAGAAGTCTTCAAACTAGTAGAGTACATGCATGGAGTGAATGGTCTAACCCAAAATGACCATGGTACATGGGGCCTAAATTGAGCATAATCAGCTTTTCTCTAATTAAAAGAAAAGTATTGGAAAAGTTTTCTTAAATCTTATTTGCAATCACTACTACACGAATGTGAGAAAAGTATGGCGAGCTATACAATGTTGGGTAACTATATTTCAAAGATTTAAAAAAATATACAAGTTGATCTATTCCATTAACTGTTAAATCGCTGCAATCTCACAGTTTTACAAGACAATGTAAATAAAGGTTAAGAGAAACGGCACCATGGTTGGACATACAGATAGGATAGAACTATAAATCAATTTTACAGTCGATAAAGTGTTTCATGGCGTAAAATATTACCTTGCAGAACTAAACTACCCACCTTGCTGCTTCAGGTTGCTTATGTCAATCTGTGTAAGGTGAGAATATATACAGGTGTCTCCAAAAGAGCAGTCTTGCCCTGAATGGAAACGCCGACACTTCTCCCTTGATAATTCATCTTGCAGTCGTTCTCTGGCAGCTGGAATATATTTACTAAAATAAATTATCCTGTTTCACTTTTTAAAACATGTGCCAGTTTTGCATTCAAAATAAGATTTTTTTTAGGCCCATGCTCTCCTTTCAAAAACAAAAAAAAATCCCTTTCAACTTCTTTCCAACATGTGGAATATATATATAAATACAAGACAAAGGAGCAACCAAAAGTCCTCTCAGCCATGGTAGAGTACAGTATATACATTTCTAAATCTACTTAAATAAAAATGTAAATGTTTGTTTGTTCAAAATCACTAATCTCCAAAAGTTCTTCACCGATTGCTTTGAAATTTTCACACAATGTTCCATTCACATCCGAGCGGTTTTTTTTTTATACATACTATTCAGATGTCACGTCTGTGATGGGGAAAAAAATGCTTTTTTGAAATTGTTTTTTTTTCCATGTGAGGGAAAACTTCGAAACCTCTTTACCAATTGCTTTGAAATTTTGACAACGTTGCATTCAAATAGGCATGCGTTTTTATATACCTACTATATACATGTCTCACCTGTGACAGGAAAAAACTTAAAAAAAAAAAACCACCACCATCTTTTGGATGTAAGAGCAACACACTAATCTCCAAAACTTCTTCATGGATTGCTTTGAAATTTTGACACCGTTCCATTCGAATATGCGCATGTTTTTATATACCTACTATGTAGATGCCACACCTGTGAGGGATAAATACATGCTTTTTTTGAAAAATAGGCGTCATCTGTCGTACGTAAGAACAACACACTACTAAATATGTTACGATTCCATTTCAATGTTTCCGATTGCATTGACAAATTGAATTTTCATAGATTTTTATTTATTTTCGTTCTGATATAATTATTTTGCGTGACATTGCATTTGAATCGAGGTGTGTATCAAACCATTCATTTTGTAAGTATAGATGCCACACCTGTGACAGGTAAAAACATGCTGTTTTTTGACAAACGGTGCCATCTGTTGCATGCAAGAGCAACACACACTATACTAAATATGATTAAAATTTCAAAGTTTCAGATTTCATTGATAATTTTTATTTTCATAGATTGATTTATTTTTATTTAATTATTTTGTGCAACGTAGCATTGGAACTGAGCCATGTTGTTTACTATACTGTTTATTTTGCGAGTAGTTAATTTTTTTATATTTTCATTTCGTTTTTTTAACTGTTTTGTACAGTATTTCAGTGATGGGAATATCAGATCATTTGGGAATGCATCGGGGGAGGACGAGGGGATGGTGGGGAGGAAGAGGGGACGGAGGAGTGGGAGATGGTGGAGAGGACGGGAGTGGGGGATGGTGGGACAGGGAAGGGGGTAATGGTGAGGAGGACAAGGGGACAGGGAAGTTGGGGATAGTGGGGAGGACGGGGAAGGGGGAATTGGAAGGAAGAATGAGGGAACAGGAGATGGTGGGGAGGATGAGGGAGTGGGTGATGGTGGGGAAGACAAGGGTACGGGGGTGGAATGGTGGGAGGGACGGGAGAGTGGGGAATGGTTGGGAGGACATGGGGGCAGGGGAATGGTGGGGAGGACTGGGAGATAGGGGAAGGTTGCTGTGGCTCAGCAATGCACATGCGTTGCCGAGCCACAGCAATGCATGGCCAGGTACAGCTAGTAATTTATAAAAATCACTAACCCCTGCTTATTTGCTGTACTCTTAAGACCTACATTACAAGTTGGTATTAATAGTACACTTACTGTACATGCGCAATCTTCTGATTCTGAATTAATGTAACTACAGTCTATGAAGATTTTTTTATTAACATTTGTTTCTTTGTGATCTAACCTCATTTGTACATTCAAATTATTAGAAATTTGAGACATTCGATTAAATGAAGAGGAAAAAATATAGCAAGAACATTATCCTTACTATAGTATTTGCTTGGCAGTGAATATCAGGCACTAAAGCTCACATGCATCAAAGTATTATGTATTCCGACTACAGGGATAAGGGGGAAATACATTATTTCGTCCATTTTTAAATCCGACCCATTTACTGCAGGCAGAGGGAACGTTGCATAATTTTACTAATTCTGTACAATTCTTCCTGCCATCTATCTTGAGAGGCTATCTTGAGATGATTTCGGGGCTTTAGTGTCCCCGCGGCCCGGTCCTCGACCAGGCCTCCACCCCCAGGAAGCAGCCTGTGACAGCTGACTAAGACCCAGGTACCTATTTTACTGCTAGGTAACAGGGGCATAGGGTGAAAAACTCTGCCCATTGTTTCTCGCCGGCGCCCAGGATCGAACCCGGGCCACAGGATCACAAGTCCAGTGTGCTGTCCGCTCGGCCGACTGGCCATGTGCTAAAATATTAAAAGTCCTGAAGCCTTAGGGTTGAAGATTACACAAAATTAAGTAAATATTAAAGATATGGTATTGACATTTCATTCCAAATACTATAGTATTGAAATTACAGATTGGTATAAAAGACATGAATTCCAGCTTGCTACTAAAAGCTAGGATTTTTTTTTTTGTAGCTACAACCGTCAGATCAATTTTGAAATTTTATTTAAATACCAGTATTTCTTACATTGGATACAAACTGTGAAACTTTTATCATTCTAAGAAACTGATAACCAAATTTATTAAAAAAAAATTGAAAGTCAATGAAAATTAAACATTAAAATTTGAGCTTATAATATTTGATTAAGGATCTTGTGTGAGAAAATAGGATTTATCCAGGACCAAGATAAATTAAAATTAAGTACTGTATAATCAAATTTCCATTCACAATGTTTATTATGAATAGGAACTTTTTTCCTATACCAAGATAAATTCATAGATATTTTGTACTCTAAGGCAAATTAAACAAAATTGCTTTTGGTACCCATGACTAAGCCTAAAACTGAAAATTTGCACTGCTGATAAAAAAAAAATTGTTTAAACACCCTGCATGCAAGTCAAAGATTTTAAATAACTAAATACTGTAGAAGAATCTGTACTTTTATTTTTAAACTTGCACATTAGACAACAAAAATTATTGAATTATAATAAAAGTGCAATAATTTATACAAATTTATTAACCTCAAAAGGATTAAAAGTATATTTTAAATCTAACATTTAAAACTATAGTATTTGGAAGTCGTATAGACCTGTATACGTCTTTGAAGCCACAAGACATGCTATTACTAAACATAATTTGCTTTTACTTGCAACAAAGCCAATATTAAATATCTGCTTGTACAGTAGCATGTACTATAAATATAAAATCTTACATTTAAACTTGTTGTAGTGATGATTTTTCAACTTCTGGTGATGGTGTCCATAATCATGTTTCTTGCGAGCCTCTACACTATATGGAAGGGATCTGTCACAATAGTCACAATAATATCTCTTCCCCATGTTTTCACCAATACCCTTATCCACATACAGTACCTGAGAACATTTTTGTTTATAAGAAATTAAAATGCCGTTAATGATAATCTTGCCCTACAATTTTTATTACTGCTAAATAAATATCAAGAATAAAATTTAAATCAACAGCTTTAACTTTTAGTCTGAAAGATTTCCCACCTAACAAATATTGTTGTCAACCTTATATAAGGGTTATGACAATGTTATGAGTACTTTCCCGTCAAATACAGCTATATGCAACAGCTACATTGGCTTGTAGGTTACCAACACAGTTTTTGTAATAAAGCTACTGCAGTATATTTTGATCAGGGACCCACCCACAAGATTAGAATACATCCATTAAACCATTACATCAAGATTTAACAGCAGATATATAGTATAAGCAAAAATATATTTGTACAAATTGCCAATTATACGAGCCAAGAATTTTTTTCAATTAAGATGCTAATTCTTGTAGAAAATGAGTAGGCATTTCCTTCACTTACCCAATCACTCACTCATCCACACAACCTCTCATGTCCTAGTGTGTTTTTGGATTGTTGGCAGAAATATAATGGTAAAGTACGACCATGAGGAAGAGGGAAACCCCAAGGATGTTCACAAACACAGCCAGTTGAACATCAGAGATCATTCTGAAAGAAAATGTATTACTTGTATTTTTAGTCGATACAGAAGGGTCTTCGGCAGGGCACGGAGGATTTAACTCACCACTGCCATTTTTTCCTCCACAACAAAACTATATTTTATGAATACTAGAGAAGAGAGCAGTAGACAAGGTTTGTGCTAGGATTACAGCTATGGTAGTGGCATAATACACCAACCATGAATTATCTTTACATTATATAGGATCAACATGTGCAAAACCTTGCCGATATAGTTGCCATACTGCTCTCACAGTGGTAGAAATTTGCACTATATTCCAAATTGCCTAGACAAAGACCAGACTTTACACAAGATGGTTCAGATTTTGACTTAGCAATCTTAACCTAATTTAACAATATACTGTTAAGAAAATAAGACTGAAAATTTATTTTACCTAAATAACTAGCAATTTTTGTTTGGGTTCAAACCCTGGCCAGGGAGGATTGACCTGTTCACCCAACAATAATTGAAGACCTGGTTGTAAGTTGATTTGCAGGTCATATTCGAAGGGTACGTATAATAGCAAGGCTTAACATGAACGCTGCGAAGAGGAAACTTTAAGCCTACTAACAGGATGTTAAGATAAAACCATTTACCCGTTGCCCGCCTAAGCCGAGATAACTGTTGTCCAGTTCTATAACATATGCATAACCTTATGTTCTGCGCATAAGGTTATGTGCAAAACACTGCACCCCCAAAACTGTCTATAAATAAGGTTATTACTAACGTGTAAAGGTTATTAGGCGAGGTATGGGTTAAAGGGTAGAGCTGCTGCTGGACTGTGTAGAGGCGGCGGGCGGCACGACACACAACAACACGGCCTCCTGACACGTCTCCTGTGCTCCCCATAACAATAGTCACGCCGCCACCTGCCACAGCCTCACACATACCTGCTTTTCTTTACTCTTGCCTTGATTTAATTTCAATGTCATCAGTATATACGATTTATATGTCGGCTTAGATAAACTGGATGAAACATATGCCATGTTTATTATTTGTAATATATGGAAGAACTATTTTTGGTTTTGCTAGCTCTTTATTTATATTTATCATCAGATAACATCTAGATATATTTACATGGTTCAGAATGTTTCTTTAAATTAGTAAAACTGCATAATTATAACTAAAACGTAACAGAAATTCTCTGTTACTATTATTCTTCCAATGCCTATCAATGAAGCAAATTTTGGTGTCTAGAGTACGATAATCTATCCTAAATATCTTGAGAGTGCACCTTAAACACAGTCACATATGTTAAATACGTTAACAGAATGCAATTTATAATGTTATTTTAAACTTAATGAATATAACCCTTCATTTGATCTTCACGATAGGACAATTTTATTATAGTTATTCCATTCACAAAAATAATCTCTCGCCATTTGAAAAACGGCGTAAATCTACCGCTATTTAAAGTTTTATATTGCAAATTGCACAGCTTGTACTATTGGTAATACTGTACTTAACGTGGAAAAATTTCCCTGGCACTTAGAGATGAGAGGAGGTTGTGAGAGTGTATGGTAGATGATATACGAGAGTAGAGAGGTCCGGTAAGAAAGTGGTGGTGGTGGTGGTGATGGTAGTGGGCGCAGCCGCCTGTCTGGGTCAGTACGGGTAGTTAGGGCGTCAGGTGGTAACGCTACGCTGCACAATCTGCACCTTTACGCGCCACTACTTCTGTATACCATGGTCGCCGACGAGAAGGAAGTTCAGGTCGAGTCCAAGATGTCTCCGAAGGTGTTCACGTTGGCAGAGGTGCTGAGGCACAAGAAGGCCGACTCGTGTTGGACTGTGATCCACGACAAGGTGTACGATGTGACAAAGTTCCTGGACGAGGTGAGTGGGCATAGTACCCTAGCTTCGTGCAGGACCTCGCTCCTATATATGTGGATTTTTACACCTAGTCTATGCAATACATTAGGGGTGTATGAAATATATTGTATCATGCCAGTAAAACTAATACGGTATGGTGATAATTCTCGTTAGTTTTTCTTTGGGTTTTGTATTGATATCCTCTACTAAACAGTGACTTGGGTATTAAATTGGGTATGGTCAAATAGTACACAAGACACACTTCGGTTTCCATCTGCTGAAACTGTATATATTATTGATAGTGTATATTATCATAGGTTAGGCCCAGTTAGGTTGTTTTGGGTTGTTGCTTAAGGTTAGGTAGGTTTTAAACTGCTTTGGTAAATTATCCTGTTCAATGCGACTCGCATACATATTTCAAAATGAATTCTGAAAATGAGAAATTATAGACAAATGACAATTTATTTTGGTTCCTAGTTAGTGCTTTCTAATTGCTTAAACCACTTGGGTTGGACGGTAGAGCGACGGTCTCGCTTCATGCAGGTCGGCGTTCAATCCCTGACCGTGCAATGGTTGGGCACCATTCCTTTCAACTCGTCCCATGCCAAATCCTTATCCTGATCAGACTATACTTTTTCCCTCTCACTTGAACAGCTTAGTGATGTCTTGAAGGTTATTAAAGGATAGTAGATAAATTTAGCTTCTGAGGACTTCATACAACTTATATATTTCTAAATCTAGACATCATTTTTGTTGCTTGATGCTGAACACATTCTTTAACAATACTGTAAAGAACAGTATCCTTTGTCAAATAAGGCAACCAAAACTATAATATTCCGGTACAGTAAATTGTACTGGGAGAATGACTATCCGATCAAAACTTGAAAGATCTCACAATGAAACTGTAGTTTTCTTTACAGCCTTTGTTTACTGCTTGCTTTGCTTTCAATTTACTGTATTAGCCACTATCACACCTAGGTCTTCATTAACCGAGGTGATCGTCCAGTAGCTTGCTTTTTAATTTTTCAGTAAGCATTACATTATATTCATCAGTGAAAACAATGTCTGCCATACAGATTTACAGTACTGTACCTGTACTAAGGTTTTAAGTTGGCTTCTAATCAGTCTTTCGGTTGGCACTGTAACTGTCCTAATTCAGTATCATTGGGAATTTAGATATTGTGCAGAATGAGCAATTGTCTTTTTTATGAATCGAGAAAAGGACAGGGCTTAAAACTGATTAGTGTGGAACTTTATACTGTATGCAATTTAATTTGGAACTATTGTGACGAGAAACTGGAATAGAGCAGCGGCTATTTGGGCAGGTGTTGTGCCCATCGCACATTAAATAAAAGATAAAATAAAGTAAATAAGAATGTATGGGGTCCTCTACAGTGTAAGAGCTGCGGGTAAAAACCAAAGAGAATAAAAACTTCAAACATCTGATATAACAAAAATGCCTAATTAATAACACAATAATAAGTAATAATTAATAAAAGCAAAACACTTAGACACTTGGTTTTAGTCAAAAAAAGTGGTGCCTCAATTAACAAATTTAATCTGTTCCGGCACCGAGCTCGTCATGTGAAACACTTGTCTTGCAAAACATCAACAACGCTGTCATTGAAGGCGTCAGAGAACCAGCGGGAATGCTAGGAAGCACCATGTGGTTTGCTCATTAATCATGCGAAAGCTTGTCAATCAAGACAAATTTTCTGTGAGTGGCTTGCTCGTTACTCGAAATGCTCATAACGAGTCGCTTGTCATTCAAGGTTCCACTGTATATATACAAGTGAAATTTGTTAATTAATGTCAAGGGTGCAAGTAATTATTTATACAAAAACTGTACGTGTCTACCGTCGCCTGGGGGAGCGAAAGTAGATGTTTCATGAGAGCACGAAGGGTAATCAATGTCTGGATGCTGACGAGCCCTATTTATATGGGGCATGACGTCAGAGCTGACGAGTATTCTGTAGGTAACTATTGGCCAGCAGAAGAATGGTTGTTAGCGGGTGGCATCTGGTCCCCTGCCAAGACAGCAGGTGTGGTGGTGTCTTGGATCCTGGAGAGTGGACAGGGGTGGAGGTCTGTCTAGAAATGTGGGCATGTACAGTATTGTTGTTGATGTTGAAGCATGCAGATACGTTGGTGAATAGGCGGTAAAACAGGCAGGCTCTACTGCTAGGCAGGAGATTACCGTAACACTATAATATACAGTACATTGTTTGCATCCAGGTAACCAATTTTTTTAACATGATGCACTACTATATACATACACCATGTGCTTTTATTTGTATAGTTTTCGACAAACTTGATCAAATGCTTTTTTGAAATCTGATAGTGTACTGTATAATGTCTGGTGCCTTGCTTTTGTTGATCATATTAAGTTGCATGAATGAAATAAAGATTGTCATAAAAGAAAGATCTTCTAAAACTCACATGGGAACTCTAATTTTATGCTGTATCTACATAAATATTGCACACAGTCTGTTTCTGATGTCGTGCTGATTTACCAATACAGCATTTAAGAGATTTGCAGGTTTCCACTTGTGGAGCTTTCATGTCTAAGGTGACTTACTGAAGAGGATGGCTAAACATGATCAAAATTTTTAACTTTAATATTCTTGAATAAAAAAGTTTCAGTATCTGCTGTTTTACTTGCCTCTTATTTGGCCAAGTACATCCTATTTGGCAATTGCAATAAATCAAAGGAATTCTTGATCATTACTTACTAATGGGAATAGAAAAGGAATGTTTAAATTTTCTATTGTAAATACAGAAGCAAAAAAAATCTAAAACTACTTACCTTCCCTCATTATTGACTGTCAATGTTCTGCTATTGGCCCAATAGTCAGAGAACCGTTTCTTATAGTTATCTAGTTCTCTTGGGGTTTGCTATTTTCTTCTATATAGGTTTCATAATTACCAAGACAAATTAATAAATTCTGCTGTATTCTCCATTATTTCTTTGTCTCCCAATTATGTTTATTTTTATTTATGGTATTTTTTATATTAATTTTTAGATGGATATTTATTACCCTTTTCAGTGGCACATAAAAATTTTGATCATTTGTATATGATCCTAAACTTCTAACATAGTCAACTAATGCTATGATTGAAATAACTGCAGTTTAGTTATAAAATTTTGACATTTTAAAACTGGCACTTTTATGCCTACTGTATTTTACATAGAATTTTATTTAAAGAGTGCACTTTTGCATAACTTGTTTAAACTTTTACCCGAGTTTGTGGGAGACGTGTCCCAATTTAGTAGTGTCAAATTCTAATTTCTAACTGTTAACTTTATTTTTGTCACTAGTGAAAAGTATAACCTGGAAATGCATACATGGCCTGATAGTCTATATTTTCTGTATCTAACCAGGTTTCTGTAATGTCTAAAGATGACTAAAATGGTCATCTATGACTAGAACCACAAGGTGTGAGAATTTTAGTACTGTACAGTATACTGTGGGCACTAATTTAATTATGGATTTGAAGGCTACAAAAAATTGTTGCAAATCATTTTCACTAACTTCACCAGGGCTTCACAGGCAGTTCTAGATGCAGCATGTTCTTTGTTCAAAACTTTTACTCCTTAAATACTCCATTCTACAGACTTGTGGGATTTAGACAGAAAGCTTTAACCATCCACTTTGTCATGCAACTGGGAAGAATATTTGATATTAAAATTTTATTAGGTTTAGCTTTCAGCTTAAAATAATCCATTTGAACTTTGCTCTTGTCCTTTTCACATTCCTCTCCATATAAAGGATAATTTTCAATTTCTTTATTATGCACTTCATATCCATCCCGTGGGTGGTGGTGTAAAGGATTACAGAGGCACATAATTGATTCAGGAACTGAACCCTCTAGTTCACTTAGCTAAACAAATAAATCTTGAAGGATAAGATGTGTTATTTGTACTTTTTTGCACCTCATCCGCAGCATCTGTTATTTCGTAAACTCCAGCAACTGGAAAATTGAATCGCTTTATTAATGAATTGTTAAATCGTCTAAGTCTGATCTTGTGGCTGTTCGCATGTGTATCGAATATATTTTTTATATCAAATAATTCCTTAAATCATTCAAAATGTAATGACTTTATCAAATGAATCATTATTAGCCAGATCAACACTTGATGCTTCAATATACATTTTTAAATAATGCTGACTCGCCTTGAATCTTGCAATCCAGTCTTTGCTTGCATTAAAGTCCTTAATAAACTGTTGCCAATTTATCTGCCATAACCTTAATCTCTTTCAAATTGGGGCTCTTGCTGGGCTTAGCAAGCTCCAACAGTTCACTGATGTGTTCAGTCCCTGGATGACCTCAAAAATACAAAGATTTTGAAAAATGGCTGACAAGGCTTTGTATTGATCACATTAGGCTGACTAAAGCTATTTACTGGATCTAGTCGAGCATGCAGCCCCGCTTTGATGCCTGCCTTGTCCTGATTGTAAATCACTTGCTTGTTGAGTGTGTGGAAGAATGCCACTTTTCCTGGTGCTGGGGGCTCCTGTAGTAATCCCAATGAAAGTTTTGTGGAAGCAGCTGACCCCTCTTCACTAATTACAAGCTGGAACTGTGAATCCTCAGGTTGGTTTTCTAAAGAAATGGTATTTCCCTTTTTGAATGACTTCATCATTTTGGTGTATTCAGTGCTAATGACCTTATTGTAACATATGTAACAGATTTGCCAATCACTCGTATGAATGAAAAGTTAAAATATAAAATCTCTTGTAGGCCTTGAGAAGCTTGAATAGGAGGGTGCTAAGAAGCCAACTTGCCAGACTGTTAAACCCAGCTTATACCTTAGTGATGAGCAAATCTACTACAGGGTACAGTATTTAGAATTGGCCTGTGCTTGGGTACATAGTTTTGATTGACCTGTGAGTAATCCCTGCAGAATGACAAAACTGGAACAAGCCTTAAGCATTCCAGAGGAAGGGGTATTAAAGCATTTACTAGCACAAGGAGGTGGATGTGTCTAGATCACTAGGTTAAGGAGTTGGTTTCCCCTAAGC